ACGAATACATGTATAACCCTAAGAAGAAATATTTGGGGGGAAGCATTCAAGCTTCTTGGAGAACATTGTGTCAGTAGGAAAAAAAAAAATAGGCAACAGTGCTTGTATCAGACTTTGCTAGAAATTCATTTAACTGGAAAAGGGATTCGCGCTGATGAGAATTTTAAAAGAGTGATTTTCAGGTCACCGATAAGCAGAAGTTATCCAATATAATCGGAGTGGCTAAAAAAATGTACATACTTTAATTGCACAAGGATTTATGTCTGAGTACTCCAGACCCGTGATAGGCTTCGCTGAGTCGAAGACACCATCATTTGTAAGATTCATCATCATTTTATGTATTACTAAGAAAGAAGAAAAAGCTGCCAATTAAACGATGACAAGTCACATCGGAGATATTAAAAGGTGGAAAAAGTACTAACAGGGGTGCACAGAACCTTCTACAGCAGCATCATCTTTCCTGGCCGACATTTCAACGTGTATGCCCCAGGACCTAAGGCCCAGTGAAGCTACCTGAATTTACATTTTCTCCCTCTAGTTCTGATTGAGAATGTACTCTATCCAGCTCTGTTAGTAACAGGCTAGTAGTTCATTCCGTTATGTGGCCCAGGGGCCAGCTGATTTCTATAAAGGATCAGATAGTCAATATTTTAGAGTTTGTGAACCATAGAGTCTCTGATGCAACTACTCAACCTCAAAAGCAGCTATGGACACTTAACACTCTATCTACAGATGCTGAATGTTGCATTTCATAGCATTCTCACGTGTCATGAAATTTTATTTTTCTTTTGCGCTTTTTTCAATCACTTAAAAAATCTGAAAACATTCTTGAGACCTCTTCCAGGAAAATGGAGTGGGTGTATTTTTCCCTATTCCTTCTGCTAATGAAAAACCCTGAACAGGATGTCAAAGCAAATGTAAGGAGACTGAACGATGGAGAGAAGAAATCAAGTGCGTGTGTCTCAGTTGCAGTTCATCCCCAACCCTGGTGGGGGTCATGTGGGAGGCAGCCAGTTGATGTGTCTCTCTCACATCGATCTTTCTCTCTCTCCTTCTCTCTCCCTCCTTCCCACTCTATCTGAAGATGAGTAGAAAAATATCCTTGGGTGAGGATTTTTTAAAAAAGGACACTAAACTAAGCTCTTTTTCTTTCTTTTTTTTTTTTTTTTTTACCTCATATATCCCAGACTTAGAACTGAAGAAGCCGGTAATTCCAAAATATTAAGAGATGCGTGCACACGTGCGCGCGCACACACGTCCAGCAAAAGCCTGCTTTCTTTAAAGGACTGGCAAGAGTCCACCTAGCAAGGCAGAAAACTTTTAAACAATAAAACTCAACTCCAGCCAAACACTAGAGAAAAACCTGTGGCCCACCTGTCCACATTCCAGCAAAGGCTAAGTGGGGAGCCAGGGCTGGCATTCCACCAGGCTGGAACGAATCACCCCAACTCTCCCTCTAGTGTAGGGTCGGAGGAGCCTGGGTAGGTAACTAGGACAATGGAGACCATGTGGAGAACCCGGGTTTCCAACCACATTCAGCCTTTATGAAGCCCCCTCCCCTCTGCGGTGGTGTCATAGGCGCCCCACGGGAAAGTTAGAACATTTACCCCCACCTGGTGGTCAGAGGCCACCCCCATGCTATGGTGTCAGTGGTAGCCACATGGAAAGTTAACCAGTATAGAATTCTGCCTGACACCTAGTTGGTGTTTGAAAAATACTGGTTGTTATTATATAATGCATGTTGTATTAGTGTTCTATCTAAGGCACACATTATCTAATAGCCTTCATACTCTATAAGACATATATGATAAAAGCAAATATTTTTCAATTAAATGTATATATTAGTTTTATGCTTGTTAAATTTATACTTATATTAGATTACACATTATTACTGTGTGTAAAGGCCAATAATAGGAACGTGATTTGTATTTTATGGACAATTTTAAAGGAATACACAGACTGCTAAAAAAAACAAATACAAAAAGTCATAATATAGGGTGGATCAAAAGTAGGTTTACAGTTGTGAGTATGTGACAGTTTACTATTGTATTATTACTTATTACTGTATTATTTCCGTATGAAAAACTGTAAACCTATTTTTGCCCCACCCTGTATTACAGATTATCGGTAGGGCTGTATTTCTCTTCATTATTAATTATTAGGTTACTTTTTTATGCTATTAACAACCAAGTCACACATAGTGTCCAAAAGGAGACTAAAGGAATATAATATGCTCAGCTTATAAATCACTTTTTCCTAATTAAACCACAAGTATATTGTAGAATAAGTGAAGATTCTAGTCAGTAAAATTTCATTTACGTGAAGTTTCATGAACTTTGCTCAGCATCCTACATTAGTGACTCGGAAATAAACATCTCTTTGTTATTATTTATCAAATACACTCATTAAAGGAGCTGTGGAAATCTTGATATACTGACAAATGGCACCCTCCAGTGGAAAAAGATGTTTATTCGTAAAAATTTAGGGTGTTTTGCATTATAGGCTTGCTATATTCAAAGGTGCTTTTCCCTAAAAAATTTTGAATGCAATTATGTTTTATGACCTACACTAATGTATGTCTGTCACTATTCATTTCTTCTGGGCCCCCAGGAAGTTGCTGTGAGCTTGAGTCTATTATGTAAATATGCTATTAAATGTTGGGAAAGTAGAAGAGCTTTAAAGCTCTTTAAATTTTTTTTTTAAATTGAAAGATAAAATCAGACCACTTGCATATGCATATACTGGATATTTTCTGAAAGAATATCCTTGACTATGTATTTAATATAGAAATATTTCAGATAGATCATATGGTGTCATCAGGCTAGTATTTCATTCTACTTCCAAATATATGATTTTCTTCAATGTAAAAAATGTGGTTACTGTCAGTGAAATTACCATTCTTCAGAAAGTCTGGGAAGAATGAACATATGTCCCTGTTTTTTACTTGGGTTTGAGGAGCATAAAAGTTGACACAGGATGTGAAAAATATGTTTTGAACACAGATCAGTTTGACTCCCAAAATGAACTCATTCCACCGTATTTTAAGCTGATTTTATGGTTAACGGCCCTTTGGTCTGTCTTTTCCTGTTTCTTGAGAATCAATGACACGTTATCAAAATCAGGCACAGGTAATCACCTAAAACTGAGGTCAATTTCTTAACTTTCCATCTCTCCTTGAAATTCCTCCCTCTTTGGCTTTTCTCTCTACTGCAACAAGGCCTCTAAAAATTGCTTCTGTTTCTCTAATTCTTCCCTAGCCTTTGCCTTACACACCCCAAACGAAAGCCTCGCCATCCCCCTGCAACCTGACATCAGCCTAAGCATTTAGCTGTCCGGTAAATTTGTTCTCACCCACCCAGAACACCTTCCTCCCGCCAAAGTGATGTTTTGATGCTTCCAGCTCCAGATTTTATTTCTTCTTCCACTTTATTTAATTCAGTTGTTTTACTTATAGATATGTCTGCTTTATTTTACTTAATTCTTACGGTTCATGTGTCTGTGCCATTTTTGAAATAACTTTAGGATTGCACTGCAATGCTTTGCATGTATTTAAAGTGTACAATTTGATCAGTGGTCACAGGGGTACTGAAACCACTGCAATCGAAATAATGAACAGACGCTCTCTTGTGCCCTTTTGAAGTCGTATCAACTGCAGGGCAGAACCTCATTAATTTTACGAGTCTGTCTAAGGAAGTCCTCAGGCCAGCAAAGGCCGCATCCCCTGGGGCTCTGCTCGAAATTCACCATCTTCAGCAGAAGCTCCAGAAGTTGTCCTTCCAGGTTTTTCCTTTGTTTTGGCTTCAGCTTCTATTACACGTCTATGCACATGTTCCACGTCTTCTATGCGCAACGAGAGGATAAAAATAATTTCAGGAGCAACCACCGTTTAACTCAAGAAAAAGGAGGAGACGCCGTCTGCATGGGTTCCTCCGACGCCAGAGTTTGGGGACCAGAGAGAGGATGCAGTCCGCTAGCACTGCGGCGCCTCTGCCCTTTGCTCAACTCCCTCCGTCCTGCCCGCGTCCATTCCCCGGCACGGCTCCCCCCCCCCCCTTCGGTTCCGCGGGGCTCCTCCCAGCAGGCCGCCGACGCACCGCGAAAGCCCGGAGTCACGGACTCGCCGGGTCGCCAGGAGCCCCCGCAGACCGGCAGCGCCTATGGAGCATGCGCAGCACTGGGGCGCGCGCGCATGCGCAGTGGCCGGCGCAGGGCCGCGCGCCGGCGGCGGGGCGGCCGGGCGGCGGCGCGCGCCGTTGACGTGTTCAGCGGGGCCAGCGCGGAGGGAGGGGGGCCGAACCCGGAAGTGGGTCGGTCGGCGCTGGAGCGAGCGCGCCCGGAGTGCAGCTCAGCGGCCGGCAGCCAGCAGGGGAGCCCTGGGTTCCCGGTAATGGATCCGCGGGGCGTTTGCCCAGGGACCCCGGGGTGGGAAGGGGAGCGGGCCGGCAGTCGCCGAGCGCCGCGTCCGCCGGGGCTGGGCCTGCGGCGCGCCTGTGCTGGCGGGGTCGTCCCCCCGGTTGACCCCGCTCGTCCTGCCGGCCGCCCTCCCGGGGTCGCCTCCGCCGGTGGCGTGGGCCGGGGGACGCGCCCTGTGCCCGAGGTCGTGCGCCTCGGCCGCCCCGGGAAGGCACGTTAACGGGGACACTTGATGTCGCGGCCGCGAAGGCCTTATTGTCACCAGCCCAGCGCCCCCAAAGCACGGACGCAGCCCTGGTCCACCTGCGCCCTCGGGGGTCGGGGCGCCCCTCGCTGCCCCGCGCCCTGGGCGTGCGTCAGGCCCGAGAGGTGCGCCGGGGCCGCCTGACGCTGCTTTTGTGGGCTGTGCCCGCCCCGCGGCCCTGGCGCTCTCCGCCCCGAACCGCTGCCCCAGCCAGTGGGACCCCCATTTCCTGGTGACTTAGGAAGGATGGGCCGGCGGGTGGCGTGCGGGGCGCAGGGTTGCTTCGCCACGGGGCGTCTCACGCCCTCCTTACTCTCTTGCAGACCATGAGACCCTCGGGCACGCCCCTCCAGGAGCTGTTCCCCTCGACAATCTAGTTGTTTGTGTTTGTTTTGTTTTGTTTTTTCTTTGACACCCTCCCTCAAGACACTTATGACGCTTCTTGTGCCGAAACTGTTGTACTGCAATGAAGAAAAGGAGAAGGGTGACTTCCAGTCTTGACGAGAAGATCCACCTGGGCTACCAGAAAGATTCCCCGCAAGGAAATGTCACGGGGGCGCGTGACCCACTGACCTACGCCCACTGCGCGGAGCGCCGGCCGGCCGAAGCCCGCCACCGTCCCCAGGACCTGCCCCCGCCTTCGGACCAGAGGAAGCTCCTGAGTTCTTTGCAGTATAATAAGAATTTGCTCAAGTATTTGAACGATGACAGGCAGAAGCAGCCCTCTTTCTGTGACCTGCTCATCGTAGTGGAAGGGAAGGAGTTCAGTGCGCACAAGGTCGTCGTGGCCGTTGGCAGTAGCTACTTTCACGCGTGTCTGAGCAAGAACCCGAGCACGGATGTGGTCACCCTGGATCACGTCACCCACTCCGTCTTTCAGCACCTGCTCGAGTTTCTTTACACGTCCGAGTTTTTCGTGTACAAATATGAGATACCCCTAGTTTTAGAGGCCGCGAAGTTTCTGGACATCATCGACGCCGTGAAGTTGCTCAATAATGAAAGCGTCGCCCCGTTCCAGGCCGAGCTAGCCGAGAAGTCACCCGAAGAAACCCTAAGCGAACTAACCGGAAAGCTATCGAATAATCACCAGTGTAAATTCTGTAGCAGACATTTTTGTTACAAGAAGTCTTTAGAGAATCACTTGGCCAAAACCCACAGGTCCCTTTTGTTAGGGAAGAAACATGGGTTAAAAATGCTGGAGAGAAGTTTTTCCGCGAGGAGATCGAAGAGGAACCGGAAGTGCCCTGTGAAGTGTGACGACACCTCTGATGATGAGCAGGAAAGCGGCGATGGGTCCGACCATCTGAGCCAAGAACATTTCAGTAAGGAGAAGTCCGACAGAAATGATTCTGAGGATCCCGGCAGCGAATATAACGCCGAAGAAGATGAGCTAGAGGAGGAAATGTCAGATGAGTGCTCAGACACCGAAGAACAAAGTGACAAGGAGCAACAGGACGCGGAGGAGGGACCCGAGGCCTGCGAGTCTGTAGGAAGCATTCATGGCGGGCTGACTCCCGTGGTCATTCAGAACAGCAACAAAAAAATCCTGCAGTGTCCTAAATGCGATAAAACCTTTGACCGGATAGGTAAGAAAAGAGACCTTGTTTTCTGTCTCTAGAAACTTACTTTTCAGGGCTATTTTGAAGGTGACGATTAAAAAACGAACATGGAAAGTACATTTTAAAAAGGACATGTAACTGGGGTGGATATTTGATCTTCAATAAATATTTGATCCTGTTTAAATTTGTTGTGATACAGGAATTAATTTAAGGATCGATATTAGCCTTTATTTTCTCTTCCTCATGTCCTGACAGATCATTAGTTCATGTATTTGGTATAAGAAACTCCAGAGTATCAATTACCATGAATGTAGAGATTTGATTTATATGTTAATTTAATTTTATAGATAAGTGCTATTTTTGAGTCATTATAGAAAATTGAATTACATTATATTAGATTTAATAATTGTATTCCATTTCCCCTTGAACTTGGTAATATGTGAGTTAGAAATACAGTCACTTTTCCAGTGTCTAGTACTGTTTAGAATTGGGATGTTTCAGATTAGACTAATACATAGTTGAGAATAAAACTACTGAATGTAATTTAATTTTGTAGGTAGAGCCTTTAGGAAGTGTCCTAATGAAATTCTTTGGTTATTATAACAATGAATAAATCAACTTTTTCCTTATTAGAAAGGTGTATGTAGGAAATGGGGTCCATCAGCTTAAGTTAAAGAATATTTAAGTTCAAGAGATCTAATATTTGCTAGTAAAGTAATTTTTCGGAGGTCTCTTATATGAACTGTTCTGAGCTTTTTAATTGCAATAATTAAACTATTTATGTGTAAATCAAAGTTACAGAATTGTGACATATATTCTACCAGATACAATCAAATGAGCGTGTCAGTGCAGTCTGACCATGTAAAAATTCCTCACTTGGTTTAATCTATCCAGAGTGTCTTGCAATGTTGAGTTACATATGTAACTGGTATAGGTGCAAATTGGTTTTTATTAGGTATTGGTAACCATTTCCTCGCAAAATATGCGGCAGTATACTTGATGACACCACAGTGGTTACATCTTTTTGCTTTTTATCATGCCTGTCACGCCACGTCAGAATACCTCTGACAACCCAGTGTAATAAAGTAGTACTGTTTCTGCGGTGAGGCTCCGCGCCCACAGGATAGAACTTCCCTTGAGGAACTCAGCCAGTGGGAAGAGCAGAGGGAAACAGTAAGCTTTTTAAACTCGGGCTGGATACATGCTCCCAAAGAGCTGGGAACAAGTGCTGTGCTGGTGCAGAGAAGAGAACAATGTTTCTGGATTGAGGCACCCGAGAACATTTTCTGGTTCTAGTCAATTATGCTCCCGAGACTTTGTATTCTTAGCACATGCTTCCCGTATTCTGCCATAATTGGATCTGATTTGACTTGAGATGAATGGACCTAATTTGATTCGAGATGAGTGAGCAGAGGGTTGTTCACAAATGTCCTTGTAGGCCCAGCGCGTAGATCTCCAACTGTGCCATGAACATTGGCCCGTGAGACGCTTCAGGCGAGGGTTTCTGCGTTCAAATTGGGGTGGGAAAGCCATGTACTGTAATCCCCATTCTGTAGTAACTGTCAGATGTCCAGTAAAGAAACCTGTTTGTTTTACTTAATCTGGCATTTCCTGAAATAATTTTATCACAAGACACTTTGGGGTACTTCATGTCCCAAGAAACTAGAGTTCTTTGTACATAACTTGGGAAAATACCATTCAAGATGAAGGTCCTGATAATTGAGAAGAAGGCATTTTGCAGCTTTTTAAACCAAGGGCAGTGTAGGTAATTGTCGGAACAAATAGGACCCATTGTAGGCTTATTTCCAGCCTACCTTTCTGAATGTATTTTACGTTCCCCTCTCTTTTATTCACCCCCTTTTGCTTAGCCTCACTGGGGTTGGGTATGTACCCCACCACTGAGGGGGGTGGGAGGAGAGAGTGAGAGAGATTGATTTCGATTGAGATTATGACATATTGGTTAAAAAAAGCATGAGCTGTGGGGATGACCCACTACCTGCATTTTTGAATCCACATCTTGAGCAAGTTACTAACCTGTCTGTCCTTTGTAAGTAGACTGGGGCAACACTAATAGTACCTTCTCCCGGGTTGTGAGGATTGAATGGGGATGGTCCTTGTGAATCACTTAAAATGTGTGAAGTGTAGAAGGGGTTCAAGGAATGCTAGCTGCTCATATTATTCATTAATCTAGTAGAGTTGAGTGTCTCTGACATGCCAGCTAGTGTGAATGCACTTTGGTCTTTTCTACCCTATTCTGTTGTCATTGTCCCCCACCACCCCTATGCTAGTCACAACCCAAGGGAATTGTCTCTCTGAACACTAATGACCTTCAGTTTGAAGAATGCTGATCTAAACCATAACCTAGCTTAACTCTGGTTTTATAAAACCTGCTTGTTATTTGTGATGTCTGGAAAAGTCATTCAAAGTATTACCTTGGGCCATGCAAGGACACCTGTCTCCCAATAAAGTCCTGTATTAAATCTCATCCCTTGAACACGCAGGGGAAGTGGTGACCCCAGTTTTCAAGGAAAGATGTAATTTGAACAGTAAGCTCAAAACAATAAGTCTTTGAGGTTTATCAAAGTTATAAATTTAGGCAAACTTTTTTTAGATGCGGGTCTGTGTATTAAGTAGGTTATTAATCATGAGGTTCTCCCCCGCCACTGTCAGATTTCAGTCGTTCTGGTAAATGTACTGAATTTCATTTTGATCTCTCTCTTTTTATAGGGAAATATGAGAGCCACACACGTGTTCACACAGGTGAGAAGCCCTTTGAGTGTGATATTTGTCACCAGCGCTATTCGACAAAGTCTAACCTAACTGTTCACAGAAAGAAGCACAGTAATGAAACAGACTTTCATAAGAAGGAGCACAAGTGCCCTTATTGTAATAAACTTCATGCAAGCAAGAAGACCTTAGCCAAGCATGTGAAGAGGCAAGTATGATCTTGCTTCCGCCATACGCTTTATCGTGCCTTTTGCTGTACATGTAGCGTACGCTGAACACCTCTGTGCGGGGCCCGTCTCTGGTGCTTCCCTTCTGAACATTTTGCAGACTGTACATTTAGTAAGAGCAGCAAATGTTAATTTGTTGGCATTTTTTATTAATGCTATTGAGAAGAACGTTTTCGATGTTGAAATGAGCTCCTTAGTCTGTACTGTAGAGATTTAGGATATAGCATTCGGTTATCCTGTTTTTCGTCTTGGGTTTTGGCAAGCATAGTATTTCAAAAGAATATGGTTTTAGAACTCTAAGCAGCTTATTCCTCATGCTCAGCTTTGTCTTTAGTGGACAAAATAAAATTGTGAGCGAAGGAACATGTAGTACAGTTTGCATATTTAACTCTAAGAAATTAGTGTACTGAAATCTGGACTAAAAAATTATCAAGTGAATTACCTTGAAGAGTATCTGTGAATAGCTAGGTGCCTGAATGTATTCAAAATACATCTAGACTTTTTGACAATTTCTACATTAATGTGGGCATATACATTCACTTATTAAAATGATATTGGTATGTATATTCTTAAAATACTGACATGCTTCTGTCTCAGTAAGAAAGGAATCTGTCTGATTCTTGTTATCACTGTCCACAGATTGTATGGAATATCGACTTGACTAATATAACTTCTTCCTAATAATCTTTTTATTTTTCTCTTCCAGATTTCATCCTGAAAATGCACAAGAATTTATTTCCATTAAGAAGACTAAGAGTGAAAGTTGGAAATGTGATGTAATAGCTTTTAATTTGTAATAGAGAACAAAACTAAATGTCATGGTACCTTTTGGGAAAGTAATTAGACTTTCTAGTAATACAAAGTTGGCATAGCTGCCTTTTGGATTTTCTTTTATGCAATGATATTCTAATACTTCATAAATTAAGGCTGGTATGGGTTAGTTTTTTAGATGACGGACCTGACACATAGACATCCTAGCGTTATTTTAATGTAATCACCATGCCATGTATTTGAAGTTCTGTGTGCAAACTGTGATACCACTGTTGACGGAGAATATCTAATGTTAGAACTTCCCCTCCATTTCTGATGATCTGCTGTTGTATAACAAACCACCTCAAGACCTAGTGGCCTTAACCAGTCATTTTATTGTACCTCACCGTTTTCTGGGTCAGTGATGTGAACTTGGGGCAGGGCTTGCCAGGTGATTCTCCTGCCCCACAAGGTTTCAGCTGAAGTCTCTCAGTCATCTCCAGCCGGTGGGTGGTCTAATCTGGCCTGCTTTGGGGCACTTCAGAGTGGCTCACTCACACGGCTAGCAATTTGGTGTTGGCCCACAACTAGCAGCTGAATAAGGACAGTTGGCTGGGGCCCTTGCGTCCTCTCTACTTTGGTCTCTTGATGGCTACTTGAGCTTCCTTCTGTGATGGCAGCGAGGATCCAGGCAGCCTTGATGAAAATTGTGAGGCTTTGTAAGCCCCAGAGCCGCACTTTGAACACTTTCTTTTTAACTACTCCAATTTATGGGTTTATTTTTCATCACGAGCTTTGTATTTTAATTCAGGTTTCCTTACATTTCGTGTGCATGTTCTTTTAGATTTGCAAGAAATCTTTTACTCGAAGACCTCACTTGGAGGAGCATATGATTCTGCATTCTCAAGACAAACCCTTCAAGTGTACCTATTGTGAAGAACACTTCAAGTCACGATTTGCACGGTTAAAGCATCAGGAGAAGTTCCACCTGGGTAAGCCGACGGCCTGTCCTAGGCGCAGTCCAGCAGTTGTTGGTGACACAGCCTGCGGGGTCCCGCTGTCCTTCCCCGGGGAGAAGGAGCTGCATGAAGCGGGAGGAGCACTGCAGTTGTCGCAGTTCCTGGAGACCAGGAACTACATCTGTCTGCTTACTGTTTCCGTGGCAGATTGTCCGTGGTTCTGAACTGCATTATTCACCAGCGACAGTTGGATAGCTTTGTGAATGCTTGGGATACAGCATTTTTGTGTTGGGAAAAAACTCATTTTCCAGGGAGTGCAATAAACTTAGTGTATTTGGAATTCAGTATGGTATTGGATGAATTTCCTCCCCAGTGCTTGTGGGCACGGTGGAGAGACATGTGGTCCGAATCTCAGTAATGAGTATTGTCAGGCCAAGTAGAGGTCTTTCCTGTCCTGGTCAACGTACCTGTTGACAGCTGGGATGCCAGTATGCACTTCCTGCTTATGAAGTTGGTAGCTAGTGTAAAGCTGGCAATACGTATAGAAGAGAATAGAAATGTAAAGAGAAAACTCTGCTGTACAAAAGGTTAAAACAAATTAAGTTTAATTAAGAATAAATGCAAACTCATAGGCATGGGGACGATCTGACCTTTAGTCATTGGGGAAACTGTAAAATGGACCAGAATCCAAACTTATTTTACAGATGGACTTAATAGCAGGGGCTTTTAAGGCACAATCTGAACCAATAATGTCATATGACTTGTCAAAAACCAATGTAATTTTGAAATAATATCAGTAAAAATGTATTGTTCAAAATTAGGAGGTAATTGTCTCACTGATTTTAAATTGATCTGGATTATGGCATTCATTTCTGGATACCACCTTCAAGGTGATATTGACAAATGGATTTCGAGAGGTGAGTAACTATGGTGACATAAGGTCTTAAAGTTATTTCGTGGGAAAACTTGTGAAGGACTTGAAATGTTTTGTCTGGGCAGCAGAGAGATTTTGTCTGGGAAGGGAGATAGAACAAGCTATCTTCAGATGCTTTAAGACTGTTGTGTAATAAGGGACACTTCATCTTTGCGTTTCTAGTATATAATGCTAGTGTCTGCTGGAAACTGATTTTTCTCTTGTGTAGCCTTCTCTGAATTTAGTAAGTTGTTCTAGCATAGTATTTCTTCTGAGCATTTCTAAGAAGCTATCTTATGGAGACAGGTTTTATAATTGCTGTCGTTATGAACCATATATATATATATATGTAAATATATTTATTCATTATTATGTGTATAATATATGAACCCTAGTTGGAGGCATGTTCATGACTGCATTTTGATGTGAGAACTTTCTTTAGACATTAGTTCTAGGAAAAAAGTTTTGATTGGGGATTTGGTGGGCTTCTTCCATCTGGAAAATGAAGCCATGGGTTGTCTTCTTGTGTCTCACCTTATGGAAATACATAATACATAACAATAATTTTTATGATTAACATACGTGTTTCCACTTCCTTTTCTGTTCCTGCTTTTTTATTTTAACTTTTATTAAATATGTCATTTAGTAAATAAATAGGCATTCTAAAAACATTGACTGGAAATTCTAAGGTATAGGTTTAGTTGCAAAGGTTTGAAAACAGTAATTGTAATACTAGAAATGATAACATAGAGCATGACTTAGAAATTTTTCTAAGTATTGGAACTTACAAATGGGATAAGCTGTCTGGGGCAGTTCCTCTCCCGTCTGTGGAAGGAGACAAGCAGATGCCGGCCGGTCAGTGGTTAGAGTGGTTGAAGAGAGCATGCTGGGAATGGTGGTCGAACTAGGTGTTTATGACTTGTTGTTGAAAGATATTTACTTTTCTGCCCTGGCTGCTTTGTCTCAGTGGTTAGAGCATCAGCCCATGGACCAGAGAGTCCCAGGTTCGGTTCCGGCTAAGGGCACGTACCTCGGTTTGTCCCCGGCCTGGTTGGGGTCATGTGGGTGGCAACCACTCGATGTGTCTCTCTCCCGTCGATGTTTTTTTCTCTCTCTTCCTCCCTCTCTCCCTCCCGCTCTATCTGAAGATAAATGCAAAAGTATCCTCAGGTGAGGATAAAAAAAAAAAGATGTTTACTTTTCTATCATGCTCCATGGTATCAGTAAGGAGAGGTGTTCCAGAAACATTACTGTGGGGTTTTCCCCACAATAACAACAAGTCTGTGACATCAGCTGGGTGTCCTGCATGTCACTAACTCTGACACTGGCTGGAGACGGTGTCAGATCCCACAGGCTGCGGGCTCAGTCCCACAAGGCGTGTCACCCCTTCCGATGCCAGTCGCAAGTAGTAGGTCCCCAGGTCCCCAGGTCCCCATGGCCTGTCACCTCACACACACCAAGGAAGTTTAACTTAGTGGCTACTCCTTCCATTTTAAGTGCCCACTATTCTTTACTTTTTAGGTCCTTTTCCATGTGATATATGCGGTCGCCAGTTTAATGACACTGGGAATTTGAAACGCCATATAGAATGTACGCATGGTGGAAAGAGAAAGTGGACTTGCTTTATCTGTGGAAAATCCGTTCGAGAGAGGTGAGGAGTTATCCGCGCACCCAGAAACATCGTGTACTGTTGTGTAGAAATGACTGAGAAATGTGGTATGTAAGGGCTAGAGCAGCGGTTCTCAACCTGTGGGTTGCGACCCCTTTTGGGGTCGAACGACCCTTTCACGGGGGTCGCCTAAGACATAACAGTAGCAAAATTACAGCTATGAAGTAGCAACGAACATCATTCTATGGTTGGGGGGTCACCACAACACGAGGATCTGTGTTAAAGGGTCGTGGCATCAGGAAGGTTGAGAACCCCTGGATTAGGGAAACCCAAGACACAACATGCTTAAATTATGCTGTAATTTCAGATTGAAAGGTAAAAGAAGCGATTAGATAAGGTGGTGTAGACGACGGTGTGAAGTCAGGATGTGTGGGCTGAGGTGGTAACTAACGTGGAACACGTGACACGACATCTACCCCGGCGCACAGATCCGTGCTGTGAGCTGCAGGGACAGCGCTGCACAGCGGAGCTCGGGCCCACTCGTGTGGCTGAGACTGTGCCACGGAGCCGCAGTCCTCCGGTCCCCTGCTGTCCTCGCAGCACCTTGTGCTCCCGAGTTCCTGTTCGTGAGAGGGAGGGGCGGGTCCTGAGAGCTTAGTTCAGAACGCAGAGCAGCCAGTACCTGTCCGGTCCAGCTCGTCGGGGGATGAGGGGGATGCACCTTGTTTTCCAGTGTTGGTTCGTGGCTTTGCCCACTGACCTGCTGGAGAGGGTGCTTGCCAACACTCGGAGCTGCGGCCAGACCGGCAGAGAACCATTCACATGAGCTTGTGGGCGCCCGTCTCCCGGGGCAGCAGTGTTAGGCTTGCGGTTGCTGTTCAGTTTTCAGAAACATGCGCTGTGTTCCGTGGTGTGTCCTGCGTGGATAGCAGAGCAGAGAAGAGGGAGTGTGTGGCGGTGATTTCTGGGACAGGGAGGTAGGGTGGATGAGGCCGGGGGAGCGGGGGAGGCATTGCAAGGTACAGTGTGCTGTATCTCATTCTGCGCATGAGTGTCTAGTAATACCCTTTAAACAGTGTGCACGAGTTTTATACTCTTCAGTATATTAAAGTTTTACAAATAAAAGCATTTGAAATTCCACTTTCTTAAAATAATAGATGGATATGTTGGCAGAATAGGAAAATCGGTATGCTGTTTGTAAATAAAAATTTGTATTTACAGATCCATGAATTATTAAGGTGATTTTATGCAGCATAAGCTCTGTTTCCCCTTAAAGGTCTTTCTGCAGAAGCAAAAAGCAAATAACCCAAAACCACCACAACCTTTCCGTGTTTTTATCTTTAGTTAAAGGTAGGGGTCTTGAGATAGTTTTCTGGATGTTTTCCACAAAGCTCCATGTTCCTGCAGGCTCACCTGTGAGGTGCTGGTGGGCCTTGGAGAAGCGCGCCACCTACTGGCAGAGAGCTGCCTTCATTTCAGAGTCCACTTCATGCTCAATGTCGTGGGATTGAAGTAAGAACCCAGGGACAGTCAGAAGCCTGCGAAAGGCAGACGCATTGCCTTGTCCTTTCTTTCCCCCAAATAACTTTCCCAGCCCATTGCCGAGGTGGGAAATCTCTGAACGTCAGTACTGCAGGACGTGCTGCTGATGGATTCGGACCAGCAGTGCTCACGCAGGCCATCCAGGGTCTGTGGGAGTCACCACAGTTGGATTCTGTGTGGTTCCCTTTGTCACACTGGCATCGGGAACTTCCAGACACCTGCAAGTTTTCTTTGCCTTAAAACATTCTTTTAACAAGTACTGAACACCCGTTTAAACGGATTCGTACTAATAAACTGGGCTCCCTGTCATTATTGAACATTATTGTCATTATTGATGTGCTCTACCAAAATCACATCAGTTTTACCGAATTCAGTAGTAGCACTTGAGTATTTTCTGTTTGTACTTCTCCAGATTTTGTTTCAGCTAGATAGTTAAATCATTGAGCAATCCAGTGGCAAAGGAGGTCAAAGTTACATTTTTTTTACCTTTTTTTTTTTTTACGGGAAGAGGCACAACAAAAATGTTTGTGTGCAGGTGAGACTAACCCTAGAAGAAGAGTCTCTGTTAGCTTGAACACATTTCTAGTAAGCTTTCGGGACATCTCTTTAGTTTATACATTGTAATAGTCTTGAGTCAATAGGGAAAAAGGGGACATATGTACTACTTTCAACAATAAAAAAATCTTTAGTTTAAATGTATGTATTTTAACATAGAACTACTTTGAAAGAACATCTGAGGATCCATAGTGGAGAAAAGCCTCACCTTTGTAGTATTTGTGGGCAGAGTTTTCGCCATGGAAGTTCATACAGGTAAGTTAAGCCATTTTTTTTCTTTATATGTAAGCAAAAATTATATCTTCATTTCAGTTCTATTTTCTTGTCATTGGTTTAGTTGTTAAATTAAAGCATTTATTAGCACTTATGACCAGCAAAGTTGTGCAAAAAACTTTGTACACTACCCCCTATACTTTTTTTAATTAATTAATTTATTTTTGTTACAGATGTTTCTCCTTTTCCCCCCTCCCCCTCCCTCCCCGCCCTGTCCCCAGTTTTGTTGTCCCCCCTAAACTTTTAATAATGTCTTCATTCTGTGATATAAAATATTTTAAAACATTTCCTCATCACAACATTTGTTGGATGCTTTATTGTCTAAATTGTTGTCATTGAAAGATTTATTTTGTTACTTTTCTTTGAATCAAAATGTATTATAACTCTGGTGTTGTAAGCTTTATTTCTTCACTCTGGGTTGTCAAAGAATAGTTTGGTATGAAAATATGGCAAAATTGAAAACTCCAGGATTCTCAGTTTTTGAAAGTCGTCATTATTTGAAACTTAATTATTTTTATAACTGAATCCTTGACCACATTTGCAGTTTCTGAAAAGTTGTTCATTTTTCTGAATAAATAGTAGGCAACTGAGTACTGTGAGACATGTGTATACTTTTGCTTTTTATTAATGCTGTGAAGAATTTTAATTTCAAGGCTTTGCTATTTACCCTTTCATTTAGTATCTGTCTCTCTGAGTTTAGGCAGAACGCTTCCCCTTTACCCACAGTTCAGTCAGTTTACTGTTTAGTCATGGTAGAATCAGCGTGTTCGGGCAACTTGAATGCGAAAGCTATTCATGTCCCTGGGACACACGTAGATGGAGGATTGTGAGGGTAAAACGAATTCCCGTTAAATCACTTTTAATAATTTAAACCTTGTATAGTCTGTCATTGGGTAACTATAAAATGAGCTGTATTCTGTTAGGTTAAATGTGAAAAATGTAGTAAAATGTAATTGTCAGAAAGCTGATCACTTATCGATTCACTAAATTCTCGGCTGCTACTTAATGAGCACTGTCAGCTCCGGGGTTCCCGTGGTTGCGGGCTGTGCCACGTGGCCCCGCGGTGTCTGCCCTTGTGCACTTGCCGTTTGTCTGCTCCCGGCCCCGCAGCGGCGCCTGTGCAGGGCGGGGGAGTCGGGCAGGCAGCCTGGAGTGGGGTGAGAGTGGGACGGGCCCCAGGTCACAGCCCGTCACCCCGTGGATGCGTCACGTCTTTCCTTCTGCGCCCCCTTGCCCACTGGTCTCCATCCGCTTCCTTCCAGACTCCACTTACGAGTGCATCACGACGATAAGAGATATGAGTGCGATGAGTGTGGGAAAACATTTATCCGCCACGACCACCTCACGAAGCACAAGAAGATACATTCAGGTGAGGTGGGTCTGGTGGGATGTGTCCACAGTCCTTCTCCACAAAGCACCTGACAAGGACATACTACACCATGTTTATGTTGGCTGTAATTCTGATAGTTCGGTGTATGTTGGCCACTCCTTCCTGATGCTGATTCTACCTACCTTTTTTGAAAAAGCATCTGAAAGGGACATAATTTTATGACCTGTTTTTCTTCATTGTGATTTTAATTGTTTGGTTGCCTTTTATGACTATAAACTATATTTTAAAGTTGTTTTAATCAAATGCTCAACATTCATACTGTGCATGTCATGTGGTACATGCAGCAGTTGTTGCTGACGCCCCCTACAGGAGCCGCTGAGATAGTACCTGTCATTTGATTGGAGTTGAAAGAAGTTAGCAAAACAGACATTTGAAGAGAAATCATTGTAATTGGGTGTTAAAGTTTATGTCCCAGTGAATTTTTGAAACCCTGTCTTGGGAAAAGAGTACCTAAGTCAGGCTGATCAGTTTCAGCTCTGTGGGCACCGAGTGGGGAGTGTCCATCTCTGAGCGCAGTAGAGCAGGTGATTATTATTACTGCTGTAAACAGCCAAACACCAGCATACGGCAGATGGCCATCATGTTCTGAGATGATCCCAGTGAGGCAGGTTGAGTGGCTATTACCATTTTTAAGAGCTACTAAAGGTCTTATGTAGGACCTTCCCACTGGAATTTTACATGTTCATATTTAGGTGGAGAATTCTGAGTTCCTAATTCTAAAGGCCACGTGGTTTAACTCCACACTGGTATTAGGTTGAGAAAGTGTTTTCTAAAGACCGAGCCTTGGTAACTGAATATAAAAATAGAGATGAGAAATTGGATTCAGCCAGGATTTCCCTTTATATTTGTATTTTGGCTCATTGTAAATGTAAGAAATCCTCACAGATGAAAGTCTTTTAAAAGTAAAGTACAAAGATCTGAAAACGTTCAGGTCTTTTTTATAAAGAGTAAGACGGTCTTACCTTGATTCAGTGTATGTTCATTTAAGATGTATGATATCCACACATATATGTTTACCCCCAAAATCCTGAGTTTAAAGTAATTCCATTTATCTTGCTCTGTTGCATTGAAAGGTAAGATTTGAAGTCTGCAGCAAAAGGCTACTGACGTGGGGAAAGGATTCACGCCCGTGAAAATAGGCATAGATTCATTGAAGAAAGATACTTGAGTAAGGAGTATGGAGCAGATACCCAGAATAAAGGGTGGCTTGGCTTTCCTGGTATATTTCTCCCCCTGTTTCCTTCCTGTTCAGTAATTTGTTTCTGGGAAAAAATATGAAATGCATATTGTAATAAAAATATTTGGATTTTAAGGTGAAAAGGCTCATCAGTGTGAAGAATGCGGAAAATGTTTTGGCCGTAGGGATCATCTCACTGTTCATTACAAAAGCGTACACCTTGGAGAGAAAGTCTGGCAAAAGTAAGTGAAAAAGCACTTCTAGTCATGACTGCATTAGATAAGTCTAGGTTGGAGGAACATTACAATGTGTCTCAGAATGTATTTTGTTTAGTTGGGGATAGGTTGGTTAACCAGCTTTCTTTCTCTCGCTTGTACAGCTTCTCTGCAGACCGGAAGGAACTGAGCAAAGCCTTCATACTTGTTTTTAGTTGTTCAAAGGCTAGAAGGTGGTAGAAGTGGAACTTACTAATATAAAATCTTGGCATTCTCCGGAGAATTCACTTGTTTGGTTGCTGTGGGTCTTTGTATATAAATATACGGCCTATGTATTACACTTAATGAAGCAGCAATTATTGGGAAACGTTTGTAGTCAGAAATTAAATCTTTTTAATCACACTAAGTATTAAAATGGTATTTTATTTGAAGGGGGCATGAATTGTCTGAACATCAACTTTTTAATACAACTTAGATATCCAAGTTCCACTGAGTTATCGAGTGTACAGTGTGGAATGAATTCAGGAGCTTGGACTAGATATTTGGAGCAAGTACTAAGTAATAGACATGGTCTAAGGTGCCTGGAAGCTTAGTTTATAGTGCTGAGCACAATCAACAAAACACACATCTTATACAGAAAAGCAGCAACTGTCCACTGGTCTGAAGACCAGTAGGCAGTTGACTTGTGTTAATTGTTACATTTTCACGTGTTGGTTTGGTGCTTCCTTCGTTGATTGTGTTCAGTGACGTACTCATTGAATCACTGGGTTCAGAGGGTATTTTCCTGCTGTGCTCACTGGATGCCAGCGACCTGCGAAGGGCTGGCTGTGAACGTGCCCACGGCGCTGGGTAGGAAAGGGAGCGAGCTCGTCAGCAGACTGTCTGGGCGGGTGGAAACAGGCCGTCCACTGCCGCTCCGGAGTGCTGCACCCTCCTCCTCTCAGGCCCTGCCCCCTGCAGGTGATTCAGCCGCGCAGGAGCTTCTGTTCATGTCACTTACCACGTACACGTGTAGTGTAAATGAGTAATAGAAGTCCTTAGGAATTAACATGAGAAACCAGTGTAAGTTCTTATGTTTTAATTCATTAAAAAATAATATACCCATCACATGCTAACATAAATAGCAATTATGTGAAATAAATACTTCATAAAACAAAAAAACTATTAAAAGAGTAGTATTGTTTTACATTCCTGTAAATCTCTTTAATGGCTTAATAGCTGGATTGGCTTATCTGCTGTCTCATGTTATTTTGGTTGAAGTAAATGAAGAAAATCTAGCCTCCGTCAGATACATAACTGGTAAAAGGAGGAGTATTAGAATAGCCCCTTTCTTAGATAAGTGTGGATGTTATTCTTGGCTACTTCACTAAAACTCATCAAGCGGTAGTTTCTCAAGGGTAGTAGCAAGGTAGAACCTGAAGCAAGGTGTTTTCATCCTCTGTCCGTTTAAACTCTTGGTCTGTCTTGTACTTTAATGGGTGCGTTACTGGCACATGATAGCGGATTTGTGCATTTGTCGTTTCGAAAATACGGGCTCACTGAGGGATGCAGATTTTCCAATGTTAGCATATTTCACAGGACAGAGTCAGCAGATCCTATTGGCTAATGCTGCCTCCGGTGGCTCAGAACAGAGAGGGAGGACACTGCCGGGGCCTCAGGGGCCGACGCAGGTGTCCCGACATTCTTACGTTAGCTTGAACGCTCACCTTTTGTCATTAACAAACATTGCCAGTTTTTTCCCCTGAAGTGTCAGGCTCACTTTAAGTTTTGAGAAAATATCTGCCAAATACTCCAGTCTGTGATGGTAGTTTGTCTTTTATTCTTTCAAGTAAATCGGTATTTATTCCATGAAGAAAGGGGCTCCCTCAGCCCACAATCAGTCTCATGGGGGCTTTTCTTTGACACCATTGTGCTTAGATTTGTTGTGTATTATTTATTAAAATTACATTGAAAAAAAAACTCAAACCTTTTTATTTTCTTAGATATAAAGCCACCTTTCATCAGTGTGATGTTTGTAAGAAAATTTTTAAAGGCAAATCAAGTCTTGAAATGCATTTTCGGACGCATTCAGGTAAAACTTACTGGGTAGTTTCTATATTTTCTTGTGCAATATGGAGTAAAATATAGGCCTTTAAACTTTGTTGTTCTTGGTTAAATTGTTTGGTTTTTTTCCCCATTGAGATTTTTACTTTTTATATTAAAGTCGATGTCATCAATGAGCAACATTCTGGTCTTCCATTCTCTATTATAACAGCTTCAGTACTTTGAATATCATTTTGTATAATTTGGGAAAACTTTTTTTTTTATCCTCACCTGAGGACAGTTTTGCGTTTATCCTCAGAGCGGGAGGGAGAGGGGGAGGAAGAGAGAGAGAGAAACATCCATGTGAGAGAGACACATTGACTGGTTGCCACCCACACGACCCCTACTGGGGCCAGGGACAAACTGCAACTGAGGTACGTGCCCTTATTGGGAACCCAACCTGGGTCTCTCTGGTCTGTGGGCCAACACTCCAACCACTGAGCCAAACCGACCAGAGCTGGGAGAACTTTTTTCATTAAGAATTTACTCAACTCTTAGCTCTCATTTTCCTCCTTTCTTTTTGTTTATGGTTCCTCTATATCTGTTTACCTCTCTAAAGACATGAATTTATTCTTTTAAAGAGTAATCCAAATATGGCTTCGTCGTCTTGCTCAGAGTTAGCTCTGTAGTTTTCCCTGCGCAGTCCGTGTCATTCCTGGTGGTTAGAGCAGAAGGTCGCTTTCCTTTCCAGAAGTCGCCATTCTCCGCGCCTTCCTCTTCCCCTTGGCGGTGGTCCTGCACTTGGGAACGTGGGCCCCGGGGGCCCCTTCTCGGGCTGTCGCGGTCCCCGTGTGTCGTCCCATGGACGTGCCCCTGTTCAGGCTTTCCCTTCCTGAGGACGCAGCTCACGGTGCAGTGTTAGCTGCTTCGTTTCCACTTCGCTTGCCTTCTGTCCGGCTGCTGTTCAGGAGGAGAAAACTGATTGCTTCATACATGGGGGCGGGCGGGGGCTGGGTCCGGGCAGGTCCAGTCGTCAAGCTGTGATCACAGGAAAGGATGGATTACTGTGCAGGGCTGCCGTTCAGGACCAGGTCACCCCCTCCAGAGGAAGAAGTCTAACTGGGGCACACAGAGGCTAGTCTGAGGATAAAAGGAGAACAGAAGTGAGCTGTGATGATAACAGCCTGGGTGCATCCAGCTCTGCCATGGGCCAGGCCCCACGTAAGCACGGCGGCTTCACCTTCTGCTGGGACCGCTCACCGGGCCGGCGGGAGGCGGGCGTCTCCCATTGCCGCGAGGGGACTGCTCACAGCCGGGGCGCCTGCCCCAGGCTCGGCCCCTGTAAGTGGGGTGGCCAGGATCAGACCAGGTCTCGTACATGTTTGAGCCCATTATTCTCGTCACCAGCTCTCTAGTTTGTGACAGCATATAACATTACTTTTATTAAGTTCTTGTAAGAATTCATGTGGAAAATTTGCCACTTAAAATCATGGTCTTACCAAGCGAGTGCATTTTATACTTCATTTCATTTTTGTTCATGCAGGTGAAAAACCATACAAATGTCAGATTTGCAATCAGTCTTTTAGGATTAAGAAAACCTTGACCAAACACCTGGTTATTCATTCTGATGCCCGGCCTTTCAACTGTCAGCACTGTAACGCGACATTTAAGCGGAAAGACAAGCTGAAGTACCACACTGACCACGTGCACGGCATCAAGTCTCCCGATGACCCCCTGAGTGCTCCCGAGGAGAAGCTCGTGGCCCTGCCAGCAGAGTGCTCTTCAGGGGACAAAATCTTCCCGGCAGGAACGGAACAGTACATGGAGCAGCCCAAAGTGTATCAGACGGAGGCCAAGACGATGCTGCAGAACGTGCCTGCCGAAGTGTGTGTCCCGGTGACGCTGGTTCCCGTTCAGATGCCCGACACCCCCAGTGATCTGGGGCGTCACAGCACCACACTCCCACCACCTTCGCATGACATCTTGTCGCCACAGCCACAGATAACTGAGTACCCACGCGCGGCTGACTTAGCTTTTCTGGAAAAATACACTCTGACTCCTCAGCCTGCAAATATAGTTCATCCCGTCCGACCTGAGCAAATGCTGGATCCCAGGGAACAGTCTTACCTCGGAACATTATTGGGCCTCGATAATTCTACTGCTGTGCAAAACATTTCCAGTACTGAGCATCACTCGTGAGGAAATCGACACGTTCCGCAGGCTGCGTGCGGTGGTCGCGTGCTGACGGCCTGGCGACGAGGCCTCGCAGTAGCAGGACTAACCGTCTCGTTCCCCAAGTGCTCAGAGCCGACTCGCATCAGAAAACTGAGTATCTGTTTCCTGAACATAACGAGTATTTGGACATATTTTGAGGTATAATATTTGAAGTGAACATTTTTGTGATTTTAAAAGATTATTCAGTGCTAATTTTTAATGGTATCTCAAACTTCAAAATTATTAGCTGTTGACATTGTTTTATTTTTGTTTTAATCATCAGTGGAAATTTTATTCTTTAGTCTCATTCCTCCCTTTCCCATCTTCCAAATAAGTTTAAGGACCCTGCGGGCTGTCGAAGAATCTATGAGAGTCTCTGGTGATTGGAACTGTTCCTTATCCTAACATAAGGTTCATTATTATTCCTCTAGGTTTTTACAGTGATACTAGGACTCTGAATTTATAAGAAAGTCTTGGATATTTCTGTGTTGTTTCTTAATCTGGCCATAATTTCAGGTTATCATTATCTGTTGGTCTTTTCACAAACTCAAAGCCAGAAAGCTTAGTGTCGGAGTAGCTTGTTAGTGCAATGCAGAATTGAAGTAATTATCCAAATTATTGGTTTTTACCTCTGCTTCAATTATTATGACTCAGAAATGCAAATATAGATCTCGGCATTAAATTATGCAGTTGATAATGTGTTGAAAGCAAAATATGACAGTATCGTTCAAGGTAACTTCACCTTTAGTATTTGCCATTTTTTTCACATTAACAATGTATCACAGATCTATCTTTATCTCACTCAAGGAGGAGCAATGACCGCTAATTAATGGCGTATAAGTTACAGGTTACTTTTGGTCTCGTTGACCTTGGCTCACTGCCATTCTGGGAAACAGAACCAAGCGAGTCCACACGGTTGTTGGAAAGGTGCCAAGCAAACCCCACAGTCTGTGTCCAGCTAAACTCGTTGTGTCCTTAATCAAAGGAGCCACTGTGTATACACACATTTACATGCAGTCCAGATTCATCCTTGCTTTTCACGGAAGCCTGCCGCCTTGCACCCTTAAGGTGTGTTTCTGCGTGAGACAGAAGCCGAGCACGTGGTGGCCGGCACGGCGGGGAGAGCAGAGCTCACTGCTGGACATGGAGGGCCCGTCGGAGCCAGGGAGTGGGAAGTCCCCTTAAAGACGTGCACTTTCCGCCTCTTCAAGTCAGTTTCAGGTTCAGCTAGGGTGGCGTTGCCTAGGAGAGCTGCTTGGAGGGTTAGGGTAGGCAGGGTGGGTTTTCCTGAGCATGTCCTTTGGATGTAAACTACTGGAAAATGCAATTTTAAGAGTTTTCTATTTCAGTTTTGTTTACACTCCTAATTGCTTTAAGCACTTTTTTGTGTAAACTGTAATGTCTGGCCCAGCCCTTGTGAAAAAAAATCACAAATAAAATAATGAAGTTTTAATGACTAGAATGTAACCACTCAGTGGGGAAACGTGTTTGCCGAAGCACTTAAGGGAGGAAGGTACTGGGCAGGACGTTCGCCTCGCTAGTGGGAATAAAAGAAAGAAGTGCTGAGAATTGAAGCGCTTAACCCAAGTAGCTCTTGTAAATAAGAAAACCAGCCTGAGTTTTGCCTCAGTTTTAGGATTTGGTTATACTTATCCTAGGATGAGTAGATATAATTAATGTATTGATTCTTCTTTTTGAAACATTCTTTTTTTGTACAAATGTTACCATATCTGGGGTACTTACATGATGGAACTTGACTGTATGAGGTACTATTAGTCTGCTAGCCTTTCAAATGGACTTTTAAAAAGACGTATATCCTTATGATTTGTATCATAAAGAACAAGACTGTAAAAACTTACTGCTATGAAAAGAAATCATCCCCAACAGTGTGCCATGCTTCATATGTAAGCAGTGTAGACGATTCGGGACTTGGAGAAAGGCAGATGGTATGTACGTGTCTGTATATGGTGCATTACATGTTTGGTGGCGGAAAAAAGAGTATCATGTTTTCACATTGAAAAGATGCCTTTGTTTCTTGAAGGTATTTACTTTAAGGTTCTTTTAATAATCATCTCCTAATGCTTTAAATGTATGATTTGATTGTAGGAATTGGTTTACAGTAGACAACTTATCTGGAATGCATCTCTTCCGTAAAGCAAAATAGAAATCTGTTTAGTTCTTGCAGCTAACTCAAACTTGAATAGTGGGGTACACGATGCTCTCGCAGCTCTCCCATGTAAACCCCCTAACCATCTCGGAAAGAGCGGACACGCTGTGTTCCCACCGCAGAGAGAACGAACCTGAGGTGGCGGACTAGTTCGGTTCATGTCATCAAGGGCAGTCACTGGTTGCTAGGGAGAGAAGCGGAGCATCAGTGAAGGCTTCCCGGGTGCCGGGCACTGCGTCCCCCACGTCCGAAACAGGCTGGGAAGGGTGACAGGCCAATGGGTCTCAGCGGAGGAACAGACAAACTCTGCTTCCTCCGATTTCCAAATTACATGATGAGAAACTTTGAAAGTGTGACAGCCTCATGGATTTGGGCAAACTGAATGTATAGAAGTTTTTGAAGTTGGCACAAAAATATGAAATGAGGCCTACTCTTTTCTGTTAACCTTTTGTACTATTTGGGAGGTTTTTGGACAAATGTTCCGTGAACTCTAAAGTTCATTAGTCCTGTATGTATACTTAAAAGTTTTGAATCTTGCAACTAAGTTTAGCCTCATTCAGAATTTTTTTATTTTGTGAGCATAATTTATTGTTTTAAATTAATTTTTGTAGCTGATAGCAGTTAGCACTTAATATGTAAGTTGAATAATTTATTAAGTGTAGAAGTTTAACCTAATCGGTTTTTACTTAAATGCACCAAAGATTTTAGTAGGTATTAAAATAGTTCAAAAGAATTTAAATTCTTTGTTGTTTGAATAAATATTTGTCCAAAGAAGCACAGTTGAAGTCCTAGGCTTATGAATTAAAAAAAAAAAAAATTGTTAGTTTGAATACTAAGAGTAAGTGTTTGTGTTTATATGTATAAAATAAGAAGAGAAGAAAGTACTCTGGGAACAGTCAGCCTGCCAAATGAATTACAAATAAAGAGTGCTCAGTTCCTCAGTTTAATCAATGGAATGTTATCTTTTAAGTGGACACTATTAAGTGCAAAATAATAAGCTTATTTTTTACACTACACTATTAAAATCATTTGCCTTAGAATTTTTTTCAAGACAAGTTGAAGTTATTTTTGTATGAAACACCCCACCTGTTTTTTGCAGCCTAAAATAGGTAAGGGTAGGGTTTGTTCCCATCCACCAAGATTTAACCAACTCTGAAGGTGGTGATCTTTGCAGACTTTTAAGTAATTTAGTCATTTATTGCTAGAAGGAGTAGCAAAAAAATAGGGTTTTAAACTGGTGCTTTATTAAGTGACTTCCTTTTAAGTGATGGTAGGTCATGAAATAAATACACTAATAACTTTCTGTCAACCTTTAAATTGTCAAAACATCTTAGCGGAGTGACTATGAACTGTTAGTTCCGGGCTAATAAGTAATTAAATATCATGCATTGTTTTTTATTCTATAACTGCAAACAAATTAAAAACACAGCTAAACTGGTATGTTTGTAAGTTTGAGTTTTTTTCCAGATCATTCTGCCGTATCCTTGGCGACAAGTCAGACTTGGGAGCGTGAGCTCTTGGGCAGTGTCTTTTCTGGATTGAGTGCACTGTGCCTTTTCAACGTGTTGTCGTTGCTTAGAGTCGAGTCTGCAGGCGACATTGTGCTGGCTCATAAATGATTTTGATTCTCTTGTTGTCATGGGTCTTATGTTTGTGTTGCTTGCTGGCCAGGCAGCACTTTTTCTTAGGTTGCTTTATGTTTACGTAGGGAAATAGGCACTCAGTACTGGTGTGACTATTTGTTTTTGTTTTTGATGTCTTTTTGGTCTTTATAGTCACCATAAAGCCCCTCCTGGGCCTGTCTAGACGCTTCTTAGGAATCTAACAAATAAAATAAAATGAGGTGTGTGTGTGTCTCTCTGTCTCCTCACCCCGCTTTCTACCAACATTCAGTTGCTATAACCACACAGCTGTACACCGGACAGGTTCTGATGTCAGTTTGCCTAAAGCTGAACGAGAGGTGATGGTCTGAGATGAGTTTCCCTCAGGAGCAGCAGCGTCCCAACCAGCACACAGCTTGAGTTGGTCAACTCAGGAAGAGTTAGGACTTTTCACGTCGTGTTTGGATGACTGGGAGATTCAGTGCCCAATTTAAAATGAAGAAAATGTGTAAGAAACAAGTAGCATTTCTCAACTTTAAATAGAATGATGGTAAATGTTCCTTGCTATTAGAGTGAATGATGATGGGTAACGTGAGGATCATTTTCTAACCAGTTTTTAGGAACTAGAGACAATTCTTTCTTAGATCCTCCACTTGCTTTTGCACATTCCTCTTTCGATAAAATGTCTGTAGTGTTTTTTTTTTGAGGGGGGGGGATCACCCTCTTATTTCCAAAATTATTACAACTTAATGACCCTTTTATCCTGGAACATTAACATGCTTTCTGTACTTCCTCTTTGGAAGTAGCATTAATAAGAAAAAAGTCGGTAGGATTAGGTTGTGTGTAAGATGAGAGGTTTCGGTAGAACGCCTGCGTTTCGTTTCTGCTTCTTGTGTGAACTTGCTGTGTACTAATCGATCTTAACTCTATGACTATTGGAAAGTCCCCAGAGAATTTAAATTTAGCCTCTGCAGCCCTTATCCAAACGGAAATTAAGAATGCACTGACTAGAGGTTACACAGAGATGAACATACCTCTTTTTCCCGAATGCTTAGGTAGAGAAGTGTTTTCAGCGCTTGCATTACTGTTGGAAATTCTACAACATTTCTTGAATGAAGAGCATGTGCACTTCCGGTCATTTCGCCTCTTTGCTTGGTACTCCCACTTGCATTCAAGTTGGGCAGCATACTGTGGTCTACACCAACCTTTATTCCTTCGAACACTCAGACTTTCCTTAGGCCCGTAGATAAAACTGTATTAGTTGACGAGTGTGGCTGCCAACAATGAGTGCGGGGGTGAGCCTTGGCTGCGCCCTGTTGTATAGTAAATGTTCCGATTAAGGGGATTTATGATGTATATTAAAGTGAAATGCTTTTGAACTCAGTTTTCAGTCTCAAAATCATAAGCTTTGTTTCTAATCATTAAAGATGCGTTTCAAAGCAGTTACAAAGAAAAATCTAAAATATCAAAATTCATTATTTTGTCAACTGTGTATAACGCTATCTTGTGAGTTTTATACTTTGGCTGTCTTGTGTTACTTAAGTACAAATGTCTTTAGAGAAAAATTCCGTTCTCTGTGAAGACTAGGAAGTATACTGTATATTGAACTGGATCTTTGTGTTATTTTGATATTTAAAATAAATGTAAAGTTCTTTGGTCCTCATAAGGCATACCTAGGTTTTATTTGTTTGTTTGTTTATTAAATATGTTTTTATTGATTTTCCAGAGAGCGAGAGAAAAGGAGAGAGTGAAACATTGATGTGAGACAGATAACATCAACCGACTGCCTCCTGCATGCTCTCCACTAGGGATCGAGCCTGCAACCTGGGAATGTGCCCTGACCAGGAATCGAACTGGGACCTCTCAGTCCATACCTAACTTTTATTGAACACAGTTTCAGTGTGGTGGGGATGCAGTACTCTTCAGGCCTTCTGGATGAGTGCAAGGACTGTGAACAAATAGGAAACCATGCATTCCGGAGCACACTTACGTAAACTTTATTTCTCTTAAGCTAGATATTATTTGGCAACATTTTACGTATTAAATGCATTCATGAACCATTAAGTACTGTAATGGTTTTTAAGTGGCTAATATAAGTTTAAATACTAATAGTGACTAGTAAACAAACTATACTGTGTTGAACTGAAACAACCATTTCAGTAATGGAAGCTTAAGAGGGCTTACATTTGTAATGTTAATTTGAAGAATAATATCGACAGCATGAAATAATATTGACATTGAAATCATAACTCATGGTAACATTTTTGCTTAAAACGATGCAGTAGTGTTCTCATTGTACATCAGTCTTAACGGATTAAAAAAAACCTAGAACGATCTTGTTTCAATAGCGTTACGGTAACCGGGTTTGACTTCAGGCCACTTTGGGTGTCAGTGAATATAATTTCCTATCTCACCTTCCTCATTGTCTTTCCACTCAGGGGCTTTTTTTCCACATTGTTTGTGTACCCATAACACAACCATACATATTTTTAGTTTCCTCCTGTCTTTAGAGGCAGTGTGGTATAGGGTTAGGGCAAGATTAGGCCAGACTGCCCCTGTGACACCCTTGCTTTGCCTCTTCCTGGCCCTAGTGCTCATCTGGAAGACACAGGTGACGGGGTCCTAGTTCCTGGGGTTGAGATACACATGTCAAGGACTTAAAACCACCCCTGGTATATATTAATAGTATCATTAGATACCTAAAATTAAAACAAAACCAAGGAGTTATTTGTCCAGGGATTGCCTGTCAACACCATCATTTGTAAATTTTTGTAAATCTCAGGTTTCATCTAGTTTTGCTCCCAGGATCCCTAGGTGAGAACCAACAAGCACACAATGCAATATATGGATGATGTATCATAGAATTGTACACTTGAAACCTGTATAATTTTATCAATCAATGTCACCCCAATAAATAAATTAAAAAAAAAAACAGCATGTAAACGTGCTGACCCCCTGCTGAACATACTGAAATAAGCACGTTCACACAAAGCATACATTTAATTGTCTTCATTTGCTCCCCTTCGGCCCGGGAAACCGCGAAAGGGATGCTACTGAATGTAATTCTGGGCGGGGTCCCTTGGATGGGAGGATGGCTTACGCCATTATTTGCCTCCTTAACCGTTTTAAGAAAGGTTGTCCCTGGCAACCGCAAGGATGGCTACCTTCCCGTTGGAAATGCTGTTGCTGCCTCCCCTCAATACTACCTCTACGAAACCAAAAGGCCAATTTCAATTGCAAGCCGCGGGTTTCAGAACGTCGCAAAGACCCCCGCCTCGGTTTTCGGCCCCTCGGCGGAGAGCGACATTTAAATAAAGCGCGGCCGTCTCATTGGCCCGACGCTGCTGCTCACCGATTGGCCCTTGAGGAGGTTTGACGGCGCGGCTGCTCACTGATTGGCTCCACGAGGACGGGGGCGGTGCCGCGCGTTCCCATTGGTGGAGGAAGGAAGTTTAAGCGGAGTCCGAGGCGACACCTGTGTCGCCCGTGTTTTGCTGGCGAGTCTGTGGGGATCGTTGCCTTTTTTCCGGGGGTGCCGGCGACCGGGAGAGAAGCAAGGCGACTTCGCCCCGGCGCGGCCTGCGGCGGCGGGTCTCGGGCTGCCATGGCGACGCGGCGACGCGGCGGGGACGCGAGCCCCACGGAGCGCGGGCCGCCGCCGCTGCTGGTCCTCAGCCACTTCTGCCCCAGGCCGTTCCTGTGCTTCGGGGACGTGCGGCCCGGCGCGTCGCGGACGCTGCCGCTGGCCGTGCTCAACCCCAACGCCGAGGCGGCCGCCGTGACGCTGCCCCGCGGCCCCGCCGCCGAGCGCGGCTTCCAGGTCTGGCCGCGCGCCTTCGAGCTGCAGGTGGGTGTGCGCCCGGGCTGTCGCGGGCCTCGCCGTCACCGCGCCGCCGGGTGGGGGTGGGGGTGGGGCCCGGACGGGCCACTACCGACGGGGGCTTGGAGGAGCAAGTCCGGTCCTCGCGCGTCGGGAGAAACCAGGGTCGCGCAGCTCGGAGGGAGGGGGGCGGCTGGGCGGGGACCGCTCTCCAGCGCGCCTGCGCGGAGCATCCTTCGGAGCGTTTCTCTGTCGGGTTCCGCGGAGCAGCGGTTTCCAGCCTTTGCATCCCAGGGCTCACTTAAGCCAATGGCTAAAAGTCTGCGGCACACCCGAATGAATGAATGAATGAATGAATGAATGAATGAATGAATGAATAAATAAATCTCTATATATTTTTGGCCGATTTGAAAAAAAGAAAATAGGTATAACTTTGATTCATTCGCATTGGCCGGCTAGTGTGTTGGCTGTTGTCATTGTTTTGTTTGTTTGTTTAACCTGACCATCTAAGGGAAAGAGGTTTCAATAGTCAGGTGTTGCATGTTGTCAACATTCTTGCAGCCCACGGGTTGAAAATCGCTGAAATAGAGAAGCATCCCCCTCTCCCCCGCCCCGCCCCGACTTCGGGCATCCCCCGGGGGACCTGCGGTTCTAAAGGGATGGGCGGCGCTTTGAAGACACACCCTGGTCTGTCCGTTTTCAGTAATGCCCTGTGGAGTGCCCTGGTTAGAGCATCTCTCTATTGCTTCCCGTCGGTCATCTCGATGTGCATTTTAGCTTCCGTGTGTGGGAGGGACACGTACCCACATGGAGTCAGGGTCATGGCTTGTTCTGGTGGAATAGGAGCTTTGGGCGGGGTGTCTACACTCCAGCAGAAGTGCCGTCCTGTGTTGTCCAGAGGATGGGCAGCGGGTACTGTGGTATTGTGCGCTCGTGTAGTTTCCACGGTGAATGAATCCAATTTAATTTTATCCGTGTGGTTTGCAAGCATTTCTGCTTGGCATTGGCCAGAGTCATGTCCCCACCCACTGTTGTCACCAAAACCACAGAATGTCAGTTCTTCGCTTGGCCACTGCAACCTTGCCATTCGGAAGAACCTCTGCACGTGGGAAAACACAGCTGAGTGTCTCACCAGTTTGTCCTCAAGGGCTTCAGAGGCCACGACCAGGTTCCAAGCTGGTCACCCACCAGAGTGTCAACTGGTTCCCAGGCTGGGGAGACCTGCCTCTCCCTTCCACTTCTCTCTAGGGCAAGATTGATGTCTTCCTGCCTGTGTAATAATTCCTTCCTCGTTATTGGAGCGATTGTTTGTTTGTTTTAGAATTTACTGTTTTGTAGAGTGAGGGTTCACTGTTCTTTTATTTCTTTTTTTAAACCAGCTGTTTCTGATGTTTGACAGTTTCTGCTTTAAAACAGAGTGTGTCCTTTTTTTTTGCCCTGAAAAACCACAGACACAGAGTTTGTTCTGTCCTGGCAGGGTTTGGGGCTGTGGGATGTAGATGTCCGTGTGAACTCTGGGGTCAGACTGCCTGGTATCTGGTTGCTAATAGTTTGACTTAAGTCTGTAATGCAAAATACTGAAAGATGTCTGGCCCCTGCTTACCTTGTCTGTAAAATGTGAGCATCACAGTGCTGCTTGCTAGGCATGTGGGATGAAAGGTGTTCTAGAAGGTGCCTGAGACTGCCCGGAACATCGTGTTCAACATGCTGGTGGCCATGATGATGTGGTTACAGAGGTTTGTAGGAAAAGGAGTTTAGTTGGTTCTTTTCATATTTTTTTGACAGATCTTCATAATGCAAATTCTTCTATATTTGAACTAGAAATAGTGTACATACTCTAAAGAAGTGGAAATATGTGATTAACATTTTAAAAACTACCGATAATTCAAAAGGAGTTGGAGACCGCTTCATTGTTTTATTTACAATTAGGATTTTAGTACAATTTTATCTTGTTATGAACTTTGTTATTATCAGTGGCTTTTCTCCTAATAATAAAATGAGATAGGAGAGTATATTTGACTTAAATGTCATGATGTAGCGTGTTGGTCACAGTTAGTTATTAAGCTTGCATTGTTGTCTAAATTGTATGTAATATGTTTTGGTTATTATATGCATCATTTACTGTTATAGTAATTTTAAAATGTTCCTTTGATTCTAGCCTAAAGAAAAAATTGTTATTTCTATTAACTGGACACCATTAAAAGAAGGCCGAATAAGAGAGATTGTGACATTTCTTGTAAATGATATTCTGAAACATGAAGTTATAGTACTTGGAAATGCAGAAGGGCCAAAAAAGAAAAAGGTAATAAGCTTTAATCATTCTGTGATTTACTCTAAGAAAATGATAATATGTAAAAATTATTTTGATAACACTTCTGATGAAGTGAGTAACATACATACAATTTCTTATTAAAGGCAATATTCAATAGCCATTAACTTGAATGTTTTGCTTATTTTTGCAGAGGAGTCTTTGGGATACTATTAATAAGAAGAAAGTTTCGGCCTCTTCAAATCATAAGAAGAGGATTTCAAATACTCAGAATGTTAATAAGACGTTTAGTGTTTCCCAGAAAGTTGACAGAGTCAGGAGCCCACTCCAGGCTTGTGAAAACCTGGGTGGGAGAGAAGGAGGCTGTTCCCCAACAGAGAACAATTCTTTAATCCTCGAAGAGAATAAAATACCCATTTCACCCATTAGTCCCACTTTCAAAGAATGCCATGGGGACACGAGCTTGCCACTGTGTGTCCGTCGGTCCACTGCCTACTCGTCTCTTGATGCTCATGAAAACGGGGAGCTGTGGCAACTAGGAAGTGCCCACATTTCCGAAGATTTTAATGAGAAAGTCATAACTGGAACTTCCATAAATATTATCAATGGCCAAATGGAGGAGGGTAGTAAACTTATTCTTTCCCCAAACTGTTCTTCGACGTTGAACCTTATGCAAAGCCACGGGGATTTTCTAAGTCCAGATTCCTTTGTAAAGAACAGCCAGGCAGTTACTACTGAACTGGAACCAGTGCCATGCATTTCATCAGATGCGTTTCTGAAAGGTAACTCCAGGTCCATGCACTTGGAATCAAAAACTGTACATGAAATTTATCAGACAATTTTAAGTCCAGATTCTTTCCTGAAGGATAATTATGGACCAAATCGGGAGCTAGAATCAGAGTCAGTGAATCCAATTGTATCCCCAAATCAATTTGTAAAAGATAATATGCCATATATATCTATATCTCAGCAAATTTGTAAATTATCACCATTAGCAAAAGAAAATTCTCAGGCCTCACAGTCTCTTCAAGGGCAGAGAAAAAGTGAAGTTTTATTGTGTATTCCTGAATGTCAGGGTTCAAACTCTCCCAAAGCTATTTTTGAAGAACCCAAAGCTTTAGAAATGAAAACAAACCGTTACAGTTTTACAAAACAAAATCAGCCCAAATTTTCTGCAGTTCAAGATATTCCTGGACATAGCCACAATACTCAGCTTAAGAAACGCCCAATACTTTCTGCCACTGTCACTAAATCAAAGCCCGCTGGTACCAGAGAAAACAAAACGGAGGCCAGCAAGCCGAAGGCAAGAAGGTGTCTCCGCAGTGTCGCAGGGGAAGGTGAAGAAACCGCAGATAATCCCGAAGAGAAAGACGCTTTTCATTCTTGCCTCCCGGTGATAGATCCAGTAGTGAGTAGGTCCAAGGATTGCAAAAAAGTAGTGACGCCTTCCTCCCAGACACCATTCATTGCTCGTAAAAGAAAGAGTGAAGGAGACAGGCGAGATGCGAACGTGATTCCAGTTGTGGAGCACACAGAAGAACAAGAGGCCAAAAGGCTCCATTTCCCTCCCGGGGAGTCTGAAACATCAGCTGCTAAAAAGACAAAAATGCTGGTGACACCCGTCCCACAGCATGTTAGCAAGAGAGGGAGAACAAACCTGAAGAAGAAGACTGGTGAGTTGTCTACAAAAAGTCCAGTGAGAGTTTACTCATAAAAGGCAGGTTTCTGCTTTTGTGTTCACAAGTTTGCTGTTGATAAGCGTGGGCTGCCACCTGCTAGGGGAGGGCGGGCCACTGCCGCGGCTGCGTCTGGATGGTGTGGTCTTGCTCCCGTTTCAGCTTGAGGTGTTTCGTTCATCGTGATTTTTGATTTTGAAAAGTTATTCAAATACTTACCCTCTTTGTGCTTGTCTAAAAAATTCAGTCCCAATCTAATACTGCTTACTTTATGCTTGAACCTTGCTGGTTGGTGTTTACATTCATGACCTCTGCCCTGGCTGGGTGACTCGGTCGCTTGGAGCATTGTCCTGTACACCAAGACGTGGCGGGTTGCACAGCAGGTCGGGGCACATACCTAGTGGTGGGTTTCATATCCGGTTGGGGTGCATGCAGGAGGCAACCGATCGATGTTTCTCTCTCTCTCCCCCTCCCTCCCTCCCTTTGTCTCTAAAATCAATAAACTTATCTTCTGGTGAGGATTAAAAGAATAATAATGAACAAATGCATACCTCTAACCTCTAGTAAACTCTTAACTCTTTTCAGTTCAGCTCTATTTTTCTGGTCTATTGACTTTGTCACTTTGCTACAGACTTTCTCCACTTTCCCTTCTTTTCTCCTGAAACCTCGAACACCTCCTTTGCCCCTTTCTTACACTCGCTGGTTGTACTGGTGACTGATTTGTCTCCGCTGCTTGGGTTTAAGTTAGGTTCTCATCATAGCTAACTTGGCCGCTCCGGTGGCCTCCTCCTGGCTTTACATCTGTAGTCGGGACCCCTTTCTTCTGTTTCCCGAAATGCTGGGAGTCTCCAGCTTCCACTGTGTGTGAGGGACCCACTGAGTCACGGCAGGGGCCCGGCGCTCAGTATTTGTCCACTGTTTGCTGAATGGACGTGATTGTGGAGAACACAACTTTTGACTTTAAAACAGTTCATTCAGGGGTTTTATTTCATTTTTTAATGTATTATTCTACTTTATGATTTATTTTAGATTCTTTAGCATACAGAACTCCTAATTCTAAAACAAACCAAAGGACACAACGTATTGTTCCCGTGGCCCAGTCCAGTCTGACCTTAATAAAACGATTGAAAACAGGCAAGTGCCCACTGCCCTTACAGTCTTTGGAAAACTGATGTTGAATGAAGCAGTGATTGTATTTCCAGTGGAAACGAATTGGAATTGTTGTTGAACAGAAGCCTTGAGGAACTGTCACAGGGTGTATTCAGATAACAGGGGTTTTCTCAGACTTGCACGCGCTGGGCTCCCTGGGACGGGGTTTGTGGACCCACGGGGGCTGCGGCCTTAGTTCCTTCTGCTGCGTCGATTGCATTTCCTACCCACCACTCCCCACCGCTCCCAGCTGGGCCGGGGCGCCCTCAGCGTTCTGGGTGCCTTGCTGGGGGGGGGTCTTTGCTGTGTATCATGTAACGGTTCAGGGGCAGATTTCCTGCGCACTAACCGCCTTGTGTCCTTAGGCATTCCCAGGCACCCAATGCCGTTTGCCGCAAAAAACATGTTTTATGATGAGCGCTGGAAGGAGAAGCAGCAACAGGGTTTCACTTGGTGGCTAAACTTTATATTGACGCCGGATGACTTCACCGTGAAAACAAATGTCTCGGAAGGTAAACGCTAAATTCATATTTCGGTTAAATAGTACCCTTGTTTTGACAGGGCTTAACGCGGATTTTTCCTTTTTTAATTATGCATATTTTATTGTAGTTAATGGCATGGTTCAGTGATTATTGACATAAATGGTAAAGATTGTGCCGGACAGCATTTTTAGGGAATTCTGGGCTGGGCATACTGAACTTTGCTTCCTTCTTACCTTCCCTCGCGCATCAGCAGGGCAGTGCCAGGTGGGTTCTCGTAGTGCCAGTTCAGGCTGCGCCCCAGGGATGTGGCCGCCAGGTGCTGGTTTGCAATCCCTGCACGGCAGGGTCCTGGGGAGGAGGCTGGGCAGCCCGCGCCTTGTCACTTAGGCGTATCGTCCCCTCCTCCTCTTGCTCTCCTCTGCCGGGCACCTTGGTTCAGACGTTTGTGGGTGACTGTGGAAGTGCGGGCTCTCAGACCCAGCTGCTGTGGGGAGTTTTTAAGCACGTCAGTGTTTCTCCTGGAAAAGAGAAGACCCATGTAGGACAAGATGGAAACGTGCAAACACGGGAAGGGTTTGCTCCTGAGAGAAACTGAACTTTGCTGTTCTCCCGTGGAAGCTGCAGGGGGCGCTCAGCTCCAGAGAAGGCAGGACCTTGCCATCCCTGCCTGGGAACTGGCGTGCGGGCGCCTGATGGTGGTCCCCCGGGGTGTTCCTGATGGTGGTCCCCCGGGGTGTTCCTGATGGTGGTCCCCCGGGGTGTTGGGGCAGAGGCTGCTCTGTCCTTTCACAGGGACAAAGTCAGGATTTAAAGGACCTTAGATTGGATGATCTCTAAGGTTACTTTTCTTTTTTCCAATGTAAACAAAGCCTGTTATTCTAGTTCTCTACTTGAGAGAAAATGTGTTTGATAAAAATGCAAGTTGTATTTCAAAATTCAATTAATCTAGAAAATCACATTCCTTAGGAGCTTATCTTTTTAATGTAGAAAGAGGATGGAGGCAGAGAAACCAGTTAGGAGGTTCTTTGACTGTCCTGGGTTCAAGAAGACAGGGTTTCATTTGGGTGGTAGTGGTGGAGGTTGTGGGAAGTGGCTAGACGTAGGGTACCTTTGCAGGCAGAATCAACGGGTTGGGGTGATAGGTTGGCATAGGAAGCAAGTGAATGGCGCCCCCTTTCGTCTGAGAGGGAAGGGGGAGAGCAGGCATGGAGGGCATCTGGTCTAGGGTGTGTCTGCATGTTGTCCAACCAGAACCACCCTTTGTTTTCACGCAGTCAACGCTGCTACTCTTGTTTTGGGAGCGGAGAGCCAACACAAGCTAAGCGTTCCCAGAGCTCCCACGAAGGACGAGATGTCGCTCAGGGCCTATACCGCCCGGTGCAGGTTGAATCGGTTACGTCGCGCAGCCTGCCGTCTGTTCACATCTGAGAAAATGGTGATGGCGATCAGAAAGCTAGAGACTGAAATTGAAGCCCGGCGGTTAACTGTTCGAAAGGACAGACACCTCTGGAAAGATGTGGGTAAGGAGATTACAGAGACCTTAAGACTATTTCTTTAAAAACAGATTTTATATTTTCAGAGTTAAATATATACACGATTTGGCTTTGCTGCCTACAATCTCACATATTTGAATAGCATCATGTATCTCTGAGTGGACCTGCAGCTTATTTAAATTAACTTATTTCATATATGTGCTTGTCCTTTTTTTGCCCGCCGATTCCTCTCCGTGAAATTTCATCTGCTGTGCTCTGGGCTGGACTGTTTGCACGCGTTTCAGGAGAGCGGCAGAAAGTCCTGAACTGGCTGCTGTCCTATCACCCTCTGTGGCTGCGCATCGGTCTGGAGGTGAGTGTGCCTCTGCTGGTGAAGAGAGACTGCATCTGAGCAGCGTGAGCCTTCAGCAGACTTCTGCGCAAACACGGTTTCACCCGCGCAGTCATTAGTCTGTTCTTTCAGTCTTACAGTTAAAGGTCCTGTAACAAATGCTCGTGAGTAAGTAGACCATGCCAATATATATGATTGCCATTTGATTTCACAGTAATTTTTTTGAAATATATGTATTATTTGGTACTAGATATGTGAACACATATAGTAAGCCTCTTTGTGGGCATTTACAAATGACAAAAGTAGGCTGTTTGAAGTACATTTTCTGATTTAAACCTTATAAAACCCACTGAGGTGCGTATGATTATCTCCACTTCCCCGATGACACAAGCTCAGACGTGAAGGGACCGCCTGGTGACAGTCAGTGGTCAGGACGTGGACCCACACCGGCTGAGCCAGGCAACCATTCTGAGCCTTCCTCACAGAGGGGCATCAGCGCGGGCGCTCTCCTGCGTGCGTGGCTCTGATGTGTAGAATGTTAAAACGGACTGAGGTAGAAAGACATCAGTAGCTGACTATTAAGATATGCTATTATTTTAAAAATCTGCTGTCTTTTACTGGTATAGTTTTGTATTTTTTAGGCTTCGTACCTTTGCCATGTGGGATAGCCTATCCTCCAGTTTATTGTAGGTTTGGGATCTCCTGCAATAGAAAAACCTCTGAGACTGAAAGGAATCTCTATAACAGTCTGGATTTTATTGATCCGGAAACTGAGGCCTAGCGAGAACAGATGATGAGCCCGTTAGTGTCACACAACTCGATCGTGTCCTTGCTAAGATTTCTTATTTTAATTAAATTGGAATCCAGTTAAGTTTCTCATTTCTTCAGTGAAAGCTTAGTGAGAAACACAGAGGCAACATAGTGCTGACATGAGCTCTCATGTCCTTCCAGACGGTTTTCGGAGAACTCCTAGCCTTGGAAGACAACAGTGATGTCACGGGGATGGCCGTGTTTATTCTGAACCGCCTGCTTTGGAATCCCGACATAGCTGCTGAGTACAGACACCCCTCTGTCCCTCATCTGTATAGAGATGGTAAGTACTTCTGCCTCCCCCCATTCTCTCCATCCCAAGCTGCTTCTCATCGTGCTGTCTCCGTGTGAAATTACCTGCCAGAGACACTGACATAAACGGTCCTCTCTCCACTGCCCTGCTCTTCTCCTTCCATGTCCCATCATGCTCCCCACCCCTGTAACTGGCTGCCCTCCCTGAAGCAGGCTGTGGCCCCGTGGAGGTCTTTGCTCTAGTTTGCAGTACGTGTGGCCCCTGGGATGGTGTCTGCATGTCGCAGGCGCTCGTTAGGGAACTGCACTGCACCCCGATGCCTGCGTGCCCCTCTTCCTCCTGCCTCTCTGGAAGTGTGCCCTGGCTCCGGCCGCAGTGCGATTAAATGAGCCCGATCACGCGGAGCACTGAGAAAGGCACGTGGGGTGTTTCATGTGCGACTGCTGCTCTCTCACTGGCACGTCGCCATCTCGTCTGAGGTGGAACTGGCTGTCACAGGTTGACCTGCTGTGCTTTCTTCTATTTTCTCTGAGGTCACGAGGAAGCTTTGTCGAAGTTTACACTGAAGAAATTGCTGTTGTTGGTTTGTTTCCTTGATCATGCTAAAATCTCCCGACTTATCGATCATGATCCTTGTCTCTTCTGTAAGGATGCCGAATTCAAGGTGCGGTTTTCATCTTATCTGTTATCCTGCATAGTTCACGCTTAAGACTGTTGCTTGCTTTTATTGTATATTTTCTCTTCAGGAAAAGCTAGTTTCTCTAGGAGCAGTGCTCGGGGTGGAGTAGGAGGCGTGGCTAGTGAGTCCTCCCAGCGGCTCCAGCCCCCCCTTGTTGGCTGACCTGGGCAGCACCCTGCTCTGAACCTGGACTGAGATGAGCAGACGGTGCTTCTGAGCATCAGTTGGTGGGAGTTCTTTCCTAACGCACATTAGCAAATTGGTGCTAGTTTAGAGTGTATTATTTATTATGAGAACATTTTAATTTATTATTTATTTATTTATATTTTCTTTATTGATTGTAGAGAGATGAAGGGGGAGGGAGAGAACTATAGAAACATCAATGAGAGAGAACATCGATGGGCCGCCTCCTGCACGCCCCCCACTGGGGATCGGGCCCACAACCTGGGCATGTGCCCTGACCGGGAATCGAACTGGCCACCTCTTGGTGCATGGGTCGACAGTCAACCACTGAGCCACACTGGCCGAGCATGAGCGCATTTTAAAAAGGTTTACATGTACATAATGATTTAAAGGATACTTTTTTGGTAAACAAAATTATACTGTTGGGATATAATACCTGTGACTTGTTTCTCCATAGACTAGTAAAGACATTCTTCTGGCTTTCTCACGGGACTTTCTGAGTGGTGAAGGTGACCTTTCCCGTCACCTGAGCTGGTTGGGATTACCTGTCAGCCACGTTCAGACAGCACTGGATGAGTTTGACTTCGCTGTCACTAATCTTGCGGTGGACTTGCAGTGCGGGGTGCGCCTTGTGTAAGTATAAGAAACAACTGATTTACTCGGGCATTGACTACATTTTCTGTAAAATGCTTTTTTCCGTATTTAGACAATCTTTCTTGCTTTTACATGTGAAATAATGAATTTAGGGTTAAAAAACTGAAATAAATGTCTGCAACACTCTTGGGAAAATGCTGTCAATTTTAGTCCCAGACACCCTGTCTCCTACCACGTGTTCTCCATGCGGCACGTGTCTGGGTGTGAGGACCAGTGGTGCCCAGAACGGGCGGGGAAGAGCGTGGGACTAAGTGAAGAGTGGACGCTGAGACAGCACTGACCTCCTGCACCCCAGGGCACGTCCGGGGAGATCCACGGGCCTGCCCAAGGTCCACACTAGAATTGGGTGCGGCTCGGGCTCGGGGTCAAACCACATGGCAGTCACTCAGGATCGAGCTGGAGTTCAGAACTGGCTTTGGTGTGAGGACGTGAGCAGGCTGGTCCTGCACTTGCTTGATGTGGACCCAGCAGCCTCCACCCGTCAGTCGATCCATATTTGACTCTTCTTCCCGAGGACCTTTGTTCTGTTCATTGTGCATTTGTGTGTACAGGCCTCATTTTTCTCTCTTACGTTTGTTCATTGACCTCAGCACCCAGGCTTGATATGAGAAATGACTCTGTTTGCTCACTGTGGAACAACGAAGTTTTGATAGTGTTTTAGAGACTTTGTTACCTAAAACTCTTCTATTATTATTATTGTTGTTGTTGTTGTTGTTTTGTTAATCCTCACCCAAGGATGTTCAATATGTTTTTATTGGTTTTTTAGCAAAAGAGATAGAAACATCGATGTGAGAGAGAGACATCCATCGGCTGCCTCCTGCACGCCCCCCGCTGGGGTGGAGCTTGTAGCCCTGGCATGTGGCCTGACTGGGAATTGAACCAGGACCTTTCAGTCCATGCAAGGGTACTCAATCCACTGAGCCACACTGCCCGGGCCTCTTCCATTGATTTTTAGATTGGATGGAAGAGAGGGGGAGAAGGAGGGAGGGAGGGAGAGAGAGAGAGAGAAAGAAAAACATTGATATGACAGAGACACATCGATTGGTTGCCTCTCGCAAGACCCTGACCAGGGCTGGGGATCAAACCTGGGACCCTTCGGTCTGTGGGCCTACACTCTAACTGCTGAGCTAAACCAGCCAGGGCTAACGTAGGACTTTTTAAATTGGGGGGATTTATGTGGGTGATAACTGTATTTAAGTGAAGTTCTTTTCATCTACATTTTTATATACCACTTTCATTTGAAAGTTCCTCTCCTGTCTGTCAGGCGAACCATGGAGCTGCTTACACGGAGCTGGGACCTCTCGAAGCAGCTCAGAATCCCGGCGATCAGTCGTCTTCAGAAGATGCACAATGTCGACCTTGCTCTCCAGGTCCTCCGGTCCCGAGGAGTCGAGCTGAATGACGAGCACGGTAAAAACTGAGCAACACCGCCCCTTCAAGGGAGAATTCTGTCACCTACGTGTGCTGAAAGGCTCTCTTCATTTGCAGGAAATGCCATCCTGTCTAAGGACATTGTGGACAGGCATAGAGAAAAGACTCTCGCATTGCTTTGGAAAATAGCACTGGCTTTCCAGGTAGTATACATTTGTTTGAAATCCTCACCGGAGGATATCTTTCCACTGATTTTTTTCAGATAGAGTGGGAGGGGGGAGTGTGGGAGGGGGAGAGAGAGAGAGCAGAGACAGAGAGAGAAACATCGATGTGAGAGAGATGTGTAACCCTAACTGGGTCTGGGGATTGAATGTGCAACCAAGGCATGCGCCCTTGCTTGGGAATCGAACTCAAGACTCTTGGGTCTACAGGCCGACGTTCTAACCACTGAGCAAACCAGCCAGGGTGATAGTATACATTTGATACATTTTACGTGTTTTATCCATTTGTTGAGTACAGACTAACAATAATAACTGCGACTTAGTAGATGTTATTCTGTCCCAGGAACTGGGGCGATCTTCACCCCCCCCCCCCACCTAAGGTGGGTGTGATCACCACCTCACAGGTGAAGACACTGAAGGGAAAGGTCACATCATGGGTAGGAAACGAAGAGGAGATTGGAAGCCAGGCTTTGTGGCCTGAAATCCTGTGGCCTTAACCACGGCCCGTTCCATCATTTCACGCAGACTTGGTTGCCTTAAAAAATAGGAGGCTTTAACTTCTGTAGGTTAAAAGTATATTATCTTCTTAAAGGACACAGATATTTATTTTCTTTTGTGTTTCAGGTGGATATTTCTGTTAATCTAGATGAGTTAAAAGAAGAAATCAACTTTTTAAAACGCACGTGGAAGACGAAAGCAGCGTCTGCATTCTCACGCCACTCGGACGCCGTTCTCAGTAAGAAGACAGACACAAGGCAGGGAGGTCCCTGCGAGCACAGTGAGAGCATAAGGCTGCTGATGGAGTGGGTGAACGCTGTCTGTGCCTTCTACCATAAACAGGCAAGCTTCTTCATCTTCCTCGTAGCCCAGTATCCAAATAAATCTTGGTTAAAGTCCGTAAACTTAAGGCGTACATTCCATCTTGGCATTTCTTAAATAATTCAGTTTATATGTATAAGCAGACTTTTCCTCCAATGTCACCCGTTGTATCAATCATCATTATTATATGTATCACTAAGAAATAAAAAAATGTTCTAGTTGGGAGTATTAGTAGGAGTCCCTTGCCTAGAACTGGGCACCCAAGGATTGTACCTCATGATGGAGGTAAATGCAAATGAACCTTCGCCAGAGGGGGGCAGTAGAGAGCCTTCCCACTAGTTGCAGCATGAGAGAGGAAATGTGAGTTGAGTCATCACTTGTTAGACTGATACTGCCTTTTTGTATGACATGCACCTGTAAGTGTAAACACATGGCAATGAATTGTCCTGACGCATGAATAGAATGTCTGGTAAGGAAAATAAACCATGAAAGTGATACAGAGCACATGTAACTAAGCATGGTAAACTGTTATACCTTAAACAAGTACTGTCAAAACACTGTCTAATATATGGATGATCTTCTGTGTTTTAATTGAGTTCTAAAGGTCATGACGGCTCTGGGGAGAATCCGATCCATGCCTTTCCCTGAACTTCCGGTGTTGCTGGCCGTCCTTGGCCTTGTAGACATTGTATTCCAACCTCTGCCTCTGTCCAAGGCAGTCTCTCTGTGTGCCTGTGTCTGTCTCTCCTTTTCTTATAAGGACACGACTTGCATTAAAAATCCACCTACTTCAGTATGATCTCATCTCAGTTACATCTGCAATGAACCTCTGTCTGAATAATGTCACATCCTAAGGTTTTGGGAAGGACATAAATTTTTCACGAACATGATCCGACCCAGCACAATAATATAATCAAATTCTATTTTTGGAAGAGTTAATGACTAATTGAGAGTTTGGCTGTGAATGTGGTATTGTACTGGACGGTAGGAGCAGTTAATGTGACAGTCTTAGCTATTAAAGGGGAACATGGAGAACGCCGTTGGTATCTGTTATCCCCAACACCAGTCAGTGCCTTTTCTGGCATTCCCACAGGTGGAGAATTTCACGGTGTCTTTCTCAGACGGCCGTGTGCTGTGCTACCTGATCCACCACTACCACCCTTGCTGTGTGCCTTTGGACGCCATATGCCAGCGGACGACTCAGACGGTGGAGTGTGCGCAGACCGGCTCGGTGGTCTTAAACTCATCGTCCGAGTCTGATGAGAGCTCTCTGGACTTGTCTCTGAAAGCACTCGGTCACGGTCAGTCCCTCTTGTAGGCTAACGTTTCACACTCGGTCTCTGCCGTGCCTGGTTTTGGGCCAGAGCTGTCTAACCTCTTTCTTACTTGCCTGGTAGAAAATACTCCAGAACTCCACAAAGAGCTCCTAGAGAACGAGAAAAAGAATTTTCAGCTGGTTAGGTCTGCAGTTAGAGAACTTGGTGGGATACCAGCTATGATTCAGCATTCAGACATGTCGAATACGATTCCAGATGAAAAGGTACGCAAAGCAAGAACTTCGCACCTGACACCTGAAAAATAAATGTCTCAGAGACGCGAGTTGCTGTCCCGTGTTGCTGTCCTGCTTCCACCTTTTGTGTTTTCTCATAGGTGGTTATTACCTACCTGTCATTTCTTTGTGCGAGGCTGCTGGATCTCCGTAGAGAAACCCGGGCCGCTCGGCTTATCCAGGTAGCTTGGAGAAAGTACAGACTCACAGCGGATCTGAGACGCCATCAGGTACTTCTCAGAATGAAAGCATGATGCAGATTGTCGATCTTGATGTAGTTTTTACGTTGTACTGATGTTTGAAATGATTAAGGAAACTGTGATGATCGTGTGTGCTTGCAGGGGATGGCTATTTCTACCTCATTCCTGCTGTTCCCTTTATTCTGCGTATCTTCCCGCCCTGCCCACCCTTTTCTTATCTGCTACAGGGTAGGTGGAATAACATACCCACCGTGTAAATGTGTGAGAAATAAACGGGATGCCTAGCTCGGCTCTTCCCGCCTTCCTCGGACTACTGGCCCCCGAGGAACAGAGTTCTGTTTCTACGCTGTGCTCTGGGAGGCTTGACCTCGGCTAGTGCTGCTCGGCCTGGGCGTGCCCGTCTGATTTTGAGGTTCAGTGAGCCTGCTCATTTTGTCTTCCATGGAACTGTCTTCCAGTGGGTCTTTTATTATTTTAAAGTAGCATTTGGGTTTCCGTTGTTTTATTTCTCAAATTGTCTAGGACCTAAGGATAGGGATGTTATTTAGTATTTCCCTTCGTGACCCCAGTTGTACAAAACGTTGCATTAATATAAAATAAGTATCTTCTGAATTTTGAAACAATATCATTTTTGACAGTCTGAGAAGTGGTCTCTTTGATCAAGTTGGAAAAACTTTTTCATCCTTTTATCTCCCCATTCCTTCCACTAATAAAGCTATATCTATTGATTTGGAGAAACCAAACCAAATAAAATAAGCAGCCATGCTTAATATATTTTATCAGATATTTCAGAAGTATCGTCCACCCTACATTTGCATTTCGAATGGGGCCTGATTCCTAGTGTTCAATGTGTGTCATTGTTCACAGTGACTGGAAGTACCGAGCAGAGACGCAGGGTCCGGCTGCAGTGACCGGAAGTGCCAAGCAGAGACGCAGGGTCCAGGGTGCAGTGACCGGAAGTACCGAGCAGAGACGCAGGGTCCACGGTGCAGTGACCGGAAGTACCGTGTAGAGACGCAGGGTAAAGGGTGCAGTGACCGGAAGTACCGAGCAGAGGCGCAGGGTCCGGCCGCAGTGACTGGAAGTGCCAAGCAGAGACGCAGGGTAAAGGGTGCAGTGACCGGAAGTACCGAGCAGAGACGCAGGGTAAAGGGTGCAGTGACCGGAAGTACCGAGCAGAGACGCAGGGACCGGCCGCAGTGACCGGAAGTACCGAGCAGAGACGCAGGGTCCGGCCGCAGTGACCGGAAGTACCGAGCAGAGGCGCAGGGTCCGGCTGCAGTGCTCGCGGGCCCCCCGCCCCTCTGGCCCGCGTGCTGTGGGCAGCTCTGACGCTCTGTCTCGCACCCCGTGTTCTGTTCTCTGGCTTCCCTGGGCTCACGGCCGCACATGTTCTGTTAGGGGGTGTTGCTTCTCCCTTTTTGTGAATTCCTTTGTTCAATTTGTAACAAAGCTATACTACCTTATACTGTAGAGCACTTGTCTATTTTAGGGTTTGGTTTGTTTTTTTAATATGATGCATTTTTTTTTAAAGTTAAGCATAAATTTACTGGGCCATAATCTGAGAATTATACCACATTTAGGTTGCCTTTATATTGATTACTGACGGTCTGTGATGTATCAGACATGTCCATGATCTTTATCTTAAGATATTTCCTGGGAGTCTTGGTTTTATCATGTAAACGTATCTGCAAGTTCACCTATCACCCATTTCAACATGCCCAGCGCTACCCATATTCCAACTCTGGGGGTGTTTTATTCCCAGGACTAATTTGATTAATATTTAACAGATGGTTTTCATACAAATAATATTTGAGGGTCTCGAGTGATTGTTTAATTCATTTTTTTTCTAGGAGAGAGACAAAGCTGCAAGAATTATTCAATCAGCTGTAATCAGTTTTCTGACTAAACGACGACTGAAGAAGGAGGCCGACGCAGCCCTGGTCATTCAGAAGTACTGGCGGAGACTCTTAGGACGGAGAAAAGTCTCGATGTTAAAAAAGGACAACCTAGAAAAAGTTCAAAATAAATCAGCATTAGTTATTCAGGTATAGTATCCTGGAATTTTTCAATTAAAATGTTTTAACTTTTTAAGGAAGAAAGTGAAATGTGATCAAGTTTTACATTCTTGTAGTTTAGGCTTCTCCATTTTATCTAGTGCTTAATTTCAGCAAACATCGAGGGAGCATTTGAGATCTTGCTTCCTGGCAGATGCCGTCAGTTTGACTCAAACTCTTATAAAGATTAAAGAGACAAGAACAGCTCTCTGCTCCCCCCGCACCTGTCAAGCTGGGCGCTGAGCGGAGGCTCAGCCTGATGGAGGTGCCGCTGTCCTCCGCCGCCCTTGCTGTCCCTCCTGTCAGAGGGTCAGCCCTGCACTGTGAGATGCCTCATTGCTGGGCATCCACGTGCCGGCCGCGCTCCGCTCCTCTGCTGTGAGCCCGGGCTCTCGTCTCGTGGGGTGGGTGTGTGCGACGAGAATGCTCTTCATGACTAGTCTGTGGGATGCTGTGGTGTTTTCATATTCAGTAAAGATTTTAGCACATTTATTTTATATAATAGACGTTAATTCCATCTATATATTAGTTTTTTGTTTTTTTTTAATCCTCACCCGAGGACATTTTTCTATTTTTTGTTCAGATAGAGTGGGAGGGAGAGAGAGGAAGAGAGAGAGAAAAACATCGACATGAGAGGGACACATCAAGTGGTTGCCATCTGCACGACCCATCCAGGGCCGGGGACAAACTGCAGCCAAGGTACGTGCCCTTAGCGGGAACCGAACCCAGGACTCTGTGGACCGCAGGCTGACGCTCTAACCGCTGAGCCAAACCGGCCAGGGCTATATATTAGTTTTTAATGTTAGAGTCTACTTGATAACATCAGAGGTGCACTACTTAAATCCCCCCTAGCAAATGCCATTTGAAGCATCACCCCATAATTCTATCTGTTTCATAAGTTTGGAAATTTTTGTGCCTGGCTATTGCAATTGATTAGTGAGGGATTCTGATTTAGTAAATTATCTGTTTTTTCCAATCCTTTAAAAATGTAAACTAGCCCTGGCCGGTTTGGCTCAGCGGTTAGAACATCAGCCTGCGGTCCAGAGAGACCCGGGTTCGGTTCCCGCTAAGGGCACGTACCTCGGTTGCAGTTTGTCCCCGGCCCTGGTTGGGTCGTGCGGGTGGCAGCCAGTCGATGTGTCTTTCTCATGTCGATGTTTCTCTCTCTCTCTCTTCCGCCCTCTCTGTCTCCTGCTCTATCTGAAGATACATGAAAAAGTGTCCTTGGGTGAGGATAAAAAATAAATAAATAAATAAATAAATAAATAAATAAATAAAAATGTAAACTATTACACTTAGGAAAGTGCACAAAACACAGACATAGAACCTAACCTAATGGTTTTCCACAAAGCGAACACCCAGGTAACCACCACCTGGGTCAAGAAGTAGACTGTCGCCAGCCTTTGCAAAGCTGTGTCTCAACCAGCTAACTCCCCCCCTCCCCCAAGACACCACTACCTAATACACGCTGACGCGCATCTTCCTCTGCATCGTCTTCAAACACTGCTTCCGCCTGTGTTCTGAGACTGACTTCTCTTCACCCTTCATAATGCTTTTGAGACGCATCCGAGTAGTTGCTTGTGTCAGCAGTTTATTCCTTTTCATTGCCGAGTAGTGCTCCACTGTGTGCAGGTGCCACATGTGATTCTACATCGGTCTGTTGAAAGGTATTGCACTGTTCACAGTTTTAGGTAACTTTATTTCATTAGGGTCAATATCTAAGTGTAGGATCACTGGGTTGTTTGGTGAGTGTATGCTTAGCTTTATGAGATACTGTCAACCGGTGTCTGGAGTGGCTGGGCCGTTCCCACCACGGGAGACGTCTGGTTGCTCCAGGTCCTTGCCAACGCCGCCGTCATGTTTTCTAGTCATTCTGGTAGGTGAATGGTGGTCTCTCAGCTTGGTTTGTGTCTCCCTAGTGGCTAACGACACATGTTGTCAAGTGCTTCCTTGCCGTCCGAGCATCTTCTTTAGTGAAATGTCTTGAAATCTTTTGCCCGTTTTTATTATCAAGCAGCTACGTTACGGAGCTTTGAGAGTTGTTTCTCTCTGATCTGGGTGCAAGTCCTTTGTCAGTGAGTCGCAGCTGTCTCCCACCTGTGGGCCTTTTACAGAAGACGTTTGCTGAGCTCTTACCTGGGTGAGCGTTCTGTGTCCTTCATGTGTCCTCTGCCATCAGTGGCGGAGTGTTCTGTGATGTCAGTTAGGTCCCTTTGGTTGATGGGGTTTGGTTTCTTACAACTACTGGTTCTGCTTTTTCACTGAGAGGGGCGTTTAAGGCTCCAGCTGTAACTGCGGCCCGTCTTCTGTCTGTTCTCTGGCTCTGGCTCCCTGTTTCGGAGCTCTGTTGTCAGGGACAACACATTTGGAACTACTCTGTCTTCTTGGGAAGTTGGACCTTTTATCATGGAATCCTCTTCATCTGTATGGTTTCCTTTGCTGGTGATGAAACTGCTCCTGTTTTACTGCGTCATGTTTGCAGCACGTTCAGTGTTTTCCTTTGTTCTACTTATTAGTTGTTCATATCATCATATATGATGTAAAGTCTATTTTACACCTTTTCCTGGCTTGATGACTTACTCTTTCTTTTTTTTTAATCATCGAATAATATTCCATTGCATGGATATATCGGCTTTTTAAAATGTGTTCACCTCTATGAAGGATAGCTGGTTGCTTCTGCTTTGAGGCCAATGTGAAGAAAGGCATTAGAAATGTTCCTTCGGCTCTAGGTTTTGAGCTTCTTCGGTAGGTGCCGGGAGTGGGGGAGAGACAAGGCCTTCGCAGGTGCTGTAGCTGTATCTGTATAGAAACGAGACTACACATGAAGAGACAGATACGTTTTTCAAAAGATATTGTTTTATTTAATGTATTTCTTTTTAAGCAAGATATTAAGAAATTACTACATTCAAATGAGTACAGAAGATATGTCTCTTAATTCGTGTCCTCTCTTACCTCTTGCAGAGACGTTGGAGAAGCTATTCCACTAGGAAGAAGTTTCTGAGACTGAGAAAGTATTCGATCATCCTGCAGTCTCGGATAAGAATGATCATGGCTGTGGCTTCCTACAGACGCTGTCTTTGGGCTGCAGTGACGGTGCAGAGGCGCTGGCGTGCCCGCCTGAGAAGAAGGCAGGACCAGCAGAGATACGAAGCGCTCAGATCCTCGTGCCTTGTGATCCAGTCCGCGTTCAGAAGGTGGCAGCGCCGCACGGTGCAGTTGCGAGTCAGAGCTGCGGTGACCTTGCAGAGGGCCTTCAGGGGGTGGCGGGCCAGGAAGCGGGCCCAAGAAGAGAGATCCGCCACCGTCATACAGTCGTGGTATAGAATGCACAGAGAATTACAGGCGTACACGCAACTGAGAGCTTGTGTTCTTGTCATTCAGACAAGATTCCGGGGCTTTCAAGCCCGAACATTGTACAGAAGGAAAAAGGCGTCTGTCCTGACAATCCAGCGGCATTGGCAAGCACACCTGAAGGGAAGGGCCCAGCGCACCAGCTACCTGCAGACACGCGCCGCGGCCATCCGCCTGCAGGCCGCGTTCAGGGCCATGAGAGCCCGGAATCTGCACAGGAAGGTTGGGGCCGCTTGTGTTCTTCAGTCCTATTGGAGAATGAGACGCGAGAGAGCGCGATTTCTGAGTCTCAGGAAAGGCATCATCAGATTGCAGGCGCACGTAAGGCAACACCAACAGTTACAGAAATACACGCAGATGAAGAAAGCCACCCTCGTAATTCAGGCTCATTTTCGAGCTTATGTTGCAGCCAGGAAAGTCCTGGTGTCCTACCAGGAAACACGTGCCGCGGTGATTGTTGTACAGTCTGCGTACAGGGGGGCGCAGGCCAGGAGAGCGTTTCTTCACGCCCGCGCGTGCATCGTGAGGATTCAGGCTTACCGTCGCGCTTGTGTTTCCAGGAAAACGTTTCTGAGCCTAAAACGCGCTGCAGTGAAGCTACAGTCCATTGTGAGGATGAAGCAAGCTCGGAAACAGTATTTACGTTTGAGAGCTGCCGCGCTGTTCATCCAGCAGAGGTATAGGTCCCTGAAAAGGGCTGCCCTGGGGAGAGAGCAGTACAGGCGGGTGCGGGCCTCCTGCATCCGACTGCAGGCCTTGGCCAGAGGGCACCTGGTCCGGCAGCGGGTGCGGTCGCAGAGGAAGGCCGCCATCTCACTGCAGTCTTACTGCAGGATGAGGAAGGCGCGGCGGAACTACCTGAGAGTGCGTAACGCGGCACTGGTCATTCAGAAGCACTACCGTGCACACCGAGCGCGGGCCAGCCAGAGGGACATGCAAGCCCAGAGAGCGGCTACCTGTTTGCAGGCAGCTTTCAGGGGCCGCAGAGTGCGCCAGCTCATCACACAGCGGTCCACAGCGGCTCGTAAAATTCAGGCTGCTTTCCGAGGCTACAGGGCAAGGAGGGAGTATCGGCGTGTGCTTCACTCTGCCATCGTGATTCAGAGGTGGTACCGAGCGTGCAAGACTGCTCGTGCCCTGAGGGCACAGCTTTCCAAGACTAGGAGAGCCGTGGTTTCTCTCCAGGCTGCTTATCGTGGCTGGAAAATTCGGAAGCAGATCAGAAGGGAACACCAAGCGGCGCTGAAGATTCAGTCTGCTTTTAGAATGGCCAGGGCCCAGAAGCAGTTTCGGTTGCTAAGAACAGCAGCATTGGTCATCCAGCGACAGCAGAGAGCGTGGACTGCAGGAAGGAGGCAGCGCCTGCAGTACGTGGAGCTCCGGCAGGCGGCGCTGACACTGCAGGCGGCGTGGAGGAGGAGGACAGCAAGCAGACAGACTCAGAAGCGACACGAGTGTGCTGTCGTCATCCAGTCCTACTACCGGATGTATGCGCAGCGCAGGAAGTGGAAAACCATGAGGAAGGCTGCCTGTCGGATTCAGACGCACTATCGGGCTTACAGTCTCGGAAGGAGACAGCGGCTCCTGTATTTGAAGACCAAGACAGCTGCCCTAACTCTGCAGGCAGCCTTCCGCAGGGCGAGAGCGAGGAGGGAGAGGGCGCAGCAGCGCGCCGCGGCGGCCGCCGTCATACAGTCCAGGTACAGAGCTCACCGGGCCCGGAGGAGAGATGCAGCCTGCAGGGCTTCCGCTGTGCTCATTCAGAGATGGTACCGGAGTGCGAAAATCGCAAACCAGCAACGCAAGGAATATCTTAATTTAAAGAAGGCAGCAACTCGAGTGCAAGCTGTATACAGAGGTGCTCGAGTCAGGAGACACGTCCGACGCATGCACAGGGCCGCCAGCTTGATTAAAGCCACGTTTAAAATGCATCAGGCCAGGACGAGGTTCCTTGAACTGAGAGCGGCAGCCGTGGTCCTTCAGAGGCGATACAGGGCGTGTTCCCGAGCTCGGGCTCAGCGCGCACAGTACCTGGCAGTCTTGCAAGCGGTTGGTATTCTCCAGGCAAGTTTTCGAGGAGCGCGGGTCAGGCAGACTCTAAGGAGGATGCAGACCGCGGCAGTGCTGATCCAGTCCTGCTACCGACGGCACCGAGAGCAAACACACTTCAACAAGCTAAAGAGGGTCACCGAGACCGTGCAGCGCAGGTACCGGGCAGCGAAGGCAGGACGCGAACAGTTCCGCAGGTACGACAGGCTGAGGTGCTCTGTGATACGCATTCAGGCTGTGTTCAGGGGGTGGAAGGCTAGAAGACATTTGAAAGTCATGCATGTAGCCGCAGCTCTCATCCAGAGGAGGTTCAGAACGCTGGCGATGCGAAGGAGGTTCCTGTCTCTCAGGAAGACTGCTGTTTGGGTTCAGAGAAGATACCGTGCCAAGCATCGCCTGCGGTTTCTACGGTTCCAAGAGGCAGTCATTAGAGTCCAGTCCTGGTTCAGAAGTTGGATGGTAAGGAAAAGGTTGCGGGAAATGCACAAGGCTGCCACTGTCATCCAGGCCACTTTCAGAATGCACAGGGCGCACGCGAGATACCAGGCCCTGCAACGCGCCGCGATCCTGCTTCAGCGGCGCTACCGAGCCCACAGAGCCGCGCGGGTGCAGGGGGACGACTGCGCCAGGCGGGGGCGCTCCGCCGGGGTCCTGCAGGCTGCACCCCCGGGGATGAGAGCCAGGCGGCGGCCGCAGGAGCAGCGCAGAGCGGCTGTCCTGGCGCAGAGCACGTACAGGGCGCACGGGCAGTCCTTCTTCCGCCGGAAGCTTTGGTGGGCCGCGGAAGTGCGAGAGAGACGCAGAGCGGAGAAGGCGGCGCTGGAGCTCGCGGCCCTCGCGGGGGCAGCGGCCTGTGCCCAGGCAGGTGGTCAGGACGCGAAGCAGGCTCGGGGACCTCACCAGGCCGCCGCTGCCATTCAGGAGCACTCCAGAGCCTTCAGAACAAGGAGGCGTTGTCTCCATGTTAGAGCAACCGTGGTTTCTGTCCCGAGAAGACACAGGACAGTCACTGCAGCGCGCACCCGAGCAGCCCCCGGTCTGCAGCCCTCCTGCAGAGGTCTGAGGGTTCCGAGGGGCAGCCGCCGCGGGCGCCCGGCCGCCACACGCATTCAGTCCAGCTCCGGGGCGCGCAGGGCCCGCGCGGCCTACCAGGCACAGAGGGGGGCAGCTGCTGTGATCCGGAGCCGCTGCAGGCCGCACGTCAGGGCAGCAGCGGACACGAAGCGGTTCCTAGCCGGCCAGGAGTCGGTGCGCACGCTTCCGGCTGCTTTTAGAGGCCCGAGAGGGCGGCGGGAACTGGGAAATGCGTGCCGGGGCGCGAGGGCAGCCCCTGCTGAGGGTGCACCCCACTGTGGCGGGGCTGGGGCTCAGCGGGAAGCTGCTGGGCGCTCGGCCAGGCCACGCACGGGGGCTCGAGCTCCTGCAGCTGCTCGTGCTCAGAGCGAGGCCGCCGCCGTGACGGCTCCGCAGGCCGTCGGGGACTCAGCCCCGCGGGTTCCGTCCGCCCTTGGGATGGCTGTGTGTCAGGGCGGGTCCGTCCCGCAGAGAAGGGCTGCGGTCGCTCTCCAGCTGTGGTTCCGGGCTCGGCAGACCAGGAGCCGGTACCGGCTGCTGAGGAAAGCAGCGGTGGTCCTGCAGAACCGCTACCGCGCCTGCGTGTCAGCAAGACGTCAGAGACAAGTGTACTTACAGATCAGGAGCAGCAGCATCGTTATGCAAGCGAGAACGAGAGGGTTTCTGCAGAAACGGAAGTTTCAGAAAATGAAAGACAGCGCTTTAAAAATCCAGGTATTTAATTACTTAAATGTAAAGCTTTCATTCTTTCTTTGATCGCTATTTATTAGAGTTTGTGAAATGAGCTTAGCAGGTCGGAAAGAATGATGCCTTATTTACATGACCATTTCCAACGTGAAGCGTTTTTGAGAAGGAGAAAAGGCAGCACAGAGCAGATCGTTTGGGGCAGTGCTCACCCCTGCCTGATGGTTCAGTGGGTGCCGTCCCAGCCCCCCGGAAGACTGGTTAGATTAGTGGGAGTTCTCTACTGGGTAAGATTGGTCTTAAGTGAAAAACTGAATTTTCCTCTCACAAGACATTTGTGAAGATTAAATAAGATACTCTCCCACTTATTCCCTGTGACATCAGCAAGTGACTCGGTGGCTCCGAGCCTTGAATCCTGTCTAAGTTGGTGACCTGCTGCCTCCTGGGTTGGGACTTGTATTGCTAGTGCCGGGGCAAGTGCTCACTGCGCGGCAGCTGTCCCTCAGGCTGTCCTTTGCCGCGAAACAGGGACAGCAGAGCATCTCTGGTCGTTGCTCTCAGGACTCCGCCGCAGGTGGACACAGGACCCAGGTGTCTGTGAGGCAGGTGGGGCGGGAGGTGGGGCGATTCCTGTTCCTTCCCAGGATGTGGAATCGTCAGTGTTCATTTTCAGTCTTTTTATACATTTATTTTTCAGTTACAGTTGACATTTCGTGTTATTTTATTAGCTTCAGGTGTGCAGTATAGTGGTTAGACAGTCATGTACTTGAAACAGTGTTTCCCCCAACATAGTGTTTATCTTTTTTCTGTTCTTCCAAATGGATGGAGATCTTGAGGCTGACTGCAGATCTTAGCACGTGAAAGTGTTTGTGAGGGTTGTATCAGGCCCAGCTGTCAGCTGGCCTCAGGGCGTGGGCCTCTTGATAAGGCTAGGCTGTCTGTGGTGAGCATTCTCTCGGGTGGGCGCATTCTCAGAGGCTCAGTAAGTGTCAGGGACGAAAGAGGCTAACAGAAGATCAGGAAGGGACTCTATCTGCAATTGATTTTTTTTTGTCTGCTTAACTTTATTAATACTGATCTTTCCGTTTACAAAAAAAAATATTAAACATCTCCTTGCATGTTTGATTTGTGTGTTTAATAGGCCGTGTGGAGGAGATATAAAGCCAGGAAATACGCGTGTGAAGTGAAGGCTGCCTGCAAGATTCAAGCCTGGTACAGGTGCTGGAAGGCACGGCAGGAATACCTGGCTGTGCTGGGAGCTGTCAGAGCCATCCAGGGTTGCTTCCGGGCCAAACAGACCAGGACGCGGTAAGGTAGCGTCGCTGTGGGCGGGGCTGGGGGGCATGTGTGTGTCTTTCTGTAAAATGCTGCTGCTTATTGCTTTTTCTCTTAAATATTGCTATGATTACTTTGTATGGTTGGTTCTGTTGTTTTCTTTGTTAATGAAACAAAATATGTATCTCTAAGGCTCTTATTTTTTTATGTAATTCAGTGAAAAATATTGATTCCTTCAGGTTGTAGGAATTGAGGGTGGGAAGTGAATAAAATGATCCACAAAGGTTGGTTTCCTTTTTAGTGAATTGGTTCGTTTTGTTTGCTGGTTTAACTACTGGCAGAATGTTAGTGATTGTTTGTTCTTTGTGTTATTCCCCCTGCTCTGTCCTCAACGAGGAAGACCTACTTACCAACTTGTTTCTGTTAATTGTACTTCCCTACTCCTCGTTCACTTTTTAAAAAATTTTCAGAAGCTCTTAGCAGATTATATTACTTTTTACTTCATAGTATAAGAATTTTTCTTCAGGACCCAGAATTGATGAATCATTGTATCAGTCACTGATGCTTTCAAAGGTCTTTTCGGGGGCACACTAGTGTTAGACTAGTACTTTCCTTTGATTCTTTTCAGAATTCTTTGTTATTCTAGAACTTCTTATCCACTGCAATATTGCCAATTGCAAAATTTATTCTTCATGGTGTCAACTGTGTGTGTGTGTGTGTGTGTGAGAGAGAGAGAGAGAGAGCGTGTGTGGGGTGTGTGTGTGTGTAAAATGACGATTGTTAGGACTTAAGATAAATTATACTTTTCTCACTTCCTTATATTTTCTTTATTCTCTTGTATTTATGTAAATGGGGGTCAATAAATACTTACTGAATAGATTAAAGTAATTTGAAATTGCTTTCCAATAACTACTTTTTAGGTTTTTGAATGTGAGAGCGTCAACAATTATCGTTCAGAGAAGATGGAGAGCTATACTTTCTGGAAGAGTAGCTCATGAACACTTCTTGATGATGAAAGTAGGTCTAAAAATAAACAGCTCATTTGCAAAGAACTATGTTAGGAAATAGAACAAAAAGTGTTTTCGAGACCTACCTATGCATTGTTTTAAACACGTTGTTGTTAATTAAGACCTATATTTACCACAAAAATACTCTTTGAGTATTTTTGTTTATATATGTGCAATTATAAAACATTTTCAAACCCAACTTTGAAGTGACTTTTAGAATAAATAATTTATGTTGAGAAAGTGATAATAGATGTAGCATATTTTATCCAGTAAAACTCATACACTTAATAACATACTCTTTAAGCCACAATTGGTGGTCTGTTTAAAATATTTAACATCGAATCTTTAGAATAACTGCAGGGCCCCTGGTCTTGTATTAAAGACATCAAAATTTTACTTGGAAATTGTGGTGTTCATGTCATCTTTACTGTGCTTATAGCCACTATTATTACACGTACTACTGTATATTTACTTACTTGGTCCTCGTAATAATCCTGTGAGGTGATTGTTATTAGCCCATTTACAGGTGAGGAAGGTGAGGTCCAGGGAGGCAAAGTGACTTGCCCAGGGTCATTCTGCTGGTAGGCGTTGACCTGTGTCCTTCCCGTTTCAGTCTCACGCTTGCTAGACGGGTTGTGGGGACCGCTGCAATGAGACCTCTAAGGTGTGCGTGCAGCCCGCTGTGGGCCTGCGGCGCTTTCTTGGTGCCCCGCGCACACCCCCCCCCCCCCCCCCCCCGTGCGCTCTGTTGTAGTCTCGTGTTAGTTAAATGTCCTGTCGAGCAACTCAGGGCCTCCCCTCCCGGCTGGCCCCTCACGGAGCTGCCCTCTTCTCTGCAGACCACCGCCTTTCCTTATCTATGAAATAGGGCGTTTTTAAGCCGAGATGTGAGACGAATCATAACTCTGCCACTGCACTCTGCGCTGGGAGGTGCACGGGCCTCCCGGCCGCTGCAGGAGCTTCCATGGAGACTTGCGCCGGCCGGACCTTCGCTGGGCGACGAGAAATCAGTTCACCTGATTTTGTTCGGTGCAGCGTCTCCTTCTCCAGCCGCAGTGCCGGAGCCTTTCCCGAGTCTAGTCCACACCCCTCACGCGAGCCTGAGCACAGGCGAGCTCACTGGCTGTCATTGGCACTCTGGTTAAACGAAGTGCCCTTATGCCTTAGGCAAGTGCACACAATAAAGTTTCTTTCTAGACTCTCAGCAGTGGCTCACACAACTGGAAATAGGGTGAAGGGTCATAACCACTTTCGAGTTACAATTTAAATAAGTTTAATGAAAAGTTAATTACTAAGTTATATAATTTGATATGGAGGATCTACGGGAGTAAACTTTGATTAGGAGTCGAGTATTTGGTTACTGATATATTTTCTCCTCCAGAGTTCAGAACCGGGAGCCAGGAGAGGGCTCCTGGGCTTCACGGGCACCGTGCGCCGCCACCTGGCGGCTGTCCGAATCCAGAGGGCGTACAGGCGCCACCTAGCGGCTGTCCGAATCCAGAGGGCATACAGGCGCCACCTGGCGGCTGTCCGAATCCAGAGGGCGTACAGGCGCCACCTGGCGGCTGTCCGAATCCAGAGGGCATACAGGCGCCACCTGGCAGCTGTCCGAATCCAGAGGGCGTACAGGCGCCACCTGGCGGCGAGGGACGCGGCAGAGCGCGTGAAGTCGGCCATCTGCATCCAGGTCAGCCCCCGCAGTGAGGCTGGGGATGTACCTGTGAGGCCCGTGTCCTCGCCAGCATGTGGCCGCAGCAGGGTCTCTGATTTCCGCCCTTGTCATGAAATCTCGTTGTTTTGGATTCACATTCTTCTGTGTGTTGTGTGCTTTTCAGTGTGGCTTTTCCTGTATCTACTTTGCCCATTTTTCTGTTGGGCGTCCATGTTCGTGCTTTACGGGAGTTCTCCATGTATTCTGATGTGAGCCCCGGTTGTGTGCTCACATACTCACACGTGAAAGGGAGCGTGAGGGGCACGCTGCGGAGCGCTGCGCAGAGCCCCGAGGGTGGGCGGGGGGGGGGGGGTGCTGCCACCGAGCAGGGTGACCGTGGCCTCCGGTGTCCTGCTGAGAACAGAGCGTCCTGTTTCTGGGGGTGTGTGTGCGTTCATTCTCTTTCAAAAACCCAAAGTAAGGTCTTCATATGTTTTAAACAGAGATGGTTTCGAACCCGGCTGCAGCTAAAGAGGTTTATGCAGATCTGTCACAGCGTCATCAACATCCAGCACGAGGCCCAGCAGCGCCTGGGGCAGCGGGACAGGGACAGGGCGGCGGCCGTCATCCAGAGAGCCGTGCGCCGCTTCCTGCTCCGGAAGCGGCGGGAAAGAGCTGCCGGTGGGATCGTCAGACTGCAGGTGACCGGAAATAACAGCCTGCCGGTGGTTCAGGACCCTAGTTCATTTAGGTGAACTCTGACCTGTGGAAGGGGTCGCGTGTCTGTGACAGGCTGAGTGGGAATAAGTCAGAAATACGAAGCTACCGCCGTTTCATTGCTACTCACTCCCGTTTTCTTTCAGAATCCCTGGGGGAAGTTGATGTTTGAGAGACGAAAAAGTATATAAGCATTTTGAATAGAGTTAGGTATCTTTAGTCCATGTGTGAACCTCAGTTTACATACAGGAATAGTAATGTATTTCTGTTTGGAAAAGTTGATTTAGCTGTTTCTTAGAACCTGAAATGAGGTCGTAGTTGCAAAGTGTCTGATCACATAGAAATTTACTGAGAATATTTACTTCGTGGAAATAAAGGCAGATACAAGTTCAAAACATCATGGGCTGTGGTCTTCCGATGACGAGCTTTGTCTCTCAGGCACTGTGGAGAGGCTACTCTTGGAGGAAGAAGAATGACTGTACAGAAATCAGAGCTATTCGCAGAAGTCTCCAGATTATTAACGAGGAGATTCGAGAGGAAGACAAGCTCTGCAAGCGAACCGCGTTCGCGCTCCATCACCTGCTGACATACAAGCACCTGTCTGCTGTTCTCGAGGCTCTGAAGCACCTGGGTGAGTCCTCGGGCCCAGCCACGTCTTGCGTGGGGTCAGGAATGCATTTCTACCTCTGAGTGTACGAGAAATGTCATAATGACACGGTAGTAGCTGAAAACTGACTTTGTTGCTGCGAATGTCTCTCTTTCCTTTCAGAGGTAGTTACCAGGTTGTCTCCGCTGTGCTGCGAGAGCATGGCCCAGAGCGGAGCGATCGCGAAGATATTTGTCCTGATCCGAAGCTGCAACCGCAGCGTCCCGTGTATGGAGGTCGTCAGCCTTGCTGTGCAGGTCTTGCTGCACGTCGCCAAGGTAGATCCCATTCTGCCGGGAGCTTGGGTTCGGAAAGCTGGCTCTGCAGGTGGCAGTCGCCGTGTGCTCGTCGCCAGGACGCAGACCCCAGTTAGATCCTTTCCCGGGCAGGAGTCAGGGGAAGATGGTTGACCTGTTGCCATGAGTGTTCAGAGACACTGAGTCTTCAGGTTCTGTTTCTTCTGTCTTTGTAATGTTAGTAACAGTGATCACTAGCGCTTACTGAGACCTGCCTCTGGGGTCGTTCATGCCACTGTTCCCATTTTAGAGCGAGGGAGTCATTTTTACCTGAGGAAGTTTCTTACCTGAGGACTCAGGTGTGACGAGGGGCAGAGCTGAACCTGGGCCGTTTCCGTCCGCCTCCGGCTGGTGCTCTCAGGCATCGCGCTGCCTCGGGTCTGCAGAGAGAGATGCTGCCCTGCCCAGTGACGTTCCAGTCCTGGGTTGGGACGGGTGGCAGGTACTGTCCTCAAGTGTGATGCACGCAGTCAAAAGTGACGACGTGGCAGACCTGTCTTCCCGACCCAACCCTGGAGCCACCACTCAGGACTTTGCCCCCGTTTTCTCTCATGGAGCAGTCATGGGGAAGATCACACTGATGCCAAAGTGCCTGGGTTTGAATCCCGCCCCACAGCCCACTCCAGGCTACTTAGCCTCTGTGCTTCCCTGTCCCCTGCTCTATGGCGACGTGGGCGCAGTACTGGTACCTGCCTCACGATGTTATTGCAGAATTAGAGCCCGTGCATGTGATGCAAAGTGCCAAGTAGCATCAGCCGTCAGTCTTGTGACTTTATCTTCCTGTCGCGGCATTGTGTGTTACCGTGCACATTTCAAAATGAGTGCAGTGGCGCCGTGGGGAAACTGAGGCATGGAACTATGTTCTAGGCTTGCCAGTATCCAACAGACTTTGTTTCAAAGCGGGTTCAGCCTCCTCTCAGGAAGCTTGACTGGGGGGACTAGTGAAATGTGCCTTTATCCGGATCTCGCCCGTGGTCGCCGTCACAGGCGGGTCCTCTTTCTCCCGAGAGCTCTCGCCGAGATGGCCTTGCCGGCAGGGCGGCCACTTTCAGGGGTTTCGGGTTCGATTCCTTTCCTGTGGAACTTTAAAGTCGGCTGGGAAGAAAACAGTTAAAATGCAGAGATGTCTGAGATGGATTCAGGATCGATAGTCATGTCGAAACGACATTTTGTGTGGTCCTTTCTCTTGCTGCGGATGGTTCGAGACCTGGGCTCACGTTTTCGTTAGCTCGGGCTGTTTCTCAGAACAGGAGCCTCTAGGTCGGGCCCTCATTCCGCTCTCTTCCAGTATGAGGAGACCACGTCAGCCGTGTACGGCGTGGACCTCTGTGTGGACACACTGCTGGAGCTTCTGAAGACCTACCGAGAAAAGCCTGGGGACAGAGTCGCAGACAAGAGCGGGAGCATCTTCACCAGGACGTGCTGTCTGTTAGCGGTGTTGTTGAAGGCGACAGATCGGGCCTCTGTAAGTCCTGCTGTCGGTTTGGGTGTTCACGTCGCTCTGGCTGCTGATGGAAGGATGGATTTGGGGAGCATGTTGGATGCGGGGGTGCTGTAAAGGAAAGAGCGAGTGTGCGTGTGTAGCCGCCAGGCACGAGGTGGTGCTCGACCAAGGCCTGGTGACTGGGAACCTTGAGGAGGTGGAGTCTCGAGACCTGTAAGTGAAGGTAATGGCATTGACTGCATTCGCCTCTTGATTCAGGGTAGATTTCAGTGTGCGTTTTTAATACTGTCCTTCTTCATGGTCGTCTTACAGACTCGTTTATAATTCAGCTCGGTCTGCCTTCTGAACCTGGAGAGCTTGGTGTTTGATTGTTAAAAGCTCTTAAGTTTACTACATAGTGTTTATTATAATTCATTCGGTAGCATAGAAAGGACGCATAATTTACTTCTTACTAGTTTAATCAATGTGCATTTTCCTTTTTAGGATGTCCGAAACAGGTCCAAAGTTGTTGACTGTGTTTATAGCATCTACAAACTTACAGCTCGTAAACATAAAATAAGCACTGAAAGAATACTTCGTAAGCAGAATAAGAATTCTTCCATCAGCATCCCCACGATTCCAGAAACACCTGTGAGAACCAGCATGGTTGCGAGGTGAGCGGGAACTGTGTTCTGTGGTTTTGTGTCGCTGTCACTCATGCATTCCGTGAACCTTGACAACCAGGAGACGTGACGTGTTGAGTTGGACGACGGGGAAACGGCCCTGGACAGAGGGGAGTCTGGTGGGCCTCAGGGCGGCGATCTCGGGAGTGAGGCCAGGGCACCGCAGCCTGGACAAGCAGGCTGGGGCCAGGGCTGCAGGCACAGCCCGACCCTAGATGAGGGACCGTTAGATCAGGAGCCTCTAGATCGGTGTAAGGCCTTGGGGACGGTGTGATCAGCCTGGGGGAAGACAAGGCATAGAAAAGAAAGTCCCAAGCGGAACCTCAAGGTGACCCCAGTTCCTCCAGCGGTCAGTAGAGGAAGAGCCAGCCCGAGTTGACAGGGCTTAGCGGGCAGGAGGACATTCTGAGGACAGTGTCCCGTCAGGGCAGCTGCCGCTGGGAGGCGAGTTCATTGGGGATGACAGTGCGGCTGGGTGTGGCGGGATGGGGTCCGCAGCTCTGTGGTGACCTGTGGCGGTGAGTGTGGATTGAGACATATGGAAGCCAGCCTAGGAGAAATTCATAATCTAAAAATATTGAAGAAAAGATGTCATTGGTTCCCAGTGCGAGAGGAACAGTCGGGCTTGCCGTGGGTGTGGGAGGATGGGCCCCGCCGGAGCCTGTCCCGGCTGCTGCTGAACTGCGAGGGTGTGACTCCCGCCACGGGAGCACGTGCTGCTGAACTGCGAGGGTGTGACTCCCCGCCACGGGAGCACGTGCTGCTGAACTGTGAGGGTGTGACTCCCCGCCACGGGAGCACGTGCTGCTGAACTATGAGGGTGTGACTCCCCGCCATGGGAGCACGTGCTGCTGAACTGCGAGGGTGTGACTCCCCGCCACGGGAGCACGTGCTGCTGAACTGCGAGGGTGTGACTCCCCGCCACGGGAGCACGTGCTGCTGAACTGTGAGGGTGTGACTCCCGCCACGGGAGCACGTGCTGCTGAACTGCGAGGGTGTGACTCCCCGCTACGGGAGCACGTGCTGCTGAACTGCGAGGGTGTGACTCCCCGCCACGGGAGCACGTGCTGATAGAGACCCTTCCTGCGTGGTTTTCACTGAAGGATTTGGCGAGTTTTAATGGTGATTATGTTTTAAAAGCTATTATTAGCACGTGGCTGGATTTCCCTTCTGATGTAGTCAGGGTTTGGGTAGTATTGGCGGCAGTTCAAACAGCCCTTGGCAGGCTGCAGTTCAGGTGACTGACAACTGCCTGGGGCTGTGAAGCCACGCCCACGGCGATGAGCTAGTCCTATCACAGCAGCGCCCGCTCCTGACAGACAGCTGCTGAAGATGTGATTTCAGAACCTTGGCTCCGCCCTGTCTGCGCTACATAAATGGGGACAGAAGTGGGCGGAGGCTGTGCTGCTGCCCTTGAGCCCTGCTGCGTGGGCGGGGCGTCCGGTTTGAGCCCCTTCCCTGTGTGGGTGTCGTACTGGGCTCCACCCCTCACCAGCTGGTAGATGTTGGACCCTTAGCAGGAAGGAGTAAGGTGGGGGCGCGTTAGTGTGGGATTGTGTGAGCAGGGTGCGCCCCCTGCACACTGCTTTCTCGGCCACGCGTGAGATGACGGACGTCAGTGCAGAAGCTGCTCGGCAGCCTGTGGGGGGGACTTTGGGAAAGAAGAAAGGGGCAGGTCCCCGTGGGGCAGAGGAGGGAAGCCTCCTCGGCGGTTTCAGTGCCCATCTGTGCCCGCAGTAATGGGCACAAGGGCGGTCAGGCCGGGTCTGTGATTTTCTTTAGCGATGTCCAGGGGCACGGAACGGAGAGCCTGGATGTCTGGATCCATCTGGGACTTTCCCGGTGAATTCAGCAGGGAAGAGGGACCAGAGTCAGTGGACCTGAGCAGACCAGGGGTGGGGGCAGCGCCCTGGTGGATGATGGGTGCCCAGCGGTGGAGGAACTGGGCAGGGGAGGCGCTACGTTACCTGAGAGGGAGTCCGAGCGGGCACTGGAGAGCGGATGGCTCGGATGGAGAGGTTGGCGTGGGGCCCTTCTGACGACGATGGCCTGTGGTCCTTGAGAAGGGCTGGGCTGAGGTGGGACACGGGGGAGGGCCAGACTGACCGGACAGGTGGCTGGCTCTTTGACCAGGTGGGTGTTGAGGTTACTGAGAATGGTGACAGGAGCCGAGAGAGCACCGAGAGCCACGGCGACAAAGCACAGCCGGGCTTGGTAGGTGCGGAGGAGCAGGGGAGCTGCGTGGCCCGGGGGAAGGGGGAGAGTCTGGAGCTGGTGACGTGTGGGAGGTGCCAGGACGTGCTCAGGACTCTGGGGAGCAGCCACGTGTTCGCTGAAACTGAAAGTGGGGTGGGACTTGCAGGAGGAGAGCTGGTGAATGAGACCCGTGTTCTTTCCACAGACTGAAGCCGGACTGGGTTCTGCGCAGGGATAACGTGGAAGAAATCACAAACCCGCTGCAGGCTGTTCAGATGGTGATGGACACGCTTGGCATTCCTTACTAGCCAGTGCGCATTTCCGTGTGCACAGCGAGGAGCGTGAACGCTAATCATGAGCATGGAAAGTGGGCCTTCTTTTGTAGAACTTGTAAAATCTGATTTTGTATTAAAATTTAAAAATACATATACTAAATAAACTGTTTTTACATTTGTCGTTGCTTCTTTTATGCACATAAAATAATGTCATAAAATGACTATAATTTATTTGTGTTTATTATCTTAAAACATGTTAGTTTGAATATCCTCATATTTCTAAGGGAATAAAATAAATTAGCTCTGTCTTATAGGTAAATCGAGGTGTTTTGTAACACGAATGTTGGAAATTTACGATTCTGCCCACCCACAGTGAGAAGAGGAGAGAATAATCCCACCAAGGCTGATAGACAGCGTCCCTGTCTGTGTCCTTGGCCAACTGGACCATCAGATTGGCAGTGAGCCCCTAGGGAGACTGACCGCTGAGGACCCTGACTTTCAACTGATTGGGGTTCTCCGGTGACCTGGGAAGACTGTGGTATCACTTATGATTTTTGTTGTCTAGTCAGATACTGCAGACCAAAATGATTCAGTGTTGAAACACTCTTTTTTCAAATACATTTTTATTGATTTCAGAGGGAGGAAGAGCAAGGGAGACGGATTGAGAGACAATGATAAATGAAAATCATCGATTGGCTGCCACTTGCACGCCCCCTACTGGAGATGGAACCCGAAACTCAGACATACGCCCTGGCTGGGCATCTAGCCGGGGTGACCTGGTGCCCGGGACCGTGCTCAACCACTGAGGCCCCCCGTGGGGTGAAACACACTTACTTTCTACAGCTTTGGGTCACTGTTCTCAATGCGGCATCTGTGTGGTTCCGGGACCACAGAAGCCTACTTCCCGGGGCTCTGGAATCCGATAGGGTCCTAGAATCTGTCCATAAGCGGAAGCCATAAAGGTTTGTAAGAGAGAAAATCAGTCACAGCTGGAGAGGGAGAGGGAGAGACCATGTAGCTACTTACCTCAGATGTTTTTAGAAGAAGGATTTAGCCCTATCAGTCTGAAAGTGTCTGGAATTTGGTTAGGCTAGATTTAAAAATCACGTTGGTATATTAAAACGTGTACTGAAATGAACTGCACAAATTTGGGATACATTTGCTTTCTTTTTTTTCCTTCCAAGAAAGTGTTTCAGGAGCTCGTGGTCGTATTTTTCAGACACCGTTTTTTGTTGACCCTCCAAAGTGTTTTGTTTTCCTCTTTCGACACAATTTTAGGGTAGACCGTCTGTTGGCTTGGAGTCACGCCGCGGGACGGGGTCAGCAGCCCGCGTGGTTCTGGGTGCCGAGGTCCGCGGAGGGGTTGCCGGCCGTCGGTGTGCGCGGCAGCTCGTTCTTCCACGGTACCCGCGCGGGAAGACAGCTCCCAGGGGCCGAAACTTGGTGCTGCTGAAATGCAGACTAACACTCTCAAAATGTTACACAATGTCCTATTTAAAAATTATGTTTTTACATAACATTTATTTGGGACCTCACAGAGGCGGACTTCACAGAAGAAATGGGCTTAGGAAACAAGTTCTAGAGGTAAAGGAAGGGTCCCCGGAGCTCAGAGGTGAGGGAGGTAATGGTCATGAGCCTGGGGCGTGGGGGGCGCAGGGGTGCTCCTGGGCCCGCCTTCCTAAGGGTTTTCTGGTGGGAGAGTTTAGGGGAGGTCGCAGGGGACGATCTCGGTAGGAGACGCAGTAGCGTTCCAGGCGTGTCCTTGCAGGGTCCGGGTCCCCACGGACAGGTCAGCGCCAGGGCGGGGGCATTATTCAGTGCGCTGGGCCTGAGGTCAGCCTCGGCCTCGCTTCTCTGGTTTTGCCGCTTTTCCGGGCCCGTAGCTGAGCTACAACTTGTTACCGGCGAGCTGGCGAGACCTCGGTTCTTGTCTTGAAGGAAAGACTTCGGTGGAGACCAAGTGCGGCGACGCCAGCAGGAATGTATTGGCCGCAGCAAAACCCACTCAGGATAGTAAAACGGGGGCGGGCTTAGGAGAGCCCAGGCGGCGCTGCTTTGGCTCAGTGGGTGGTCAGAGAACAGAGGCCTTGGGGACAGGTTCAGGGGGTCAGCCGGGGACGAGCGGCCGCTGCCCATTGCTCCCCTGGGGGCAAGTCTCTCGGGGTCCCTTGGAGTTTAGGAGGTAACGTGCCTGTGGGGAGTGGTGGGGGGAAGGGAATGGCACAGCGCGCCCCTGGGGGGAGAGCATGCCCACACCATCCTATTTCTACAGGGAGAACATTTCTCCTAAATGTATGTGGTCTATTCCTACCAGGCTTCTAAGCCTTCCTGTAAGCTAAAGGCTTGTGTCTGTGTTGTGTGTCTGTGTGTGTACTGGTGTTTGGGAGGACCGGAAGAGAAGTAATTAAGCCTTTTACTCTTAAAGTAGCTATTTTCTACCAGGATTACATTATGTTAAAGAAGAAATCTAAATGAACTGAAATCTAGTTTTATTTCAGGTGAGTTTCAATTGAACCCTCTTGTCAACTGGAATAACCCAGATTTCCAGATGTCATTCTGATCATTGTGTCATTTTTTATTTCATTTTAAATGCATATATGGCCCGGCTGGTGTGGCTCAGTGGTTGAGCATTGACCCATGCCTCAAGATGTCACTGGTTTAGTTCCTGGTCAGGGCACGTGCCCAGGTTGTGGGCCCAATCCCCAGTGGGGGGCATGCAGGAGGCAGCCAGTGGATGTTCTCTCTCATCAATGTGTCTATCTCTCCCTATCTCTTCCTCATTCTCTAAAAACCAATTTAAAAAAATGCATATATGAATAATATTGCAGAGTTAGGCTTTTTTACAAATAAAACCATACTTTTACATTCTTGGAAATTTTATCTACACCTCCCTAATTCAGCTCATTATTTTTTCACCCCATAGTTCGGCTTCATCTTGAGAGAAAGAAATTCATGTTGTGCATTCTGTATTTCAAGTTGTCAAACTTTTCTCAATAGGTGAGTGATTTCCCCCCCAGCTTTGTTATCTTTATAACTTCTAATTTTGTTTTAGCGATGAAAGCCACGTACTTAAAAAATATTTACTCGTTACAAAAACACTATCTTTTAGATTGTTTGTTGCTAGTAGCTAAGGGTGCTAAGGGCCTGCTTTTCGTTTTTATAGTGTTCAACCGGCCACTGAGTTTTGGTGTCGTGAAAAAGTGGTCGAGAGGGAGAATCCCAGTATAGCTGCAGGCGAAACCAGGCCCGACATTTCTGAAGAAGACGGGGAAGGGCCCGACCGACTACGTGCTCACGTGTATTCCGACCGACTCATGCAGCTAAAAATCTGGTGCTAACATCATGACCAAAGTAATGAAACAGAATGGAGACTCTAGAAATAGACCTAAAATGTATACTGGAGTCTAGCATATGAAAAAAGTGGAAATTGGGATCAGTGGCAATAAAATATGAATTATTTGATTGATAATTGGAGCAGCATGGTGACTCGGGGCAGAAACGAGCTCGTGTTCATAACTGGCTCCATTCACAAAGAAAAGTACTCTAAGAAACTGGCAATATTTTTGAAAAACAACTTCGGACTGATTCTCACTATATAGCACAGATCCGAAAACTTCTAAGGAAAAGATGAATTAACTTGCAAAATCTACCATAACCAATGTAAGAGAGAAAGAGAACACCAAGAAAGAAAGTAACATACAACTCAAACTCACAGCCCCAATTCATTTTCCTTAAGCTATAAAAACTTCCCACAAGTCTGTAAGGAAAAGACCAAGAGTTCAATGGAAAAATAAGCCAAGAACGTGCCCAGCTATAAAATAAAAACGGCTTTCAGGTCCATGTCAAAGGCTTCGATCTCATTTGTAAGGGAAATTTAAATCCTACTCTGTGGTTTGACTTGTCAAATTGCAGACACTGTGAGACTGGGGGAAAACATCCCGTACTGCCGGGAGAGTTCATCGGCATGATCTCCATTAGAAAAATGGAGGGATATTTATCTGTATTACCAACGCACATCCCACTTTGGGAATTGATATCCACACGTGCAAAATGACATGCTGTACATTACAGACATTTTAGCAACTTTCTTACCCAACAGTGATGAACTTGATTCAAATTATATGTCCATATACTAGGAGACCCTGCTGGTCGAAAAACATACTGCAATGGAGGGATCTCCAATACCTACTGTTCATTCAACAAGAAATGAGCTAGAAGGTATAGATTTGCTTGTTTGTGCCTGGGATAAGTCTGGGAAAATGCAGAAGCTACTAAGGACTTTATTTGCCTTCTAGAGAGGGGACCTGGGTGGCGGAGAAATGTGTGTGACAGCAACTTTTCACTTCATACCCTTTGAAGTTCGTACCGTGTAAATATATTGATCGTAAAAAAATAAACATTGAAAAGTGACGCTGTTTACCTTTGTCCTTACCTGAAGTAAAAGATGTTTCCAGATGCAAGTTTTGAAATGTTAAATATATGTTCTCGTTCCATCTGATTTCTAGATGTAATATACTTCCTATATTTATTAAATTAGTAAAAGCTAGTAACTTAATTGATTAAAAAACTAGATATTTAATTTTGATATCTCAGAATATATTTTACTTCTTTAAAAATGACTTTCTTGCCCTGGCCAGTTTGGCTCAGCGGTTAGAGCATCGGCCTGCGGTTTGGAGAGACCCGGGTTCGGTTCCCGCTAAGGGCATGTACCTTGGTTGCAGTTTGTCTCCGGCCCTGGTTGGGTTGTGCGGGTGGCAGCTGCTCAATGTGTCCCTTTCACGTCGATGTTTCTCTCTCTCTCTTCCTCTCTCTCTCTCTCCGACTCTATCTGAACAAAAAATGGAAGAATGTCCTCAGGTGAGGATAAAAATAAAAATAAAAATGACTTTCTTTGAACCCTGGCCCTACCCTTACTAGCTTTGTGGTCTCTGACAAGCCCTTCAACTGCAACACTAAGGTCAGAGCATCACTTTGTAAAACAGAGCAGTGGAGGGAACGAAGTGGCCCTGGCCGGGAAGTACAGTGGGCTGAGCGTCATCCCAACACAGTGAGGCTCAGGTTCAGTCACCACCCGGGCATATACAAGGATCAGCCAATGAACGCATAGGTCAGAGGAACAACAAATAGATGTTTCTCTCTCTCTCTCTTCCCTTCCGCTCTCAAATCAGTAAATTTAAAAAAGGGGGGGTGGGGGGATGAAGTACTGGAACCTCCAACAATGTGGATAAATCCCCAAACAGTATGCTGAGTGAAAGAAGCTACAAGAAACGAGGGCTTGCATATTTCCATGTACATGAGTCCTGGAACACAAAGCGGATGCACTGGCACGGATGGTGGTTATCAGAGCACCTGCTGCCCGTGAGGGGCTGGGAGGGGCCTGGGGGGAGTTTCTGGGACTGTGGTCATTGGCAGGGGATTGAGGTCTCCTGACCAGAGAAGGTGTGTTTAACAGTTGTGCATTTTGTTCTGGCCAAAGGGTCAAGGGTTCGATTCCTTGGTCAAGGGCACACACCTGGGTTGCAGGTTTGACCTTGCGGGAAGCAACCCATCAGCGTGTCTCACGTCGATGCTTCTCTCCCTGCCCCCCCCCCCAACTCTAAAAATTTCATGGAAAAATATCCTCGGGGGAGCATTAACAACAACAAAAAAGCTGTGCGTTTCTTTGTAAATTTCATATCCAAAGAACGATGTGTAAAAACACTGAGTTTGGGTCCATGATGTATCTGCTCAAGTGCTTAGAGGGGCGTGCACAGACATCTGCAACTTACTTTGACAGCATCAGAGAAAGGATACATGCACAGACGGTTAAATGTGATTGAGAAGTATAATACCACGTTCATAATAGAATCCAGGGATCCTGGGACTTGCAAGTCCACGGCCCACTGGGGGTTCTTGGCTTCCCGCAGGAAAGATTTAAAACTGGGCAGCACAGAGTTTAAGGTGAAACAGAGTTTAATACTGAAGCAGTGAGATAGAGAGGAGGCCACCCCGCAGACAGAGCCCCCCTCCTGGTGGGGGGCCACCCCGCAGACAGAGCACCCCTCCTGGTGACGGGCTACCCCGCAGACAGAGCACCCCTCCTGGCGGGGGGCCACCCCGCAGACAGAGCACCCCTCCTGGTGATGGGCTACCCTGCAGACAGAGCACCCCTCCTGGTGGGGGACTACCCCGCGGACAGAGCACCCCTCCTGGTGGGGGGCCACCTCGCAGACAGAGCACCCCTCCTGGTGGGGAACACCCCGCAGACAGAGCACCCCTCCTGGCGGGGGGCCACCCCGCAGACAGAGCCCCCCTCCTGGTGGGGGTCTACCCTGCACACAGAGCACCCCTCCTGGTGGGGGGCCACCCTGCAGACAGAGCCGCCCCTCCTGGTGGGGGGCCACCCCGCAGACAGAGCACCCTCCTGGTGGGGGGCTACCCTGCAGACAGAGCCGCCCCTCCTTGTGGGGGGCTACCCTGCACACAGAGCACCCCTCCTGGCGGGGGGACTACCCTGCAGACAGAGCACCCCTCCTGGCAGGGGGCCACCCAAGACAGAGCCACCCCTCCTGGTGGGATTTGCCTTTCTGTTGTTGTTGTTAATCCTCACTAGAGGATATCCTCCCCCCCACCACCACTGATTTGTAGATAGAGTGGAAGGGAGGGAGGGACACAGAGACAGATACTTAGATTAGCCGCCTCCTACATGACCTGGGCCCCGGCCTGGATTGAACCTGCAACCCAGGTACATGCTCTTGACCTGGAATCAAACCACTGACTCTTCGGTCCTCAGGCTGACACTCTAGTGCTGAGCCAAACTGGCCACGGCGGATTTACTGATCCTACAACTTGGGGTGTGGGGTGTAGGATGCTAATGTATACACTGTATGAACAAGGCTGGGCGTTGCTGCAAGGTGAGATTAGCCTCACGTTGGTGATTGCAGCTGGTCTTCTGCCAGTTCTGAGCCCACTGGGGGTTGGTCTTACTATCTCCCCGACGACAGTCTGTGTCACCCTCATTGACACGCCTCAAAGTCCATGAACAGGTTGAGTGAATAGGGTCTGGGGGCGTGGGAACAGAATGAAATACATATAGAGAAGGAAATATCTACTCTCTATGTAGATATACGGATGGCTCTCACAAACGTAATGTGAGATGGAAGATGTCAGGCGTGCCTGGTCGCTGTGGCTCAATGGGCTGAGTGTTGCCCCAGGCACCAAGAGGTCACTGGTTCGATGCCCAGTCAGGGCACATGTGGGGGTTTGGGGCTTGATCCCCAATAGGGGGCGTGCAGGAAGCAGTGGATTGGTGTTTCTCTCTCTCCCTCTCACTAGTGTCCTGTTTCTAAAATCAATGGAAACATATTAAATAATGTCTGACATAAAATACGATACGATTTTATTTATGCAGCATAAAACCATTGAAACTGGTCTGTGCGGTTAGAAGTCAAGAGGGTGCTTCCCACTAGGAGCGAGCACAGCCAGTGACGTGGAAGGAAACTGGGTTCTCGTTCCGGGTGCTGGTGTCACGGGGTGTTCATGATGAGAGCCCACCCACCTGTGCTTTATGGTCTGTGCATTTGTCTCGTAATGTGCCATATTATTTTTTAAAAAGTTACAAAATTGAAATCACCTCGCAGCATTACTTTGGAGTTTAGATTCAAACCCAGTAGAACATGGGAGACTCCCAAGGGCAGTCATTTTAACCTGTGTTTTCATTGCTGTGCACACAGGAGTACCCCATGACCTGGTGCCTGGTAGGCGCTCAGAACAGTGATAACACGGCGCACCTGCCGCGGGCCGCGGACGCTCTGAGCGTTAACTGTTAGGATCAATGACATCAGGCTATCGTTGCTTAAGCTCATTAAGGTCAGTTTTCTCTATGCAGTTGAACACCAGGTGTCCATTATCTCAAGTTCCCAAGTTCATCTCTTCATTTGATCAGCTGCGGTAAAGAAATCGGTGGTGAACTTTACTCTGTGGGCTTATAATAGGGAATCAAGTTGAAAATTCTGAGCCATAAATCCATTGGGGGTTGGTCTTACTACCTCCCTGATAGTCTGTGTAGCCTGCATTGCTCCCAGTTGTGTGGCCATGTACCCTAGCTCACTGGTGGGGTGATTGACACCTGAACAGTCCAATGACTAGGGTACTTGGGGCGTGGGAACACAATGAAATACATATAGAGAAGGAAAGAGCTACTCTCTATGTAGATAAGTGGATGGCATTTACAAACGAAATGTGAAACAGAAGATGTCAGGCATGCCTGACCACTGTGGCTCAGTGGACTGAGTGTCGTCCCAGGCACCAAGAGGTCACTGGTTCGATGCCCAATCAGGGCACATGTGGGGGTTTTGGGCTTGGTCCCCAGTAGGGGGAATGCAGGAGGCAGCCGATTGGTGTTTCTCTCTCTTTCTAAAACCAATAAAAACATATTAAAATAAGATGTTAGACACAAACAAATACGATACGATTTTATGTATGCAGCATGAAACCACTGAAACTGGTCTGTGCCGTTGGAAGTCACGAGGGCGCTTCCCACCGGGAGCGAGCACAGCCAGTGACCTGGAAGGAAACTGGGTCCTCCTTCCGGGCGCTGGTGTCACGGGGTGTTCAGGATGAGAGCCCACCCACCTGTGCCTTAGGATCTGTGCATTGTTTCGTAATGTGCCGTATTTTTAAAAAGTTACAAAATTGAAGTCATCAGAGCCCACCTCGCAGCATTATTTTGTAGTTTAGAGTCAGACCCATCAGAGGACTTTCAGTGAAGACAGTAGGTAGGTCAACCAGTTTCGCCTCCTCCCACAACCACATCGAAATTACAACTAAAGTACAGAGCGACCATCCTTCAGAACCGCCTGACCTCGAGCTGAAGGCAAGTCCGACAACTACGAGATTAAAGAGGAACCACAGGGAGACTGGTAGGAGGGCGGAGGGGACAGGCTGGTCCCACACCCACGTGTGGCGGATAAACATCAGGGGGACTCCTCGGCTGGGAAGGTCCTCCCTGAGGACTGAGGGGCCCCCATCCCACACCAGGCTCCCAGCTCAGGGTTCCAGTGCCAGGAAGAGACTCTCCATCACTTCTGGCTGTAAAACCAGTGGGAACTGAGGCTCAGAGAGGCTGAGGCCGCTGGAGCCCCAGGCAGCTCCTCTTAAAGGGCCCGCGCACGGACTTATTCAGACTTGTTTCCTCTAAGCTCAGAGGGGAGGCAGCTTGAGGCGCGCCCGAAGGAATGAGCTGTTTGGCCTTGGGATGAGGGCTGGAGGGGCAGCTTTCTCTCAGACAGCCTTGCTGGCGGAGGCCTTGGTTCCTTTGGCGAGCCCTTCCCTGGGGGGCAGACAGCCGCCATGTCTGGGACTCCAGCAACCTGGCTCACACTGGTTGCCCCGCCCTGCTGACTCCCTGAGGCCCCACCCCACCCAACTTTCAGGCCCACCCAAGCTGTTTCCAAAGCCTTTACCATAGGACTGGCCTGTCTTGGATCCTGCTTCAGAATTTCCTAAAATCTCTCAAACAAGCAGCATCTGGTCTCAGTGAGCGCTATATCTCTAGTTAAGTGGCTCCAGGCCTGACATTAGAAGCAGTCTTGGTTCACAACTTGGCTTTTCCTGGGCACCTCCAAGCCCAGCATAAGAAGCAGCCATCTGCAGATCACTTCATAGCTTATGCCTGGTGGCCCCGGGTACAACACAGGCAGTGGCTGACCTTGTCCCAGATCCAGCACACCCAGTGGACAGCTTCAGACCATATTGAAGCACCACCACCCAACCACCTCCACAGGTAACACACTCAAGGAGTAGACTCAGTGGGTACCAGAGCCTTGATTACGTATGTCTTGCTTTGTCTGGTGGGCACCTACACAGATGATCCTCCAAGGTAGTCAGAGGCCAGTGGTCAGTGGGCATGGCCAGTCCTTGCAGCTGATCAGCCTGAGTAAATCCCTCCTGTTGACATGCCAACAGCAATCAAGACTCAATTACAACGGAAGGGTGTACAGTCCACACTAGGGGTGCACCTTGAGGGCCCAGCTGGGGTGATCAGGGCGGCTGTGCCACTGGACCCTACAAGACACCTACAACAACAGGCCACCCTATGAAGCCTAGGAGACATAGAAACTCTACCTAATACATAGAAACAACCACAGGTAAGCAGCCAACATGAGGAGACAAAGAAACTTGTCCCAAATGAAAGAGAAGAACAAAACTCCAAGAAAAGAATTAAACAAAATGGAGATAAGCATTCAATTAGATGCAGAGTTCAAAACACTGGTTATAAGGATGCTCAAAGAACTTAGTGAGACCTTTAAGGAACTTAAGGAGATCTCCGAGGAACTTAGTGAGAACATCAACAACATAAAAAAACAAAAACAAAGAAACAAACAAAAAAAAAAACAGGCAGAAATGAAGGATGCACTAACTGAAATAAAGAATAATTTACAGGGACTCGATAGTAGAGTAGGTAAAGCTGAGAAGCAAACCATTGATTTGGAATATAAGGAAGCAAAAAACACCCAATCAGAATAGCAAAAAGAAAAAAGAGTCTAAAAAAATGAGGATAGTCTAAGAAGCCTCTGGGACAACTTCAAGAGTGCCAACATTTGCATCAGAGGGGTGCCAGAAGAAGAGAGAGAGCAAGAAATTGAAAACCTATTTAAAATAAAAATGACAGAAAACTTCCTAAATTTGGTGAAGGAAACAGACATACAAGTCCAGGAAGCACAGAGAATTCCAAACAAGATGTAGCCAAAGAGGTCCACACCAAGATACATCACCATCAAAATGCCAAAGGTTAAAAACAAGAGAGAATCTTGCCCTGGCCAGTTTGGCTCAGCAGTTAGAGCATTGGCCTGTGGTCCTGAGAGACCTGGGTTCGGTTCCCACTAAGGGCGTATACCTCGGTTGCAGTTTGTCCCCGGCCCTGGTTGGTCATGTGGGTGGCAGCTACTCAATGTGTCCCTTTCACATTGATGTTTTTCTCTCTCTCTCTGTTCCTCTCTCTTCCTCCCACTCTACCTGAACAAAAAATGGAAAAATGTCCTCGGGTGAGGATAAAAAACAAAACAAAAACAAAACAACAAGAGAGAATCTTAAAAGCAGCAAGAGAAAAGCAGTTAGTTACCTACAAGGGAGCTCTCATAAGACTGTCAGCTGATTTCTCAAAAGAAATTTTGCAGGCCAGAAAGGAGTGGCAAGAGATATTCAAGGTGATGAAAAGCAATGACCTACAACCAAGATTACTCTATCTTGCAAAGCTGTCATTTAGAATCAATGGACATATCAAGAGTTTCCCAGACAAGAAAAAGCTAAAGGAGTTCATCACCACCAAACCAGTATTCTATGAAATATTGAAGGGTCTTCTTGAAGGAGAAGAAGAACAAAAATATGAACAATAAAATGGCAATTAATACATATCAACAACTGAATCTACAAACAAAATGAGTAAGCAGAACAGAAACAGACTTCATAGATAGAGAGAACATTTTTTTGCTTGCCAGATGGGTGGGGGCTGGAGGGATGGGTGAAAAAGATGAAGGAATTAAGAAGTACAAATTTGTTGTTAGACTGATGAACCTCAAAGGGAAAAAGGGGTGGGGGGAAGTTGGAAGAGATAAACCAAAGAACTTCTATGCATGTCTGCATAACCAATGGACACCAACAATAGTGTGGGGAAGGCAGGAGGGGGTGGGACTGGGGAGGAGGGGGTCAATGGGGAAAAAACGGGGGACATCTGTAATAAATTCAACAATAGAGATGAGTTAAAAAATAATTAAAAAATAAAATGAAACCCATTAAAACATATGAGACTCCCAAGGGCAGTCATTTTGACCTATGTTTTCATTGCTATGCACACAAGAGTACACCATGACCTGGTGCCTGGTGGGAGCTCAGAACAGTGATAACACGGTGCACCTGCCGCGGAACATTAGCTGTTGTGATCAATAATATCACGCTGTCATTGCTTAAGATTATTCAGGTCAGTTTTCTTTAAGCAGGGTGACCCAGATCCCACCGTGTGTAACACCAGGTGTCTGTGATCTCATGTTCCCAAGTTCATCTCTTCATTTGATCAGCTGCGGTAGAGAAATCGGTGGTGAACTTTACTCTGTGGACTTATAATAGGGAATCAAGTTGAAAATTTATCCAGTTTATTTTTTATGCAGCCTGAGTTAATTATTCCTCCTGCTGCTGCTATTGTTTCCATTATTGGTCATCATGTTCTTGTTGAATTCTGGCTTGAAAAGTATTGTCAGTGAGCACAGTTGCATTATTTCAATATTAGTGGAAAACATTTTAGCTGAAATATAAGGCTTGTTAGAAAAGGACTTCGATGTTGTAAATAATTAACTTCTTCCTCGGAAGTACTGAGTACTTAATGACAAGTCCCCAGGGCTTCTGAATTGTTAGAAATCTTTGCTAAACTCACCACTGAAGATGAGGTCCAAAGACTTGGCCGTCTTTATCATATTAGTCATCTCAGGAGAACTCTATGCAGAAGGTAAAATGAACTTTTAATACTCTTTATTCTCTCAAAATTATAAAAGGAAATTCTAACCTTCATTTCACTTGAGCTTTTAATGTAGTATTTCATTTTTATGTATCCATTTTATTAAAAAAAAACATACTTCTTATAAATATAATCTGCTATAATATTTAGATCAATTGTGTTCCTTTGGGAAAAACGAGTGAATTATTCTTACAGCAACATAACTTAGAAAAACAGAACAAGACCAAAAACACTTTGTATCTCTAGGTTTGGGGCACAGAAGACCAAGCTGTAAATCTTTTCAAGGGAGATCCGGCCGCCAGCACTACTCTTCAGAAGTTGTGTGTTAGCCTTAATTCTCATTTCATGCTAGAATCCGTCCCTAACTCTGCAAAGCCTGGGTTCGTAAAGTGAGAGCTTCATGTGGGGAGTTTGGGGGAGGGGAGGAGAAGAACCAGAAAGTACCAGAAAGCTCTGCAGCTCCTGATGGTTTTAATCCTAATTTATGCAGTGGTTGAAGTCATTAAGTGGCGATTAGTAGGAGGGCCCTTTATTGACTTTGCCAACAAGGACGCTTTTGAGAGGGGAGAAGCTGTCTCAGCGGTTGCGCAGGACAACAGTTTAGACAATCCAGTAGCTGTGGACTCTGTAATCGTAAGGAGTGTTTACAGACAGATCCCCTCGTGTGAGATTCGTGTGATATAATCAGGCCGCAGAGATAAGAAACCAGGCCGGTCATTAAATGTCGGTGAGACTGAGTAGGAAAACTAGGGAGCCACACCAATAAGACTTTCCTAAAATAAACACCCGAGGGAGTGTGTTGAAATCAAATATCCTCATGAATAATAATTCCCTTTCAGTTCAATAGTTTACTACAAATTTTCTACCAAAATGAGGATCTGCACCCTGGCCCCTTTGGCTCAGCAGTTAGAGTGTCAGCCCACAGACTGAAGGGTCTTGGGCTTGATTCCCCGTCAAGGGCTTGTATCTGGGTTGCAGGTTCGATCCCCGGCTCTGGTCGTGGTGATGCGAGAGGCAACCAATCAACTGATGATTCTCTCTCACATCTACGTTTTTCTCTCTCCCTCCCCTTTCCACGCTCTCTAAAAATCAATAAATAATGGAAAAACATCCTCGGGGGAGGATTCACCAAAAAAGAAAGAAAAAGGAAGAAAAAGGGATCTGCAATTCAAATTAAGCGAAACAAATGGGAGGCCGGTAATTCCCCCGTAAGATAATATTTGCACGCATTGTTTCCTTCGGGGTCACTTTTCTGTCTCGAGAGTGTAGCATCACTGGTTTGCGTGCTGTTCCGCAGAAAGCTCCGTCTTGTGAAGTCAGGGACCGCTGTCCCGGCGGGGGCTGCCCGGCGGCCCTGGCAGGTCAATTCTGACGGAAGAGGATGGTCACCCAAGTCCTGAAACACTTAGGTTGATGAGAATAAGTGCAGCCAGCATGTCTGCCTTGCGAGGACAGGGGATGTCGCTTGGCCGCAGGGGTCATGTTTCAGACACGTGTCTCGATGCTCAGCTTGACTGTTGACTTGTTTCAGAGAAACCCTGTGGTCTTCCTAGTGTGCACAATGGGAGGATTGCCCCGTATTTCTACACTTTTGAAAGTTTCTACTTTCCAATGAGCATAGACCAAAAACTGTCTTTCTCCTGCTTGGCTGGCTACACAACGGACAAGGGGAAGCAAGAGGCGAAAACGACGTGCACAGCAGCAGGCTGGTCCCCAGAACCCAGATGCTTCAGTAAGTCAGTCAGCGTGTGGGCTTCACGGCTGGGTCACCCCAGTCCCTCGCTTGCCGATGCAAGGGGTCCATTCGCGGCGGCAGGTGGCCGGTCCTTTCATCAGATCGCAACGAAATAGCCGGCCCACTGTCTGTTTGTCTTTTTTACAACATGAAGGCATATTCTGAAATTCTGCAAATAATGTTTCTCATGAAAACATTATTTTCTTCACTTGTTAATGATCCCCTGTGAAGAGAATAGACATAAAGCCTGACATTGTTACTCAGCACGTTGAGGGAACAGAGACGAGAGCGAGTTACTTTAAGTGACGAGGAGGAAGCCAGACAAGAGATGGACATCTGCAGACTAGTGAAGGGTCCATCAGGTAGGGTGGGCTCTCGTGGGTGCTGTCGGCAGTCAGCAGGCACAGTGACTCGACAGAGTAGGAAGTAAGTGCGGACCATGTCCTTTTATTTGCTGTGAATGACAGTGAGTGGTCAGCTCTCGGATGGATCTCCTCCCCGTAGACAGGGAGAGATGGGAATGGCAGAAAGAGCCGAAATGAACACATGCCGAGAATGTGCGCATCACGCGGAGTCAGTTTTCATAACGCGCTTGATGAAGGACAGGCAGGATGTCTCCAAAATGAAACCAAGGCGAGGCATTGTAGGGTGAACCTTTTCCTCCCGAACACCCCAAGCCTGACATAAACTGTGTGCCTTTAGTTTTTACGACTTAGTAGAGGACAAGCTTCATGGCATGAAGTTAAGGAAAGATATTTTTTTCCTGTAGAAAAATGCACTAGGCCTGACCTGGTCAACGGTCACATCTCTGATTCAAAATTATTGTACACAATTCGAGAGAGCATGCGTTACGGTTGTGACTCGGGATACAAAACCGCCGGGGGGCAGGATGAAGAGGTGGTACAGTGTCTGAAGGACGGATGGTCTTCTCAACCGGCCTGTAGGAAGGAGCATGGTACGTGCTTGACGATCATTTCCTACCACTGAAGATAAGAGCTTGGAGGCTACTCCCTTCTTATATTGATGGGTGTTTGCATTGACTGATTGATTGATTTTCTTTTTTGTTCATCCTCGCCTGAGGATATTTTTGCATTGATTTTTGTTTGTTTGTTTGTTTTAGAGTGAAAGGGAGGGAGGGAGGGACAGAGAGAAACAGCAATGTCAGAAAGACACATCCATTGGTTGCCTCCCGCACAACCCCGACCAGGGCTGGGGATCGAACCTGCAACCCAGGTACGTGCCCTCGACCGGGAATCAAACCCTCAACCCTTCAGTCATAGGGCCGATGCTTTAAACCATGGAGACCCACAGGCCAGGGCTGGATGGGCATTTTTATTGAACAGAATCGAAATTTTCATCATGTCTGCAAAGTAAGGAGTGATTATATTGTTTTCCTCAAATGCCAGGCATTTCCCCCGCCCACAGTTTCCAGCTCCCACAACACGCCTTGGCCAGCAGAGAACTCATTTTATACTACTGAAAAGCTGAGGCGGAATAAAAGGAAAAAAACCTCAGATAAAGCCGTGTCTAGCACATACCTCCGTGACTCTTCCTCCTCTAGAGAAGAGGTCGGGACAGCATGCAGTATTGTGTACTGTCACCCAATACAGAGGTGCTTAGGACACTGCAGTAACGTGAAAGCTCCCACTTTGTGAGCGTGTTGTTAGTTGTTTAAATTGTGCAAATCCACGGATGCACATAACTGTTATTGCACCCACCTTCCGTCGAGCTGTGGCCTTCGGTCAAATACACTAGACTCCACATGGAAGAATAGAAGGGCGGGGCCGGACACAGGGGTGTGGAACAAGGGGAGACGGAGGCAGAACCGTCCGACCCCTTTTCATTTCTTCCAGGGGTGGGTTCCGCCCTCTGTTCTTAAGACTCAGGGAAAATTCGCTTGGGGATTTCTCTGGGCTCTTCTAGGGTTAGTGATCGAGTTCCTAAAATGTCACTGTACTCTCTGTTAGAGACATGTCTGGCTCCCGAGTTACAGCATGGGAATTACTCCACCACGCAGAAAATGTTCCGAGTGCGGGACACGGTCCGCTACCAGTGTGATCCTGGCTACTACACGGCGGGGGGAGGGACGACGGAGGAGGCCGAATGTCACACGCACGGCTGGTCTGTCCCACCGACATGCACCAGTAGGTTCTCCTTGGAACACATCTTCCTCCACCCTGGACACTCCTCTTGGACACAAGTGCATGTCAATTATGTGATGCTAATTATGTTCAATTTCATCCTTCTTTTTTCTTTTTTTTTTTTCGCTTCTGGTTTCGATTGTGTTGACAGTAGGCTGTGACCCTTGAAAGCTCTCTGATAGAAAATAAAAAATCCCGTCTTCTAGCTCAGATAATTCAATTCAAATTAGCCTCATGATCTTTAATAAATAGATAATTTGACAAGCTCTCATTTGTATCATGAAATGTGACAAACGTGCTCATTTCTATCCCAGGTATGCCAGGTACGTGGCAGGTGAGTCTTGTTCTAGCGGAAAAAGTAACGCTTCCGTGGAGTTTAACGTGTTTGTTTGTTCATTCTTAGAATTCAAATGCTCTTCGTTAAAAGAAATAGAAAATGGTTATTTTCTCCCTGTCAAGCAAACCTATGAAGAAGGGGATGTCGTTCAGTTTTTCTGCCGTGAAAATTACTATCTAAGTGGATCTGATTTAATTCAGTGCTATCACTTTGGCTGGTACCCAGACTCTCCTGTCTGCGAAGGTAATTTTTAAAATTTCACGCAGAGAAATAAACAATCATGTCTTCTTTCTCTTTTTGATAAAATACTGTGATGCTTGATTCTTTTAAGTTCCATTTTTTTTTTTTTCAATTAGAGTTTACATTCAGTATTATTGTGTATTAGTTCCAGGTGTCCAGCAGGGTGGTTGGACAGTCATGTACTTTATATGGTCCCCCCAAGATTTCCAGCACCTGGCACCATACACAATTCTGGCCCAAGTAGGGTATCTTCATCAGCTCTGATTCTATGGAAAAAAGCCTCTAATTCTAATTCAAGTAAATACTGTCTTTTACATCAATGTTGGTTTCAGCCAACTTAAATACAGTTCATCTAAAGAAAGCTTACGTTTTATATTACATCGTTGAGTGGATACAGCTTTTAAACAGCTGTTAATCATGCCGGAAGCGCTGTGGAGGAGGACTTACCTCTAGCAAAGGAAACAGATGGGGAAAAACCACTGATACCATGTGGCCCAGGGAATAACAAAGGCAGGTGTCAAAGGACCTGAACAGTCATGACCGGTTCTGATGGGTGTGCGGACACTCTTCAAGCTGGGCTTTCAGAGCTGGACAGGAGTTGGAGGACTGGGGAGGGGTGGGGAGAAGAAGCCAGGGGCTAGACAGCCTCTGTGTTCTCTGTGTTCTAGAAAACAGGGTCATGACTGAGGTGGGAGAAAGACAGGAAGAGGGTGCTGAAGATCTGAAATAGGTGCTAAGAGGAACCCAAGAGGGAGCAGACCAGGGTTTGCAGTGGAGTGCCCGGCGCTATCGGAATTCTTCAAATGCACTCAACAGTTACTTGAATGCTTTGTTTAATAATTCTTTAAAAAGCTTTCCAGTGTTGCTCAACAGCCCGGTGTCCGAGTAGAGAGGACAACGGTGAGCAAATGGTTGCATTATTTCAAACACAAATGGCAGATCTACCGTCACCCCATCCACACTCCCTCCATCCAAATTGGTCAGCACGGCCACCTGCTCATTATTTCTCCTGGTCACTAGTCCTCAGAGACAGGGCAGGCTGGATACTGCCCACCCCCCCCCCCAAGATATCCACAAGGAGGGAGCAGAGGAAGGCTGGATCACAGAAGAGGAAGCAGACGGGACAAAGAAGTAGAAGATGGGGTGACCGGAAGTAGGGGTCACGCATGAGCCAGGAATGCAGGCGGCCTCCAGAAGCTTGGACAGGCGACTCCTGTCTTCTCCTAAGCCAACAGAAGGAACTCGGCTCCCCTGACACCCCAATTTTAGCCCCGTGGAGCTGAGCCTGGACTTTCGGCTTCTAGAACTGTAAAAGAACAAATCTGTGCTATTTTAAGCCACTAAATTGTGGCAATTTGCCGAAGCAGCTGCAGGACATGCAGACAGTCCGTATTTCAAAATCGTCAGGGGCAGATTTTAATTCAGGGAGACTCAGGTGCACTTACCCGCTTCCCAAGTTGCAGTTGCTCTGTAACCTGGGAGACGTGGCAGTGCCCACTCACGTTCATTGGAGGGTCAGAGGGCTCAGGGCGGTGAAATGCTTGCTGGTCAGGTTTCTATTGGTGCAAAGCCACGTCATCAACAACGTAGCCGCTTAAACTGCACACACGGGCCGGTTGCTGTGGGCCGGGATTCAGGGCGGAGCTTAACTGGTCCCTGAGCCTCGGTGTCCAGCAAAGCTGGACCCGGCTGTGGGTGGGGCTGCAGCCTCTGGAGACTCCACTGGGCCGAACAGGCTCCCACAGTCGCGTGGTTGCTGGCAGCACTCAGGACCCGCAGGCTCTGTCTGCAGTCAGGGCCTCAGCTGCTCCCGGCTGCCCGTGGAGGCAGCCCCCGTGCCCGTGCCCGTGCCCCGTGCCCTCTAGAAACCACAGCGTGGCAGCTCGCTTGTCACAAACCAGCCGGAGACAGTCTCTGCGCGAGAATGACCTTGCCACGTTGCTTTGCAAACCTTGTGTCCGTAGCTGTGTCTCGTCCACCCCATCATCTTTGCTGTGGGCTGTTGCTTAGAAGCGAGTCTCACGTCCTCCTCGTGGGAACCAGTATAACCAGGAATTGAACATCAGAAGGTGGGGATCAAGGGGGTGACCCGAGAGTCTGTCTGCCATACTTCTATGATACTTGGCACAATGAAAATGCCTATTGAATCCTTTTTTTTTTTTTTTTTTTAAATATGTTTTTATTGATATTTTTTTAGAGAGAGACAGAGGAAGGGAGAGAGAGAAACATCGATGTGAGAGAGAAACATGGATTGAATGCCTCCTGCACGCCCCCTACTGGGGATGGAGCCCTAAATCCAGGCATGTGCCCTGACCAGGAATGGAACTGGGACCTCTCAGACCCTGGGGCGCTGCTCAGTCCACTGAGCCACACCGGCCTGGATGAATCTTTTTTCAAAAATATTTTTTAGTGATTTTTTTTTGAGAGAGAGAAAGGAGACCGAGAAACATGAATGAGAGAGAAACACTAACATGGATCGGCTGCCTCCTGCACACCCCCTGCTGGGGATCAAGCCCGTAACCCGGGCACGTGCCCCAATTGGGACTCGAACCCACAACCTTTCGTTGCATGGGACGACGCCCAGCCGACTGAGCCGCACTGGCTCGGGCAGTGCCTCCTGACCCTTAAGCACTGTTTTTTGGTAATCACATGGCTTAATCTGCTGCTGTTTTTCCCCAAGGAAAAAGAAACCGATGTCCTCCTCCACCTCTGCCCGTAAAAGCCAAAATCCAAGCGCCCTCGACCACGTACCGTGACGGGGAGACAGCGCGGGTCGAGTGCGAGCTGAATTTCGAGATCCAGGGACCGGAGGAAATACGCTGTGACAACGGCAAGTGGACGGAGCCTCCGCAGTGCGTCGGTGAGCGCCCCCCGCCCCCCACGCTTTGCCTGGAAGGAAGGTGGCGGGCCCTCCTGCTCAGTGACGTCCCCCCCTGAACTTGTGCCTTTGCAGAGGAACAGAAGGTGGCCTGCGAGGCGCCACCCCCGGTGCAGAACGGGGCCGTGCACCTGCCCTCCGAGGCGTATCGCAGTGGGGACCGAGTGACCTACGTCTGCAGCCGCGGCTTCCACCGCCTGGGGCCGAAGGAAATAATCTGCCAGCGTGGAAGGTGGACAACCCCCCCCGAGTGTGTGGGTACGCGTGAAGCGACACCCACAGCTGAGGCTGCGGGGCCAAGTGTTTCCTTCTCAAGTGAACCCGCGTCCTTAGGGCGAGAGCCCGTTGCCTGGAACAGTTAGGCGCTCGCTGGTTTTGGGTTTCCTTGTTGTGGTTGTTTGTGAATGTAGGGAGCCGTGTGCGGGAGGGCCGCCCGCGTGGGTCCCCGGGCGCAGGACGGCCGCCCGCGTGGTCCCCGGGCCCAGGACGGCCGCCCGCGTGGGTCCCCGGGCCCAGGACGGCCGCCCGCGTGGGTCCCCGGGGGCAGGACGGCCGCCCGCGTGGGTCCCCGGGGGGCAGGACGGCCGCCCGCGTGGGTCCCCGGGCCCAGGACGGCCGCCCGCGTGGGTCCCCGGGGGGCAGGACGGCCGCCCGCGTGGGTCCCCGGGCGCAGGACGGCCGCCCGCGTGGGTCCCCGGGCCCAGGACGGCCGCCCGCGTGGGTCCCCGGGCAGGCACAGCCCTTTCGAATGTGCATTAGGGGCGAGGTTCGCTGCTCTCACTGGTTTGATGCCCTGACTCATGGGCTTTATTATTTATTTGTTTATTTATTGGTGTTTTGTGTTAATTTTCACCCGCGGATATTTTTCCATTGATTTTTAGAGAGTGAAAGGGAGGGAGGGAGAGAGAGAAACACATCGATTAGTTGCCTCCTGCAGGAACTTACCGGGCAGGGGATTGAACCTGCAACCCAACTACCTTCCTTTGACTGGAAGTCAAACCCGCAACCCTTTGGTCCACAGGCTGATGCTCTAACCACGGAGCCAAACCAGCCAGGGCTACTAGTTAGTTAGTTAGTTAGTTAGTTAGTTAGTTAGTTTTTCCAAGTGAGTGTGTTATAAGGAACAGGTTTTAAATGTTAACCAGAAGCAGCCCAGGTGGTTGATGCTGGTGATGTTCTGCCTCATTCGAGAAAACAAGGACCTGTTGGAAGGAGTGACCGGCCGTTATCTGGATGACCTCCTCTCCCTCTGTGCCCCACAAGGTCAGGAGAGAGCACTCTGCTCTGACTCCGCAGTCCTGCCATCGTACACTCACGGGGGCCCTTCAGAGCCCTCCACTCCCCTTCGGAGACGTGCCTGGTCTTCATTCCACTGAAGGGACAGCCGGCTCGTCCCCGCTCCTGGGGATAATGACAGGGACAGGTTTAGATCTGACCCTGATTCTCAGGGTAGCGAGCATTGCTTACCCTTCCATCCATGAAGAACATCGACATCACCAGTCACTCACAGGCAAGAAAGGTGGAAAACCTTCCTTCTCCACCTGGTCTTAGTCAACCTGGAAGATACCTGAGCTCCATCGCGTTTCTCATTCCTGGTGAATTTAGGAATCAGTTGTCTATGTTATAAGATACAAATAGTGAGACACTGTCGTCTGGGGAAGTCTAGTATATCATTATGCTGTTATAAGTTCATATTGATTTTATAAATAATCTTTTTCTTAGAAAACATTGAGACGTGTAACCCCCCACCCAACATAACGAACGGAGCTGTTATTGATCAGTTATCGGGGAGATACGCTGCCGGGGCCTCTGTGGAATATAGGTGCAATGAATATTACATAATGAGGGGAACACAGATGTCCTACTGTGACTACGGACACTGGACACCCCCACCTGTGTGCTTAGGTAAGACAGAAAACACGTCGACATCTCCTAAAAAAGCTTTTCCTCGGCTTTAGGGATACAACTGATGTGTAACATTGCATGAGATCAAGGTGTTCAGTGCGATGGTTTGATAAACTCGTATAGTATTGTGAAGTGATTCCCACAGTTATGTTACTTAAGATGGCCCTCACGTAATTACCATGTTTTGTTGCTATTTTTAATGAGAGCATTTAATATCTGCTTGTCTGGTACCTTTCGAGTACACAAAACAATGCTGTTGGCTGTCGTCCCCATGCTGTACATGAGACCCCTGGAGCCTGTTACTCTTATAACAGAACATGTGGATTTTTCTTTTGCTCTGTGTTTGTATTTTTAAGCAATTTTCACACAAGGCTTTATAGTGTGGAAATAATGATTTGGTATAAATCCTTTTCTTTTTTCCCTTATTTCTGTAAGTAGAGAATCCCCAGTAGTTTAGAGTCTAGGACGACATTCGTTCATACCCTGCTACTTTTAAAAATGGTGGTAAAATAGGGACAACAACATTGTATCATTTTTACCATTTGTAAGTGTGCATTTCAGTGGCATTATGTATACGCATATTTTTTGTGACTCATTACTTTGTTGTTGTTGTTAATCCTCACCTGAGGATATTTTTCCATTGATTGTTAGAGAGAGTGGAAGGGAGGGAGGGAGAGAGAGAGACATCGATGTCAGAGAGACATGTCGATTGGTTGCCTCTCAGACACACCCTGACCCGGGCCAGGTTCCAACCTGCAACCCAGGATGTGCCCTTGGCTGGGAATGAACCTGTGACCCTCTCGTGTGTGGGCCGACGCTCTAACCACTTGGCAACACCCACCAGGCCTGTGACTCATCACCTTTTGTGTTGCTTTCTCCTAACTAAAATCTCCCATCATTATAGTGCTCAGTGTCTCTGCTTCTGTTCTCAGAAAGTCACTTGGAGAGAAGACCAATCAATCGAATTCTTTCCTTAGGACGCGTATTGGCGATAGTATCTGCTACTGCTTCTACACTTGAATGGTTGATCACCCTTTCTTCATCTTGTTGAGCACATGAAAACGAGCTTGGAGTTATTCTCAATATATTTTGCATTAAGACATGGTATAGCTCAGCCGGTGTGGCTCAGTGGTTGAGCGTCAACCATCAACCCATGCATCAGGAGGTCGCCAGTTTGATTCCCAGTCAGGGCACATGCCCAGGTTGTGGGCCTGATCCCCAGTGGGGGGCGTGCAGGAGGCGGCCAATCAATGTTCTCTCTCATCGATGCTTCTATCTCTCTCTCCCTCTCCCTTCCTCTCTCTAAAATTCAATAAAGACAAAGAAAAGGACATGGCATAACTAACGGTCACATTTCAAGTAGAGAACTGAGGGAGCTAGCTAAATAATTACCTGAGCTGAAATAACTTTGAGAAAATAATATTGTCCTCATTTCAAGCCTATATAGGTTTGCCTCATTTTATACCTTTGCTAGTCAGAGTTCCATTTATAAGTAATGTGACTGGTCACCACAGTTGTAATTAACATGTTACATTGTGACTTTTACAAATAGAGAATGGCATGATAAATTCCCTACAAGTTAAAATCAAATAGTCATTTAATTTAAAATACTAGCCTTTTAAACGACAAAAGCAAGGGGTTATAATATTGTATTAACTACGGATGGTGTCAGATGGGTACTAGACTTATGGGGGGGTGGTTCACTTCATAAGTTCTATAAATGTCTAATCACTATGTTGTACACCTGAAACTAATATAATATCGTATGTCACCTGTAATGGAAGCATGTAAAATTATAAAAAACAAATTAAGTGGTTTTACTATATAAAATGAAGATAATAAAGAATGTATACATTCATTTGATAGTCATAAAAAGTAAATCCTTCCTTATGTGTGTGTTTGAGGAGCTTTAATAATGATAAATGTTAAATATAAAATGTTGCGGTTGGTGCCTGTCGTCATTTTTATTTTAAGAACATATCACTTCCCTATTTGCCGGATGAGTCAAGCACTTAAAGGAGTGTTTTGCTTTCCAGAGCCGTGCACTGTAAGCCAGGACGACATGCACAGAAACAACATACAGATGAAGTGGAAGTATGAAGGAGAGATCTTACATGGAGATTTAATAGACTTTTCATGTAAACAGGGGTTTGGTTTATCCCCATCAACTCCACCGTCTACATTATCTGTGCGGTGTGACAGAGGACGCGTGCAGTACCCTTTATGTGTGAAAAAAGGTAAAACTGCGGTGCTTTCTACAGTTTCGCAGGTGATCAGTGTCAACACTTGGGTTCAAAGTGGAAGACCCAAGGCCACGCTCCACCATCACCTTCTAATGTATAAAACTGGGAATGGTCTGATCAGTTTCCAGTCGACGCATACACTTAAACAGGGTGACTAAGCTGACATCATTTAATTTCAAGAAGTGAATTTTGCAAAGGGAAAGGTCAAGAAGTTTGATCAATACCACCGGGCATGGGGGGGATGGATCACCGCCTTTCGAACAAGCCAGTGTTGGAATGCATTGCTCTCCTTAGGGTTTGCTGGGGAGCGTGCTCTCAGAAAGGGGCTTGATGTAGAGACAGGTTTTGTGTACTCCTTGGACCTAAAACTGTGACTTTTAAGAAAAAAATAAGGAAGGGAATACATGAAGTGTGGTTTCAAGAGGAATCTCATACATTTTCACTTTCAGCTAGATAGAAAGGGAAAAATAAAATCATGCTCGTCAATACTTGGCTAATTTTCAGTGTGTACTTACATATTATAATATGCGATTCTAACTGCAACAGGAAATTCTGTAGTATGAAACTATTGCAGAAATGCTCTCAGGTGACAATTTAAAAACATGTACTTTCTACTTCTTATAAATGCTTTTCCATGAACTATTTCATTGTATTTCTCTGGCAATTATGAGAGCGCTGAGTCCTGATTATAGCAATTCATTGTTATATGTGTTTGCAGAATCCAAAGGCTTCTGTCCCTCTCCTCTACTGATTAACAATGGAGTCTTTATTAGTTCAAAAACTGGCATCTATGAAAACGGTTCCTCAGTGGAATACAGGTGTTTCCAGTACCATTTCCTACAAGGGTCTAAATATTCCTACTGCATAGAGGGAGTGTGGACCACACCACCATCGTGCTTAGGTATGTGCTACTATTTACCTCTATTTAATAAAATAAAACCACCTTTACTTCCTGTTTCAATGCTACTTACAAGGCTTAACGTGCCACATTTGTGTTATTTTGTTTGTGTTATTTAATCACTGGTTTCTATTCTTTCCTCTGGATCATAAATAATTACAGTCCAGCTCGCTCTAACAAATACTCGTTACAGACACACCACCCTCCAGGTACTGATGGACGGTGGGGGTAAGACCAATGTGCCATGGTGATAAGGTAAATATATACAGTAGTGTCTGCCATCCAGTGTGATTGGTACTATAAATAGAAAACATGAGCACGGTGTAGAAATAAAAAGGCACATCCCTTTCCACCTAGAAAGATAAAGGAAGTTAATATCTCATTAGCTAGGATCCTCACGGAGGTACTGATGTCCACCAAGGACCACAGTGAAAATGGCAGGATGCGGCCTGGGAGCTCTGATTATGTTTTCTTCCGATTTAAATATCAATCTTAACTAATGTCCTTACCACTCTCCTGCCTGGAAATTTTAATGTCATCATGAGTAGTTGGCAACACAATGCTTCCTGCTCACCCCAAGATGTAGCAAGATGTATCTATTTTTTTTCTGTTTCAGAGCCCTGCATATTATCTTGGGCTGAAATGCAACAGAATAATTTACTCCTGAAATGGACTTTCGACAATAGACCGTTTATTTTTCATGGAGACTATATTCATTTTCTCTGCGTGAGAGATACTTACATGATGGACTCGTCTGTTATTAAAACTGAACTCAGAGTGCCCTGTGACAAAGGGAAGCTGAAATACCCAAAATGTGTTCCAAGACAGAGGTAACAAGAGGCCTACAGCTTTTTTTTGCTCATATTGTTACTCGAGAGATCCATCGCATTGTAAATTTCAGAAATGTTAGCTTCTATAACACTTGCACTTTGTGGTCATTATACAGAAGAACAATATTTTTCTTTATTTTTTTTAAAACCAAGCAAGCTCCTAGAAGTATTAATTAATTCAACAAGCTTTCTGAGTTGTCTGAATTCAAAGCACTGTGTGCTATGGGACACTTTGGCAATTTGGTAAATAAATCAATTTATAGGTGCAATATTTATTTACTTAATTTATTATTATTATTTTAATAAATTATAAAAATAATTAGGCTATTTTTCCATTGATTTTTAGATAGAGTTGGAGGCAGGAAGGAAGGGAGAGAGAGAGAAAGAGAGAGAGACAGACAGACAGACATTGATGTGAGAGGGACACATCAACTGGTTGCCTCCCACACAACCCACACCAGGGCCGGGGATCGAACTGCAACCGAGGTACATGCCTTTGACCAGAATTGAACCCGAGACTCTTTGGTCCAAGGGCCGGTGCTCTAACTGCTGGCCAGGGCGTGCGTGCAATATTTAAATGTGGAAAAATTAGCCTATGTGTTCTGAGATAGAAATCACATTTTCTCCCACTTCCCAGTATAGGTTCATGAATGATTAATAAACGTCGGACACACAGTTGTACCAATCTTTCTGCTGATAGCAGAGCAGGCTAATGACTATAATTAAAAGGATGGTATTTATTACCAGGAATGCATCTCTATGTACAAATTTGGAATTACTTACTGTAGTGTTTCCTCATATGATAGTTTTAAAAATATATTTTTTACTTTTTTTATTTTTTAATTTATCCTTACCCGAGGACATTTTCCCACTTTTTGTTCAGATAGAGTGGGAGGGAGTGAGAGGAAGAGAGAGAGAGAGAGAAACATCAACACGAAAGGGACACATCAAGTGGCTGCCACCCGCACAACCAGCCAGGGCCAGGGACAGCAACCGAGGTACATGCCCTTAGCGGGAACCGAACCTGGGTCTCTCTGGACCACGGGCCGACGCTCTAACCGCTGATCCAAACTGGCCAGGGCTATTTTCTACTTCTTGATAAATGAAAAATAACCACCCCCCAGCAAATCATTAAAATAATACAATAAAATGATGGTGTATAACTTTTTAAAATTTTTAACTGTGTTAAAAATCAGAATAGAAAAATGTTCTATGCTATTTAATGTTTTAATGTATCTTGGGTTTCTAATTCCTAAGAGAAAAATAAGTAAGTAACTTAGAAAAAGGTGTGTGTGTGTGTGTGTGGGGGACCAGTGTTACTGTTGTAAATGACACTGAGTCTATAAAAACAAATTGGTGGCATCATTTTTCAAGTGTGGTTTTATGCTTCAGAAGTATCTAGTAAAAAAAGACTAATTATATGAAATATCAAAGGGCCAAGACTGTAATAAATATTTAACCAGAGATGATGTTTATTAAAAAAATCTCTCTCTCTCTAAGGACACTGTCTTATCAAGAACCCTTCAGGACATGAAATGTGGCAGAAAGAAAAACCTTATTTCAACACATCGGAGAATCCCTTGAGAAACATAATTTCGAGAAGGAAACTGTTGAATTAGAAAACTCTTAAGTTTTAACTTGCCTGAAGATTTGAATCTAAATTGTTTATGATGAACATTTTCTTTGCTTGTAAATAAAATTCGGAACAGGTCCTTTTATTTCTAGTTTGAGTGATTGATCTAATCTTGATTACTTGCCTTCTGTCTGTTGTACTGTTGATCCATGCATCAAAATCTTTCTGTCTTCCATTGTCCATTTACGTCCACTATTTTTAATTCAATCTTTAAATCAATATTCAAGAAAATAAACTCAGTTGTAATAAGAAACTGTTCATTGTATTAGAATATTTACTTTATTAAACACAGAAGAGACTTGGGGAAGTCACGGTTTGACATGATGCTACAGTGGTTTTAAAAAAACACACCAGTTTTTGCCCAGCTGGTGTGGCTCGGTGGTTTAGTGTCAACCCATGAACCAAGAGGTTGCTGGTTCGATTCCCCGTCAGGGCACATGCCCAGGTTGTGGGCCCGATCCCCAGTGGGGGGCATGCAGCCAATTGATGTTCTCTCTCATCCATGTTTTTCTCTCTCTTCCTTCCTTTCTCTCTAAAATCAATAAAGGGAAAAACAAACAAACAAACAAACAAAACACACCAGTTTCTCTCTTCCGGCCCCTTCCTCCCTTCCCTCCGAGGTTCTTCAGTCTGTCCCTCACTTCGGTGTCTCTGGATCTGTTTTGTTCATCCGTTGATTTTGTTTCTTAGACTCCACATATAAGTGAGCTCACATGATATTTGTCTTTCTCTGATTGGCTTCTTTCCCGTCAGGGGCCTGGACACAGAACAGACCTGCACCTCAGGGGGCAGGGTGGGGCAGGGGAGAGGTGGACCAAAGAAGTTGTCTGTGTCGGTGCATAGCCCGTGGACAGAGAGCAGGCGGAGCCCGCCTGGGCCTGAGTGGGAACCGGGTGGAGGGGACAACGGGGGACTAATAGGGGAGACATCTGTAATACTCTCAACAATAAAGGTAATAAATAAATAAAAATGGAGAAAAGTCTGCTCACCCCAACTTAGAATAACTCTGCAGAGTGGTCCCAGCTCCAGGGCTCCCCGCTGGGCCGAGGGCACCAGCACCCGAGAGCCCCCCGCGGGGGACGGGCACCGGCACCCGAGAGCTGGGCACCAGCACCCGAGAGCCCCGCGGGGGGCCGACGGCACCAGCACCCGAGAGCCCCCCGGGGGGCCGACGGCACCAGCACCCGAGAGCTCCCCGCGGGGCCGTGGGCACCAGCACCCGAGACTTCCCTTCGGGTCAGCGTCTGCACCTCACTGCCTTTATTTCCCTTCCACAGGGGTGCATCCCAAGAGTGTCCCTGAAAACCCTCTTAGCTGCTCATTTCCACCTCGTAGCCCACTCGCCCGGGAACGCAAGCTGTTCGCGTTGCACAAGCCTGGAGACCAGAGCCGAGCACTGGGGGTGGGGGTGGGGGGGTGGGGGGGATGGAGGGGGGGGGCTGGGTACCAAAGGGTTTCAGAGGCACAGAGCGGAAGTCAGAACGGTCACGGGAGGTGAAGTTCAGCGTGGGGAACATAGTAATCTTGTAATAACTTGTACGCTGCCCTTTGTAAACGGATGATTGTCTGACCACTATGCTATACACCTGAAACAATACAAAATAATATGAACTGTAAACTGTGATTTGAACATTTTTTAAATTGAAAAAGAGCAGAGCATTGAGCATAACAAATACAAAATAATATGAACTGTAAACTGTGATTTGAACATTTTTTAACTTGAAAAAGAGCAGAGCATTGAGCATAACAAATACAAAATAATATGAACTGTAAACTGTGATTTGAACATTTTTTAAATTGAAAAAGAGCAGAGCATTGAGCATAACTCAGAGTCATCGGTTGGAAGATGTCCGTGACGGGAGTTGCTGGGGGTGAGGTCAGATGGGGGCCGAGTTCTGGGCTCCGAGGGTCTCCAGAGCTCATGGGCTGGTGTTTGCAAAGGCCTGGCCACGGAAACTGACGAGGCTGCGCTGGTCAAATGAAAGCAGGGGAGATGAGGACCTACACCATTTACTAGAAATGGATACATAATAACCAGCAAATTGTATAAAATGAAATGCTAAAATCATGAGACTAATGTAAAAGAATGCAGGGGAGATTCTAAAGAATACTAACAAATAGATGGGACCAATTAGAAGCCACTGGAAAACGGTGTACATATCCACCGATACTCATTATTGATGTTAAATTAAAATCAACTAGGCCAATACAAAAGAAGGTAAAGGAGAATTGGATAAAAATGTTTCCAAGGAAACTTCCAATTTATATATAAAAACACTGATACGTTGAAAGCAAAATGCTGACGCATACAAACCTTGTATGAACTCATCCTGGGAAAGGTATGTGTTAATACCAGATAAATACAACTGAAAAGAGAAACACCAGAGAATAATGAAGAGTGTTTCATAACAATAGAATATTCAATCCAATTGTAATAAGTAAATAAAATATAATTTTACAACTTAGAGAAACGTTAAGAATTCCACAAAAAGGAGCCACCAGAACTACACCTAATACATAGGTGTAGCTTCTTTATATTCGGAACAGTACTTGGAAAACAAAAATTTAAAAAGAACATTGTCCTTCATAAGTATTTTAAAAACTGAAAACAGTAAGGAATACATTTGCCAAAATATTTCTAAGAGCGCTCCACTGAAAATTGCAAAACATTACTGAGAAAAAATTTAAAGACACATGAAGAACAAGTTCATGATGTTTATGGCTTGGAACCCTTATGATCACTGAGATGCCCATTCTCCCTAATTAACTTATGCCTTGAATATGACCCGAGTCAAATTCTCTTATTTGACCAAAAATAATTGTCAACGTGCATCAAAAATTCACGTGGACATGGCTAGAGCAATCATGAGAGAACAAATGGGAGATTTTAATCCTCAATATCTAAATATAGAATAAATATTCTCTATCACTGTATGGAAATGTCTATTTGATTAAATTGATTTTTTATTAGTTTGTTTTTGTGACAGATGTTTCTCCTTTTCCTCCCATTGACACCCTCCTCCCGCTCCCGCTCCCCCGCCCCGCGCCCAGCATAGTTGTCCATGTCCTGTATGGAAGGGTCATAATGATAAACACATTGACCTATGGGAAGAAGGAAGTCCAGAAATACACACACACACACCCCCGGATCGATCACTTGTTTCGTGCACCCAGGTGATTGATTGGGGAAACACAGTTTTCCCCAGGAAATGGGGAGGTAACAATTCGATTTTCATATAGTAAACACAATGAAGCAAAATAAATGAAGGAAAGTTGGATTATAGCCCTAAGACAAGAATAGTCTTATTCTTTCCATCATTAATGGCAGAGCAATATTTATTTAATCAAATACAGACTGGATTTCAGGAATCATTTAAATTTCCAACCCATCAAAAAATTATTCCAAAAAAGCAAAGCGCGCCACAGGTTGGGAGGAGACAGGTGCAATCCATGTTGGATAAAAGACTCACACACATCACATACAAAGTAAATTCATACACCAGCAGAAAAAAATAAACATCCAAACTTAAACATGACAAAAAAAACCTCAGAAACCTATGTATATGTTTGCTATCACTACTTATAACACTCAAAGAGAAACACTATCACCACACACCCCGACAATGGCTGGTTCACAGTCTGATCTTACCAAGTTTCTGTAGCTATCAGGGTCCCCTGGTCCCCTATTTCACCACGGGAAGGTTAAAATGGGACCGTCACTGTCGGGAATGCTTTGGTGACTGATTTCACACACAGGTCGATTTTAAAAGAAGTAAGTGTGCATTTCCTTTGAGAGTTATACACTAGGTCTTTTAGAGAAGATGTTTTGTAATAGCCAATTGCTGGCGGAGGGGGAATGATGGATGCTTTTTGCTTTGTGTAGCCAAGGGGCACCACTTGGCAATGACATGTGTGACCCACTACAGCTACATACAGCAGCGTGGATGGAGATCACAGACATTTTCTCAAAAGAAAAGGCCAGTTGCAAAGATCTTAGTCAGATGTAATTCCACTCTACGAAGTTGAAAACAGTGAATGATGGACAGACACAGGTGCCCAGTGATTCCTGGCCAAAGACGTTTCATGAACCACCCATACAGCGTTTTGATTTGTCACATTTTAATGAGATGCTTTTAAGAAGTGATTCATTGGTCTCGCAGATTATAATGACATCTTCCACATAATACTGAACACACATTTTGGTTTTTGAATAAAAATGAGTTAAACTATACTTGAAAAAATTACATGATGAAGAATTGGGTTAATGATAAAATGTTCCGAATGAACGTGCATAGCTTAATTGTAAGACTGCGCCATAACGACCATTATACACAAGTGGGATACGTCAGTTTCCCTTCCCTGCATCGTATTCGGAAGAGAGCTCGTGGTGACGCCCTGCGGTACCCAGCTTGACAGTCAAATTCAACAGTATCACTTGTTTTAGAGTAATTTTTCTTCTTGGATGACCATTTAAACTGTAAGTTGTGTTTTTTCATAATTTCTTCTGATATTACACATGCATCTGAAGGGGAAAAAAAAGACCATAAAATGTTAAGTACTGGACACCTATTTTCCACGTGATTTTAGACTTGCATGCAGAATCTTCTGCACAAATCCAGGAATTTGTTCTTGGAACCTTTCCAAGTCAACTCTTTGAAAAGCCATCATGGCCCAGCCTGTGTGGCTCAGTGGTTGAGCATCGATCTATACACCAAGAGATTGCCGATTCGATTCCTGGTCAGCGCACACACCTAGAATGTGGGCCCGATCCCCAGTGGGGGGCGTGCAGGAGGCGGCCAATCAGTATTCTTTCTCATCCATGTTTCTATCTCTCTCTCCCTCTCCCTTCCTCTCTCTCTAACTCTAATATCAATATAGAAAAAAAAAATTAAAAAAAGAAAAGCCATCATGTAGATGTAAACCATTCAAAATGATTAATGATGTAAAAATGACATATGCGTAATGTGTGATCATTTTAAATGTTATCATCAAAGTTCACAGTGTTACTAATATGAGCATCTTACACTAAAGAATCTGTTGTTGCTATTCTTGTTTGATTAACTTTATTTCCTCACATATTAACATTTGGTAGTCAAGAATTCAGTAGAATTGTTTATTAATTAATCAAAATTTGATCACGAACAGCAAAATATAGGCATTACACTGCTTTTCTCAGAACCCACAAGAATATTCAAGTCCTCACCTGAGCATTTTGGTGGTTCTGACCACTCTCCATCCCGACATGTTATTCTCCTGTTTCCCTGCAGTTCATAGTTGGACTGGCACTGGTACTCCACCGAAGATCCTGGAGCATAGGTCTCGAATGGGATTGTGGTAATGGCCGCGTGCCTAACAGAAGGAGGAGGCCCGCATTTTCTTTCTGAATCTAGAAATATTTGATTTATGAAGAGACAAGACCATCAGACCGAAAACAGAGGAATGACCAACGCCGCTGCAGTGTGTACTAGGAAGGCTTGTGTCATCTGAGGAAGGAAAGGAGTCACTGGAGAAATTCTGATCATACAGAGTGAGCATCTCAATGTCCTACAGCCCTTCTGTTGATGACACAGTGGAGCTCACACACATCACAACGAAATGCATCTGCTTTGCATACTGTGGTGTAAACATACGTTTTTGCAATAACTAATGCTGGACAGACACACGGCTCTGGCCACAGAAGGTCCTTGTGCTCTCCTACAGCCTACTGCCGGGTCCCTTGGGACTTGAGGTATTTAATTTTTATTTTCATTAAAAAGACAAAACTGGCAGAAATTTAAGCAACAAATTGGTAGAAGGTAGAAAGGGTATATGAATTCTTTTTCAGAAAGATGGATAAGAAGCATAGCTTTCTACCCCTTCTCCTATTTACAACTTCTGGACAAATAAAATAAACACATTTAAAAGACTGTGCACTATTTATGATTGCTTAGATCTGGAAACAGCCCAAGTGTCCATCAGTAGATGAGTGGATAAAGAAGCTGTGGTACATATACACTATGGAATACTATGCAGCTGTAAAAAAGAATGATCTCTTATCCTTTGAGATGACATAGAAGGACCTATAGACTGTTATGCTAAGTGAAATAAGCCAGTCAGAGAAAGACAAATACCATATGATCTCACTGATTTGTGAAATATAATGAACAAAAAAAGCTGATGAACAAAATAGACCCAGAGACATAGAAAGGAGTACAGTTCAGAGGTGGGTAGTGGGGGAGGGGAGGGGTGAGATAAACCAAAGAACTTATATGAATGTATGCATAACCAATGGACATAGACAACAGTGCTTGGCTGGGGGCCGGGGGTGGGGCGGGAGAGGGAGGAGGGTGTCTGGGGGTTAAAGGAGAATCATCTGTAACAAAAATAAATTAATTAATGAAAAAAATAAAAATAAAAAAGACTGGTTGACATAGAGGGGAAAGCAAACCACCTGGGGTTACAGGAACTAAACGAACGCCACCACTGTGAGGTGCTTGGGTGTCTTTTTCCCTCAGAGGACGGGACAACCTCCCACATAGAAAGAGCCAGAGAGTCACAGTAAACAGCCCCAGGCACAGCCTGCTCTTTCTCTCGCCAAAGGAGAGGAGCAGCCCAAGACCGCAGACAGCTGTTTCTCCCCGACGGTACCTAAAGGAGTCTAGAAAGCCAGGTAAAGGTGCCTCAGACTTACACGGCACAAGAAAGGTGCAGAGTAGACAGAACTGAATGCCGGAGCCGGACACGCTGATGAGATGGATGAACCCCGACCACACTTCCCGCGGGGGCGGGGAGACTCCGCAGGCCGGGCGAAGGCTGCGCTCCAGGGACCTGATTCGTGCGCTCCCACGCCCCTTATTCAATTCCGGCTACTGTTTTGTTTGCATAGCAAAGAATAAACTCCAGGTCGACTTTACTTTTCTTCTTTTTCATGTGGTTTCTTTTTATTTTATTTTATTTATTTATTTTTTAATCCTCATCCGAGGACATTTTTTTTTTTCCATTTTTTGTACAGAGTGGGAGGGAGAGAGAGGAAGAGAGAGAGGGAAACATCGATGTGAAAGGGACACATCGAGTGGCTGCCACCCGCACGACCAACCAGGGCCGGGGACAAACTGCAACCGAGGTACATGCCCTTAGCGGGAACCGAACCCGGGCCTCTCCGGACCGCAGGTGGACACTCTAACCGCTGAGCCAAACCGGCCAGGGCTCATGTGGTTTCTTAATGAAGAGCTTTCCATGTTATGAATTATACCCTGGCAACCTAAGATTCAGAGATACAGAGCTCTGGCCATGTGGGCGTTATTGGTGCTTGTGTGTTAGTCTTTGTTTTTGCAGTGAATCCTCAGCGGAGGATGTTTTCCCATTGACTTTTATAGAGTGGAAGGGAAGGAGGGAGGGGTATAGGGAGGGAGACACTGGTGTGGCCCTGGCCGGTTTGGCTCAGCGGTTAGAGCGTCGGCCTGCGGTCCGGAGAGACCCGGGTTCGGTTCCCGCTAAGGGCACGTGCTTCGGTTGCAGTTTGTCCCCGGCCCTGGTTGGTCGTGCGGGTGGCAGCCACTCGATGTGTCCCTTCACGTCGATGTTTCTCACTCTCTCTCCCTTCCCCTCTCTCCCTCCCACTCTATCTGTACAAAAAATGGAAAAATATCCTCAGGTGAGGATAAAAAAAAAAGAAAAACACTGGTGTGAGAGAGACCCTGACCCGGGCCTGTAGCAACCTGCAACCCAGGTAGGTGCTCTTGACCAGGAATCGAAACCTACACCCTTCGGTCTGTGGGCTGACACTCCAACCACGGAGCAAAAACTGGCCAGGGCGGTGCTACTCCGTAAATGGTATATAGTTAACTTCTACCAAAAAAAGGTAAATGCTAAGTAAATTTGTTCCCTGACCATATGGTTTTGCAAATGCGATATTTTAAGGATCATTCTGTGTAAAATTTAATTTTATTCGCATCAATTGATTTTGCATAATCTCATTATAAATATGAAGTTCGTGTTACATAAACATGTGTCTTGCAAAGGCTTTTCAGTGTGTTTTTGATGAGCGTTTTCTAATTTTGCCCACGTTGAATTTATGCGAGTAGGCACAATCATTTTCTAGCGATTCTCCAGATATTGGCACGTCTGCTCAGCCCGGTTTGGAACCCTAACAGCACAAAGGTGCCGCAGCAGCAACGGGGACCCCGCGCATACGTCCTAGAGCTTGTTTATCAGTGAAGGAGAATCAGGGGTCCGGAGGACAGTGGTCTACTCACAGACAGGACTGCACACAGGAGGGGTCGACCAGCCACTGTTGGCACACCTGATGCCACTCTGATTGTTGGGGAGGCTGTAGCCCTCATCACAGATGATTTGCACAGTGTCTCCTTCCTGATGTGTTTGTCCTGAAGCTGTAGAATGACCGTTTTCCACCCACGGGAAAAAGCACTGTCCTGAAAATCCAAAAGAGGACTCATGAGTCTTGCACCGGCAGAGTAGTACATGTTGCCCCAAACCCCCATCCAGTGCAAACATTATATCATGCAGGTTAACATCTTAATAGGCAATGTCATTGACCATTACTTATGCATAAAAACATCTGTACATCTGTCAAGTTCCTTGAGATATCAGACTGCACTTTTTTCTCATTTCATCGACTAAATAGCTGTCTAGACGTCCCTTCTCTGTCTGCCTCTTTGTTTCTTCTGCCTCCTGTTTCCTGCAGGTGTCACTCTTCCCGAGAGTGCGAGCCCCGACTCACTAAGGTGCAACTAACGAAACACAGAAGTGAGGAGAATAGTGAAAAATGCTCCCTGAGCATCCAAAGGCACAGCCTATTTTGAACAGAAATTACATGTATAAATGAACCCTCCTGAGAAAAATCTGTGTTCCTATGACTACCAGGTGAGGCTGCTAAAATGAAGTGTTAGCAGTTAAAATGATCGACCGTTAGTATTTGAAATGAAAGAGGTTAGGTATTTCACAAAGTTTGTATCTCATTTTTTACTGATTTTTTTATTGTTGTTAATTCTCATCTGAAGATACTTTTCTATTGGTTTTTAGATTGAGTGGAGGGAGGGAGGAAGGGAGAGAGAAACATCGATGTTACAGAGACATATTGATTGGTTGCCTCCCACATGACCCCGACCAGGGCCAGGGATCGAACCTGCAGCCCGGGTACGTACCCTTGACAGGGAATGGAAACCTGGACTTTTGGGTCCAAGCGCCTATGCTCTAACTGCTGAACAACACTGGCCAGGGCTACTTCTTGCTGATCTAACTTCTGAAGAATGACATAGCTTACTCTTTCTGGGTCCTCCAGCCCCTGATGTTGTAACTTCTAGACTCTGAGTCCTCCTGCACACGCCCCTCTCCCCGGCCCCTCCCTGACTACACGGAGTCATCCATCCGGGTCACGATGGGGTATTTACTCACGGAGACACTTGGGTGTCGGTGACCATCCTTCCTCTGTACAGCTTATTCGGGTCCAGAGTGAGTGTGAAGGAGACGCAAAGCTGTGGTCACAGGAGTAGTAGAAATATGTTCCCGTAGCAACTGCTAAGGTTTGTTTATATCTGTTTTCCTCATATATGTTTCCATGTTGTATTTCCGGAAAGTCACAAGTTTTTCCTGAAGGAAAAAAAAAGTAGTATCCCGCGTGGATAAAGAATTCTTCTGTATTTGATTAATGCTGTGGACGCATTTATGATTCTATTTGCTGACTTTCCCCACTTGTATTACTGACTGGAGAATTGGGATCATCTCTCGTTAAGGGCTCAAAGGGGTTTGAGGAGCAGTGATGTTTAAGGTTGAAGTTCTTCCGAAGTATTTCCAAGATCAGAATCGCGCAGGGAAATACAAATGCTGAGGCAGAGAATGAAGGCGTTTGAACCTAGCAACCCTCCGGATCTGAGAGGTTAGAGTTCAACATACGAATTTGGAAACAGACAATTCAACTGATGTCAATGAAATATACAAAAATGTTTTTCCCCCAAGTGGGTTCCTTTCTCTTTGACAAAGACTGTGCGCCCCAAACCGCAGGGTGTTGAGCACAAAGTTTACTTTTTCATCTTTTTAGTCCTCACCCAAGGATATTGTTTCCATTGATTTTTAGAGAGAGTGGGAGGGAGGGAGGGGCAGAGAGAGAGAGAGAGAGACATCGATGTCAGAGAGACATCACTTGGTTGCCTCCTGAACACACCCAGAGCAGGACCAGGGCCGGGGATCAAACCTGCAACCCAGGCATGTGGTCACGGAATCAAACCTGAGAGCCTTTGGTCCTCGGGCTGACACTCTAACCACTGACCCACACCGGCCAGGGCTCGAAGGTTACTTTTAGAAAGAGTTCATCGAGGAAGACTATGTGGGACTGATTAGGAAGCTCTGTGGAGCGGCTGTGGTGGAGGGCAGGGAAGGAACTGCCCGGGTAGAAACCGCGGAGGCAGACAAGCCCAGCACGCAGAACGCAAGGTAGAGGGATTTCTCTCGAGAACTGAGGAAGCCCCCTGGGATTCACAACCTGCTCGTGAGCGGCGGAACGAAGCATCCGAAGGCATGTTCGAGTATCACAGTCACGCAGGGATGACAGTATTTGATTTTAAAGGAAAATAAGGGGCTTTGAAAAGATATGATAAAGACTTCAGAAGGAAGGAGAAAAACATAATTATGGAAATAAATTCTTAAAAGTTCTATACATGCAATAAATGCTATTAGAACTAGTATTCAAAATAAATTGCTTTTAATGAAAGATAAGTTAAAGAAACTGCCAATTATATTTGTATCAGATACAATTTTTCAAGACATAGGATTGGATTCAGCGATAATGTAGACAATATTGCTATAAAGGTGAATATACATCAATGAACAATAGGGATAATATTATGGAAGAAATTTATTTACTCAGCATTTACCAGGGAATTCAGTAAGCTTATAAAAATTTATTGTCATTTCATTGGAAATTAAGAATATATCTTACTTTTTTTTTTTTTTTATCCTCACCCGAGGACATTTTTCCATCCTTTGTTTTGATAGAGCGGGAGGGAGAGAGAGGAAGAGAGAGAGAGAGAAACATCGATGCGAAGGGACACATCGAGTGGCTGCCACCCGCACGACCAACCAGGGCTGGGGACAAACTGCAACCGAGGTACGCGCCCTTAGCGGGAACCAAACCTAGGTCTCTCTGTACCGCAGGCCGACGCTCCAACCGCTGAGCCAAATCGGCCAGGGCAGAATATATCTTACTTTTTGTTAAAATACGTATTTCTTTTTATCTGCTGCTAATTTTATTGAAATATTAAATTGATTGTAATGTTGATTATTTGTGCAGGTTTATTAAGTTATAATTGAAATATAGTAAACTACATATGTATGAAATGACTGATTTAATGAATTTTCACAGATAAAACGATAAAACGATCACCACAGGTAAGATTATGAAAATACCGATTGTCCCAAAAAGCATCCCAAATTTGTGTGAAAACATTCAAATATTTCCATATTTGGCATTGAGAGACGTTTGCTGTAAAACTCAGGCAATAAAATGAAACATTATTTTATTTTCCCTTTAGCTGAATATAAGGTAATCTTCCTGAACAGTTATTCTCTATTATAATCGCACAATATGGACTATTCTTACTAGTGGATTCATTAAAAATGCAGACCCATAAGGTAGAAACCACATGAAGTCACGGGTAAGAGAGAAGGTGAGTATCCATCGCTGGTCTCAGCTTACCTTGTCCGTGAGCCCAGGACACCCACCCGGAGAGAAGGGCGCTGACCAGGAGCAGCATGTTCGCTCTCCCGATGGGGTCTCAGCCGGAGGTTCCAGCGGTGCAGCTTGGGGCTCGACCCGGCTCCTGAGCAGTTATCAAGTGTGACTCTGAATATAAGTGCACGACCAGGAAGCTAGTGCACTCAGGTCTCTCAGTAAATATCAAAGTTCAAAGAGTTTTGCAAAAATGCTCAATTACCAGTAATAATCAACTAGCAATGTGATGCCAAAAGTGTGTCATAGGAGCCCCAGTCCGCTGCTCAGCACAGATACGTAGGAGCCAACATGTATGAGATGAAATGTAGCGGCACAGACCCAGGCAGCAGGGAGCAGGGAGGCGGACGGATGCTCACAAGTGGATGCGACAAAGTGGGAGCAATTAGCAAACGGTACCGTAAGTCATCACTTCTCATTATTGGTATTGAATTAAAATGAAAAGCCAGTAAACCACGAAGCAGAATTGAATGTGAAGAAAACAACTGTAAGCGGTCTCCAAAAAGACCAGTCTAAACGTAAACACGTGACGAGTGGAAAGGAAAACTGGGAACATGTAAAGGTTGTAGGAACAGAGCCTGCGGAGGTGAGTGGTTATGGGAACATCACATACGATACAATTCAAAAGAGAAACATCAGACAATAATGAAGAGTGTTTCATAACAATAAAATATTCCATCCCGGTGATATTGAGTTCACTAAGGCAGGGGAACAAGGCATGAATACCCTAAGGAAAGGAAAAAATATGAGTAATTTAGAAAACCTTTAAGAGTTCCACCAAAAAAGAGCTACCAGAACTAATATACAAAACCTTTTACTTTACATTACAGACAAACATTAGAAAGTGAAATGTTATAACAACACTGTCCTTTATAAACATAACAACAATAAAATATTAAACAATATACTTGACAAATTCTTTTATTTTTAATCCTCATTCAAGGATATATTTATCTAATTATATTCAGATACAGTGAGAGAGAGAGAGGGTGAGAGAGAAACATCAGTGTGAGAGAGACACATCAGCTCGTTGCCTCCTGCATGACCCCGACTAGGGACTGGGACAAAGGCCACTGAGGCACGTGTCCTTGACTGGAACTGGACCCGAGACTCTGGTCCCTAGGATGGTGCTCTACCAGTCTAGCCAAACTGATATGGGCTCTTGGCTCCTTCTTTTTCCTTAGGTTCAATGAGCATCATGTCACCAACGTAATGGACCAGTGTGATTTCTTATGGATGGGGAAGGTGGTCAAGGTCCTTGCAGTCTACGATATGACTTAGATCAACTGACTTGATGTACTCTGGAGGTAGGACAGCACAAGTGTCCTGACAGCTTAGTCAACAGGAAGAGAATTGCTGTAGCTGGTCTGTCCCAACAGGTATGGGGGAAACAGCATTTGTCAGGCCTAGTACACCTACCAGCATGTTCTTAGATGTTACAGGAAATGTATTAATTTCTCAAGCGACAAAACCACATCAGGTGAACAGGTGCAGTTGCTGTCCCCATCTGGAGAAGCCTCTATAACCCAGTCATGCTCTAAGATGGTTTCCTGTACAAGCCCCTTAGGCAAGTCTATGGTGATGCGGCTGGACCACCACCTCTGCACCTTTCCAACCCTGGACGTCCCTCGGGCAGGAGGACTGCTGGGCTCTGGGCCCTTCTGCTGCAGGCGGCTCTGTGGGCTCTCGCTGGCCTTTCCCAGTGTGATGCGCTCACTGCACTGGCCAGGACACCGGGCATCGCGTCCTCTGTCGCCCAGAGATGTGCAGAGCTCACCGGGGAACCACGTGAAGTTCCCTGTGGACGATGCAGAGTCACACTTGCAGGGAAAGGCAAACAGAGGTAGCCTCAGCAGCATCGTGTCCACGATTCTCAGGTTCACACACATGCACGTGTCCTACGTGTTTACTCTGAATCTCCCAAACCCCTTTCCTCTCCACTTGATCTGAGGACACCGGGAGTCTGCCCTCGATACTGTGTCCTGGAGCCTGGACATTGGAGATGGCGCTTTGCTGGAAGAAAACCTGCCCCGATTGGTAACACTTGGGGGACAGCCATCGCTTTGGGGTTTTGAGTGTGGGGCTCTGCCAGACCCTGAAAGGCCTGCTCACTTTGCTCGTTTGTTTGTTGGGGAGATATGGACCCTTAGAAATCCTGAGGAGTCCAGGGAGTGTACTGTGCGGGAGGGAATGATGCAACGAGCACCCTCGGGTGGACATATTGTCTGGATAAACCGCCAGAAGGGAAATTAATGGGTCATCAAACAATTTCATAGATGTTTCTACTCCTTTCTCACAGGGCTCTGCCGTCCACCTGTTAGACATTTTCCCTCTTTGGTAGACTCATGGCATGTCTGTGCAGTTTTATGTGTATTTTATTATGAATGTGCTCCTTTGCCTTGAAGATATTTAAGGACCGTTTGTTTTCTTATATTTTTTCTCTTAATTTTTGAATGAGATACCGCCTTTCCTCTTATTGTTCTTTGTTTAGAAATAATGAGATTGTCACTTTTCACATTTCTGGTGTTTATGTGTTTTTGAAGACTTTTATTTTGAAGATGGAGACAAGCACCTTTTGCATTTCCTCTAAACTAAGAGTCTCCAAATGCATCAGCAGATTTGGAGAAAGCATTGAGAAAGGTAGAGGATGGAGGGCAGAAGCGGGTTGAGAAGAGATGGCATCTACTTTCTACCATAGACGTCCCATGAACAGAACAGAGAGCGTTTTGTTTGGTCATATTTTAATCTGATGCTTTAAAGAAGTGATTCCTTCTTCTCTCAGGTTATAATGACATCTTTCTCATGATATTGAACACACATTTTTTTTATACATAAAAATGAGTTAAATCATATTTGAAAAAATTAAATTGTGAAGAATTGGATTAATAATAAATGATTCAGAATGAATGTGCACACGTTAAGCTTAAGACTGCAACGTAACTACCGTTTTACACAAGTGGGATAAGCCAGTACCCCTTCCCGACACTGTACTCGAAATTTAGTTTCTGGTGTCGCCTTACGGTATCCACGTCGGCACCTAAATTCAACAACATCATTTGTTTTAGAATAAATTTTTTTCTCGTATGACCACTGTAACTGTATGTTGTGTTTTTCCATGATTTCTTCGGATAATACACAGGGCTCTGAAGATAAAAAGAACATAAAATGTTAAGTACAGTACAAATATTTTCCACATGATTTTAGACTTTCATGTAGAAACTTCTACACAGATCCAGCAATTAATTCTTATAACCTTCCAAACAAACTCATTGAAAAGCTATCATGTAGATGTAAATAATTCAAAATGATTAATGATGTTAAAACGACATACTATGTGTAATGTCTGATAATTAAATGTTATAACCAAAGATCTTAATGTCACTAATATGTAGAGCTTCCATTAAAGAATCACTGAAGGGGGTGGGTGATGGTGGAAAGGGTGTAGGGAGGATAAATGGTGATGTAAAAAAATGAAATAGAGAAAAAATAATTTTTGTTGTTGCTCAAAATTTTTTCAAACTTTATTTCTTCACATATTACTATTTGGCAGTCAAGCAACCAACAGAATGGTAATTAGTCTATCGAAGTTGTATTATAAACAGCAAAACATGACATTCATTACACAGATTTTCCAGGACCATGAGATTACTGAAGTCCTTACCTAAGCATTTTGGTGGTTCTGACCACTCTCCATCCCGACATGTTATTGTCCTGTCTCCCTGCAGTTCATAGTAGGACTGGCACCGGTACTCCACCGAAGATCCTGGAGCATAGACTTTGGATGGAAATGTGGTAGTGTCTCCATTGTCAATCGATGGAGGGGGCCCACATTGCCCTTTGGAATCTAAAATAAAGATACAAGTTGATTTCTTGAGAGATCAGGAGAATTTAAGGTAATTTTTGATTAGGGGGAAGCTACACTCACTTCCTCCCAGCTAAAAATCGATTTTCAGTTAGTTATAGAACAATCAACGTGAAAAGGAGGATTATAACCAAGTGTTTACAGAAGAAGCTGCACAGAGACTGGTAAGAAGGACAGAGACGCAGAGAGGGCTGGTCCCCGCACCTGCAGGGGTGGCTGAGAGGTATCTGGGCTACAAAGTCTCCACTGAGGAGCCTGGGGTCCCACCTCCTGCGGAGATTCTAAAGGAAGCGCAGTGGAGGCTGGAAGAGGAGCAGGCAGAGCATCTGCAGTGAACCTCCGTGGGGGTCTGTGTGCCTGGAAGAGGAGGGGTCTGCTAGTATCCCAGGTGCTCTACTCAAGGACAAGGCACAGGCCCTTGCTGTCAGACACTCGCCCAGGGCTCCAGTAGAAGGAAGGTGACCTAGGGCATTCGGGAGTCACAAAGAGAAAATCTGGAAGCCATGCCCCAGGGAGAGAGATGGAGGGTCAACCACTGAGGTCCCTGTCTTAGGCCCTTATCTCACACCACCCTCAAGTGCCAACTCCCAGGGCGGAGCACTCCTATTCCTACAGCACCAGCCTGAGGAGAGCACTAACCCAGACCCTAACTTCGGGCAGCAGCGCCCTCCTGAGCGTGAGCCCTTTTACAGGTCTGTTGACTGCATGGAACAGGGACCTTTGGGGCAGTTCTTTCCTGGAGAAGCTGTAGGCAGAGACTCACAATCTTTGAGGTGTGTGGGTTGGAATGGAGGCCAGTCTTTCCTCCCTGCTGCAGGCTTGGTCGGCACTACCCCCAATTTTGATCTCCCCTCCTGAGTCCCGATGCCTCTGCCCTGCTGAACTGGATCCTGCACTGGGGACAACTGTCTGTACCCAACCTCAACCTGCCAAGCTCCTCCTGGGACATCTGGAGTTGATGATTGTTGCAAAGACTAGTCTGTGGCTCTGGAGTAGGGGCCACTGTCCCACATTGAGTGCATGGTCCCTTTTACCAAAGAAACCACATATTAGACACAACACAAGTCTCCATAAATTTGAGAAGATTGAAGTTAGGTCTTGCATCAAATCTGACCAAAGTGCTATGAAACTAGAAATTTGCTGGATTCAAAATCAATATTCAGAAATGGGTGGCATTTTCATACACCAATAATGCTTATCAGCACGAGAAACTAAGGAAACAATCCCACTGACTGTTGTAACAACAATAACAATAAAGTAAGTAGGAAGAAATATAACGAAGAAGATAAAAGACCTGTACTCTGAAAATTATAGGATACTGAAGAAAGAAACCGAGGAAGATACAAGGACGTGGCTTAATTTTCCAGAGAGAATTTTCCATGGTTCCAACTCCTCTTCTAATGTGGTCAAAGCTTTCATACAATAAACCTACCTTATTACTCATTCAGTCCACAAAAAGAATTGGACTTCAAGCACCATCATTTTATTTGCATTATTTTTCATTCCCTAGGAACTTCTTCATTATATATTTCTATCAACACCCTTTGCTCTTATATATATTCTCTAAAATTGGGGAAGGGATGAATCAGGTGCCCTTCCTTTGCACCGAGGTGGGTCTGTCCAGGTCCCACTTAAACATGTCACTTCTACATTCCCAAACGGGTGCAGAGCTTTCCTGCATTCATAGCGTACGGTGTCCCCAGAGCGATACCGAGTCTTCTGGTTCTGTATGAAGACATGTTCCACTGTGGGGGGACTGCCACAGGAAACATCTGGGGAAACAGAAACGGGGGGTGGGCCGGGAGAGAGGAGCCGAAACACCAATATGCATTTATGCATAACCACTGACACAGTCAACAGTGTGGTGAAGTCAGGGAGGGGATGGGGGACGGGGAGGAGGCGTCCATGGGCTAGAAGAGGGGAACATCCACAATACTTTCAACAACAAAGATAAAAGAAAAGAAAAAGAATAGAATGGGTCTCTAATGTAACAATCCTTTAGAACTCATATCAACAAATGAGAATCCAATATCCTTCTGGGGGATTTAAAATCAATAGTTAATCCGCCATTAAGAATGAAAATTTTCATAAAATTACATGTAGGGTTGATAACAGGAGATAAAGCCAATATGTTTTTTGGAAGAGTGAAGCTTCTATATCTTACATTTCTTTCCTACCCGTTTTTGAAGTTTACTAGACATATTTAGGCCAATGAAAATTTATAAAAAGACCAAGAAAAAAAAAAGAAGAAAAGAAAATAATATTTTTTCTGGACATATTTCTTTAAGTTTTATTAAAACAAGCATAGATTCTATAAATTTAAAAGAAATCTATAAACCCAGGACACTCGTAATACATAATTATTTGGCATCAGAATTTGGTTTGCAAACATCATGGTTTTGAATTGTAATTTTTGGACCTCAGAGTAATAAGCACAGTAGCCACTTCCTTACAGAATGAGTCTAGAATTAACCTGCTTTGAGGAATGCCATACAGTTGAAGGCAGAAGGTCATCACTGACATGATCCAAACAGAAATGGAGGGAAACAGGAGACATCTGTAATGTTCCAACACGCTCCCCGGGAGCCCGCGTGCTCCAGGACAGTGCAGTGAGCAGGGTGGAGTCACGTGACACTCGTGGTATCAGGTAGTGAGAGGCGGAAGCTACTCTCCCAACAATGTGTGTGTGAAATGTGCTGGAACGGCCACAACAGGGTCAGGGTCACAACCCCGGAGTCTCTGATGCTGAGTCTGCGTGAGCCTGTGACTTTGCATTTGCATTTCTACCCATTCCCCGGAGATACCGATGCAACCCTTTCAGGGACACACTCTGAGAACTACGGGCTCTAAGTCCACCACTGAGGGCACATCCATCCCTCCATGCTAAGGCAGAGCCTTCCTTCTTCAGGCCAAGACTGGAACCTGTGTCCACTTTATAATGATGCTGGAAGCAATTCTGTATCATGTTACTTAAGACACTTTAAAGATACATTTGAAAACTTCATCATCATAAGTCTGCATAGTGGTTCCCCTATCCACCTGCCGTGCCTACACTCCACTGAACTGGATCCGTTTATTTGGTAATATTCTGGACATTTATAAGCTACTTTGTCTCCAGGCTGATATGATTTCCTCCTCTGGCCTATGAGTATGGCATTAGCATAGCGGGGTGGGTCAGAACAAGTTCTCTCTGAAAACAACAACAATATACTTGTTCAGTAAATCTTTACAAATACATATTGGTCAATGATTATACTCTAGAGCAATTGGTACACGCCAAACCATTGGACATTGGGCAACAGTTTTCCTATAACTTGAAACTATGTCAGCAGTCTTCACTTAATTACATTGAACGATTCTACATATAAAAAAAGGAACATGTGAACAATGCTATGGAAAAGCCTGAAGAGAGAGACATACAGGTAATGATTGAAGACAAACCCTTACACCCGAATTCTTACCTGTCCACGCAGATCAAGTGCAGCATGTACGTATTTCTACGTTTTGCTTCTGTCCAAATCACTTCCCACCATTACATCAAACATCTTAGAAAATCAGATATCATTTTTCTCAATTCAGTTACACTTAGACAAGTATTCCTGGCGAGACATCAAAGGAGCCCATAGCAGACATAGTGCCCTCGTTCTAGCCATGCCGTAAAGCAGTGTGCGAATGGAGATGCAATCCCGTGTTTCAATTACACTCCATTAAAGCTGACAGAAGAAACACACATGGGAAAAAATAGAAACAGGAGCAGAAGTCAAATCACAACCAAACTCGGGAGAAAATGCATAGAGATAAAAGGTGGGTCTTGGAAAACTGTAATAACATCGATAACTGCAAGGAAAGAATAATGAGGGTGCCAGCCATACTGACGAGGAAACGGAAGCAAATCTAGGGCAGCAGCCTCGTGAGGCACATGGACACCCCACGCCTGCCCGCAGCGCCCAGAGACCGAGGAAAGCGACGTGAGCTCTAGTCTCCTGGCGTCTTCACTGGGAGGAGGGATTTTCCAGGGCACAGCACAGGGAGACACCCCAGCACCACAGGTCAATGGTGAACAGAAGAAACAAGATCAGTGCTCCCAAAGAGGTGACATCACGAAACTTGAATCGAATGAGCGGAGTGGAGAGAACTGTGGGATAGGAGAGCCCTGCAGATCTGCACAGGGTCCCTCGATGCTATGGCGGAATATGTCCCAGCACAGTGCAGGGCGACCCCACAGGAATGCGCAGAGAATCACTCCCAGAGGAAGAACTACCAGGAAACAAGAAATGTCAGATTCCCAGGGCACACACAGCAGTGGTAAAGTATTTATATTTGACGAGTCACACTGGAAAGGTGTCCTTAACAAACAAATTACTTAGTAGAGAGACCAGAAGAGGCCTATTCATTCGTTCATATTCTGAGTAAACTATTCTGTATAAAGACTCCCCATGCCAGGCTTATTAGTTTAAAAACAAGCTTGAGTGGATCAAGTTGACCCTAACAATCGTAGCCTTTCAAAACAAAGTATAAAACCTGTAAGACTCCAGGTCTCCGGCCCAAATCCCCAAGAGGCACACGTTAGGGGAGGGGTAACTCAGGGAGGTAGAACTGTTGATCTGGCTTCTTCAATACATCCCATCTTGGATCTTTCTGCTCCAATGGTGTGTGAACCTCTCTGTTAGATTCCAGGACGCCCCCAAAGATGCTCCCACCCAGGGGTGAGTGTCAAACTCGGTGTCCTTTGTGGGGAAGACCACAGAATGTCCGATCAGCTATTTAGTCACCACACCCTATTATTACTGGTTTCCTCATTGTGGTGTTTTGTTTTTAATTAACGTCTACCAATAGGCTTCTTTAATTGGCTAAGTATATGTTAAAAATTGGCGTTTACACCCATTCATAGTTGAAAAAGTGAAGTCACGTAGGTTTACTGGCAAAACAAGAAGCAGGTAACACCTTTTGCCAGTTATCACAGGTGTGTCCTGGAAAATCCA